TTACCCCGGCAGAGGTGTAGAACCTGGCACATGCTACAGAAAAGCCCTGGCTGGCAGGTCCTCCACTCGTCGGAGGTACCAGGAGGTGAGAGGTAAGACCGGTAAATGTGAGCCTGGCCATGATGTCTTGTCAGTGTTGTCAGAGTGTCAGCTGCAGATATCAATAACTGGCATGCTCCCACAGCCGGTTGGGGTCCCGTGGGAGGGTTTGGGTTGGCGTCAGGGGCGCGGGCACAGCTTATTGGTGTACTCTAAGTCGACATGGCGGATGCATCGAGTCACTCTAATACACCGCTGCCCCGCTAAGCATTCGGGCCATTCCAGGGCAGGTCGAGCTGATGCCCCTCCTCCGCACCGCCTGGCCGAGGGCACAAATACGTAAGAGACGAGGGGTACGAGGGAAGCTCCTCCTGCTTATTTTGCCCCGCCAAACCGTCTTAATCCTCAACAAACACCAACCGAGCGGAGTTCCCAACGACCACTTACTTATCTTCCTGCTCTATTCCTTTCTTGACGAAACAAAAAGGACTACGCTGCCCGTAACTCTATTACTACTCCGCCTCACCAAAGACATAGCTACTCCTTGTCCATCCAAGATGTCTGCCGCTTTCGAGAAGGCCGTCGCCGATTCCAAGAAGCTCACCTCCAAGCCGAGCAACGAGGAGCTGCTCGACCTCTACGGTCAGTGACCGCTCTTTTCTTCTCACCCACGTTGCGATCCCCTGCTGACATGCTATCAAAGCCCTCTACAAGATCGCCACCGGCGAGGACATCAGCAAGGCCCCCGCGCCCGGCATGTTCGACCTCAAGGTATGTCACTGGTATCCGACGTCATCCTCTCCCCCGCAGTGGCCTAACACGATCGCAACTCACAGGGCAAAGCGAAGAAGAACGCTTGGCAGAAGAAGGTCGACGAGGGCATCTCTGCCGAGAAGGCCCAGGAGGAGTACGTTGCGCTGGTGGAGAAGCTCAAGACCGAGTATGGCTATGACGAGAGCAAGGTGCCGGAGGCCGTTGGAGCTTAAGCTGTGCGACTCGAGAGGATGGGCGGACATTGCAGGCAGTGCAACAGCGAAAGAGCTCTTTAAAGAAACCCTCGACATACGCATGGGAACTGCATAAGGCAATATTTACAATACAAAGCTAAATCGCTTAGGAGCCGTGTAATTTCTATGCCAGTGTCTATGCTGGTCGCCATGCTAATGATTCGAGTTCGCGCACGATTCACCATGTCCATGTCCGACCCTTCCAGTCCGGCTCACTATATTGCGCCGTTGCAACCCATGGCTTCTCATCTTTCCCATATGGTTGCAGAGGTAAGTTGTACGGGATGCGCAATCCCACTATGGTGCCTGCGCTTCTATCCTCGGCCTCAGTCGGTACGTCGCTCTGGAAGGTGCTGACCATCTTTGCATCCTGACCAAAGAGAGCAGGCCATACCATTACACCGATCTCCCAACTGGATATGCGCATCTCTCCTGAAGAAGCCGCAGCTTCACCCCACGCCTGCTTGGAAAGGTTGGCTGAGGTTACCATTGCCCAGTCAATAGACTGGTCATTGTACCTGATGTAGGTTTTGATATGTGGTGCAGCTCGCTTCCGACCAGCCTCCTTAATCACGATATCGCTCCCGAGATCTGTGAATGGCAAACCCGACTGTTAGAATATTTCCACTCCTTTCACTTATTGGCTCTGCTTACCTTTCCCATTCGGTGCATCATTAGCCCAATGACAGAAGATTGGTTTCAGATACAGAAGCTGTTTTGCCTGTTGGGATGACTGAATCTTGGTGTGAATTGAGCCTCCAGAGTCGTAGCCATCCAGAGACCGACGAATCTCATCAGGAGTTGGGAAGACAACTTTGAAGCTGGGCTTCTTGCTGACACTGTTTCTTGATCTGCCCAGAGTGTCGAACAGCGTCTTTCGAAGCCAGGTATCCTGTCCCCCTAGAGTAGCGATGGATGAGATCTGTACCACCACCTCAGACTTGTTATCTCGCACGGGAACTGATCGAAGTGTCTGCCTCACGGCTGCCCATCCCCACTTAGTCTCAGAGTCATCATGAACATTGTGTCGTCCTGGAACGCTGGCGATTAAGGTGCCTCGAACCGCAGAGAAGTCATATTTGACTAGGGCCTCAATCAGTGGTCTGCAAATGATCCTTCTGGCATCATACGCTCTAAGATAGTTCAGCAAATCAGTCTTGAATTTCGCGCCACTCCCTAATATAGGAGGCTCTGATGGCTCCCCGGCAGGATCTGCGAGTAGAGGTAGAGGAGGAGAGCTCCAGATAGCCTGAGTCATGTTGGTCCAGTCTCGGGGGATCATGTTTGCTGTGTGTATAATGACCTGGGCTGTATCGTCGTGCCGGAACAAGATCAGCATCTTCGAATGATGCGTGCCGAACATCTCCGGCATGAACGCTGCATGAAGAGTGACATTTTTGTGTCTCGATGCTTGCTCCTGAAGGGCAAGTCTGCTCTCATCTTCGCGTTTCCAGAAGCCATGGACGACGTTGATGTTCACCAAGTGCCTGGTGTCTTCATCAAAGGCATCGAGCAGAAAGTCGATGTTGTGCAAGTAATTGAAGTCCCAGCATTCTGAGATGAGAGGGTCACCCAAGAGATCTCTCAAGGAGAGAGCATCGACATTTGAAGATGTCGGCGCATCTCGTATCCATGACAGCTGAAACGGTGACTTGATAATCTGAGGTTTTGAAGTCTCGGTATTTGCTGGCGGTTCAGCTATGTCATTGGGGGTCTGGGATAGCCGACTCTTCTTTCGTGGAGGGCTGATGGGATGTGCAAGTGATCGCGGAGTTGAAGGGCCATTGGTACCATTAGTCTCACTGGCATCACCATCTTCGATGCTTATACGCAAGCGTTTCGACGTTCGCTCCATTGTCAGGGCAGCAAGATGATAACTGTTCTTATAAATATGAATGCGACAAGAACAGAATGAAATAGAGTCTGAAACCGAACAATCTATGCTGATTTTCGGAAGGCTTCGCTTTATAACCACACGCCTCGATCTGAGACTGCGATATGACGACTTCACTCGACCGCGGGCTGGAGTACCTAGGTAGAACGCTCAAGCGGAGGAAGCCTCCGAGTGTCTGGCTGGACTTCAAGTGAAACGCATTTTGTAGGTGGGCCACATCATTTGAGCTTTTCTCTCATGAATTGTTTGTTCGGGAAAGAACGACCACGAGACAGTTCTTTACGCCGCTGTTGCCTTGAGTTGTTGAGTGATGTGCAATGTGTGGCTTGAAATGCTGGAGTTGAAGCTGCTGTGGCTGAACACCTGCGAATAGGCCGGTAGTTTAATTGGCACAACACCAGAGGCTGCAGGAAAGCATCCTAGCATAACAACATATTCACACTATTTCTCGGTCTGTCTAAGAGATAAATAGCCTGTCGGCTCACTCTTTACATTGTGAGAATTCGTAGAACATGTCGACTTGTGACCCTTGGCGATGAGTACAGGAGAGCTATTGAGCCATCGTCAAAGTTTCAATTCGAGCGCAAGCTGTCAGATGCGACGCCTAATGCGAATCTCACTAGAGCGGCGTAGAGCTGGCTAATGCACAAGGGAAAGTGTAAGGACGCCGGGGATAGGATTAGTTTCTACCTCCCATGGGTAAGGCTTATGCGTCGAAATGCTTGGGTTAAGACCATATTATAAAGTACCTCCCTAACAAGAAAGCCACGCATCCTTCTCTATTTCAGGGACGAATTTGCCTCCAAGTTGGCCTAGCCCATTTCGCTAACGACGGTTGGCAGGCCTGGTTGGCTGGCTGCTGGGAACACCTCCTGATTTCCGTGGTCCACCTGTTTTTTTCGCTTGGCTCTTCCCGCTGTAACAAGAGCCACGACTCTCCTTTGATTACCATCCCATTTGCGTAGCCTCTGAACTCAAAGATCTTTCTTCACCCTTCCCCGTCCTTGATACGCCGCCCGCCGAACCCTATCTCGACATTCTCCATTTGCATCGAGATCAAGGCGGTCACACGGCCTCCCGCTTTTTGTCTCGCCCTGCGGCTATATCAATCCCTTCCGCGCCTACTTCCCCCCTATGTCTAGGTGATACCTCGCCCCGAATTGGCCAGCTTGCGGACGCGCGCTCAGAAACGGCCATTCCTCACCCACGATCTCTTCCGGACTGGCGCTGTGTCGCCCATCCCATCGATTCGCCCTCAACCATCAATCGCTAGCGATTGATTCTTCTGATTCTGCATTTCTCCGCTCAGTCTACCCACGTCACGGGTGACAACCTTTCACGATGAGGCTCTCGGAATGGTCTCTTTCCTTATTTTTCGGCGCAGCAGCGCTCGCCGTTGCTGCATCCGGAAGCACCGAATCCGAGGATCCTCTGCAAGAAAACACATATTTCAACCAAAAGATGGTTCCTCCTATGATCGAGTTAACGCCAGACAACTTTGAAAAGGAGGCTAAGGCGTCAAAATACTTGCTAGTTAAGCATTACAGGTAATTACAGCCCTCGGCTTACCGTGTCGCGTGGTACGGGCTGGCTCGTATTGATACTGATAATCTACAGTCCCTACTGCCCTCACTGTATAGACTTTGCGCCGACGTTCCAAACCTTGTACGAATACTATTACACGTCGCCAACACCGGAGGAAGGCAAGACCTTCTCTGAGTACTACGGCATGCGATTTGCTATGATCAACTGCGTGGCATACTACGATCTATGCAGTGCCCACGGCGTGGCATCGTACCCGACCACGATTTTGTATAAAGATGGCGAGTCAGCAGTACAATTCAGAGGTGTAAAGAACATGACATTTATGGCCACTGCTGTGGAGGAGGTGCTCGAGCAGGAGAAGCCTGGGACGAGACCTAAGGATCTCACACTTCCAGGCCCCGGCGCAACTACAGCCCCGGTGCCCACCATTGTCCAGGTGGCACCTACTGCCAAGGAGACTGGGTCAAAGACCGCCGTCGTCCAGAAACCAAAGTCAACAATCACGCCGAATCCAAACGGTGTGTCTGTGGCACTCACAGCGGAAAGCTTCCAGAGCTTGGTCACAATGACACATGAGTCCTGGTTCATCAAGTTCTACGCCCCTTGGTGCCATCACTGCCAAGCGATGGCGCCTTCGTGGCAACAATTGGCTAAATCGATGAAGGGTAGACTGAACGTTGGCGAAGTCAACTGTGATGCCGAAAGCCGGCTTTGCAAGGACGTCCGCCTCCGAGGGTATCCCACGATCCTTTTCTTCAAGGGAGGCGAGCGTGTTGAGTACGACGGCCTTCGGGGCTTGGGAGATTTCGTTTCGTACGCCGAGAAAGCCATCGACATCGCCAGTGGCGTTCAAGATGTTGATGCTGACGCCTTCAAGGCTTTGGAAGAGAAGGAAGAGGTCATCTTTGTCTATTTCTATGACCATGCTACTACGAGCGAAGATTTTGATGCTCTTGAACGATTACCCCTGAGCCTTATCGGTCATGCCAAGCTTGTTAAGACGCAGGATCCTGAACTCTTTGCTCGATTCAAGATCACCACTTGGCCAAGACTATTAGTGTCTCGCGATGGCCGCCCAACATACTACCCGCCCTTGACACCACATGAGATGCGTAATCCCAAGAAGGTCTTGCCATGGATGAAGTCAGTTTGGCTACCTATCGTGCCTGAGCTCACTGCTTCTAATGCCCGCGAGATTATGGATGGCAAGATTGTCGTTCTGGGTATTCTTGACAGGGAAGATCAGGAGTCATTTGCAAGTGCCAAACGCGAAATGAAGAGCGCAGCAAATGAATGGATGGACAAACAGATTCAACTTTTCCAACTAGAGCGACAGGAGCTTCGTGATGCCAAGCAGCTCCGCATCGAGGAGGCGGAAGATCGTGGCGACGAGCGTGCCCTCCGAGCCGCCAAGCACATTCGCATCAACATGGACAAGACGGACAGGAAGGAAGTTGCATTCGCGTGGGTTGACGGCGTATTCTGGCAGAGATGGATCCGCACTACCTACGGTATCGACGCCAAGCATGGCGAGAGAGTCATCATCAATGATGAAGACGTAAGTATTGCACGTTGAATTTTACTGAATTCTTACTTACATATGATTAGAATCGCCGATACTGGGATCAAACCATAACTGGCAACTACATTGTACCCTCCCGAACCTCGATTCTTGAGACGCTGAACAAAGTCACTGCTCAACCACCCAAGCTCAAGCCGAAGCTCACCATCTCGAGCTTTGAGAAGATCTTCTTTGACATCCGTGTTACATTCATTGAACACCCGTACCTCAGCATCGGGTGCATTGCCGGCCTAGCACTTGGCTGCGCCTCGTGGTTCCGTGGACGGATGCGCCGTACTCGCGGCCACTTCCGACTAGAAAGCGACTTGGGCATGAAAGAGACCAAGGCCCCGCTCCTCGGTGGCAATATCAACGGAAAGGTCGATTAAGAGGAAATGTCGTTTATCATGATGAGCGTCTATCTTTGGGAGTACGGCCGGGTTGCTTTTGATGCGGTATAGAATTACGTCTGTATAATACCTCCTATCATCCCCCCTGCACACATGCCACGGAAATTGTTGGGCTCTTCGATTGTACGGGCTGGGCGGACGGCTTTTTTCAGGGTAGGGCAGCCAGCGTGGCAGGTCGTGCCGTCGAAATGGGAAGGCACTTGGCGGAGCCAGGGCAATTGTTGCATACTAATATCAATGTCTTTTCTTGGTTAGAAAGTATCTACTTGTGTTCCCGCGTGCTAGGTCTGGTTGCATTGCGGTTACGGGAGTTTAGGGACTCATAAATATATAACTTCTTCATGGAGAATCAACCTGACCAAATTTCAACCCAGGTTTACATATTTGTTTCACAAGGACACGAGGAATCTTTAGCCTCAAGGTTGATTTTCTTTCCCCTTTGCCACTACTTGAGCAAACGTAAAACCTCGCCATTCTAGACTTTGCGAGCTATACGACTTCCTTTTCGGTTCAACAATCCCTCACAACTCCTCGAAGTAAGCTTCATACTACGTCCGACGGAATTTGCAATTCGCTACCTCCCTCGACATTGATCCATTTCTAGTCACTCACTCGTCTAAGTCTCCGAACCCGACATCTGCCACCATTTTACACTATGGTTGGACGAGCTTATAAGAGAGCTGTCAAGGATGGCTTGGACTTCAATGCCAGCCTGGCGGCCAAGAACGGAATGGGCAGTGCTGAATTTATGAGAATGGCCAGAATCGCCTTCAACGAGGGTAAGTCATGGCTCCATTGTGAGCAAGAGTCCATCTAACTTAGACGTATTGTATAGCTGAGGCCAAAGCTACCAGACAGGCGAAGGAAACTCATACGAAGGAAATTGACAAGCAGATAAGAGAGCTTCAACGGCAGAAGCGGGAGATTGATGGCCAAAGATAGAACCAAGCCAATCTTCTCGCGCCAACAATCAGTCCCGCTGGGGAAGGAGCGCGAGCACCGGTGCTCGCCAGAGTGACCGCTGAGGAGGTCGATTTAAGACTGCCTGACCCAGGTAACCGAGTCTCAAAGCTAATCCGCAAATGAGAGATCCATCAACATTGAACGGCATTGAGCCAGCAATTTGCATTTCTATAGAATAGCCACGGTACTCTGTCTCAATCCGAAACATTATTTAGTGCCCTGAAGCGCACTCCCTGCGAATCCTATAAATTTAATGACCAAAGATCGTGCGTGACCCTGGCCATACATCTGTGACACACTTCCTCACCGCATACCTATTAGACGGAAGACAGGAACTTACACGACCTCCAATATCGTCCTCTGTCCAATAAGAGATGTCAGATGCTGATCTTTTTAATTACACTGAGAAACAAATAGATCCATTATAAGTATCCTTGGTGGGCTGTTATTCGTATTAGACATGAAGATAAACGATACCACATATTTGAGAGTCGTCATGAATACTTTGAGATTCCGGGTCGATGGAAATGAACTGCTGGAAGTGAACTTGCCAAATGAACAAGCCATCTTCGCCCCAGGCAGACTAAAGCCTGCTGCCTTGGCGGGTTCTTCTCCTATAAATGACACAGAATGCTCCTACTTCGCTATCGGAAAATACCAGATCAAAGAACATCTTATTCTCAGTCAACTTGTTCTGCCACTCGACCATTTCGACTAACAAACGACCTCATCCATGCATCGATCCTTCTGGCGGCCAGCCTTTCGAGCCTTTTCACCGACACGGACGCTGGAATTCCCAACATACCTCTAGATCTCAAGATGGGTGCCAACATGGAAGTGCAGCGCGCCTTGGTGGATACTGCAAGCTTGGCTCTCAATGGCGAAGTGGACAGTGTTGAGTTCGTTAAGATGGCCAAGATTGCCTTTGTGGATGGTATGAATACACCTTAATCTGATCATAGTTGTTGTCTCTGACTTCTGAGAAACGATAGCACAAGCCAAGAAAGCTCAAGATGAGAGCTGTCAGAGAGTTGTCAACCAGGCCGACATGAGAAATCCTAAAGCCCAAGCTAAGGTGATCAAGAAATTCAACAAGAGCCGGGAGTCTAAGACACACTATCACCTTAAGAAAGACAAATATGCGAAAAAGCCTCTGGCCGAGTTGTTTCGAAAGCCATCTACGACCTCTGGCAAGGGTGACAAAATGAAGTGTGATCCCGTTTTGGACGAAAGCGACGACTCAGAAGCCGACGACACCAAACCCACCAACCCGAAACGTCGTGTGAAGGCTGACAGAACTGCTGCCTTCAGCCGACCTCGCCGTGGCATGCATAACAAGTGATGTGTCTTGAGCATGTTGGCACGGGCATGATGGATCTATGTCGCACCGATGATTGTGCGCTTGACACACCATTTAGCCACTGTGTTATACCAAGAGCCAACGACATGTTGTCACTTGTCTTGGATTTCTCCTGTGGTGTGCTGCTTTCTCTTATGTTTCATTTATTATCTTGGATTCTAAACCCAGCCCTGTCTGTTGTACTCGGACAAGTGGTGTGGACTCAGCATATTGCTCTATTTGGGCACAGACATGATAAGGCTGCTAGCGATGATGGATGGAGAGTTAGATGGATATATTCATTGCAAGGAAAGAATTCCTGACAGCAGACGGAAGAATAAGACTGGCTAAATACGAAAGACAACGATCACCTATGTGTACAACTCGTCTGTGAAGCTGTTGAGTGACAGGCCCTCCTTCGCGATATCGTCCACCTCGATTAGGAAATCCAGTGGCATCTCGACCAGTGTACCGCGAACTCGGCCTAGCCACTCCTTGACCTCAACCACGCCGCCGGGGAATTCTTCGCGCACTACATGGCCGTACATGACCTTTCCAGCTTCTTCCTTCTTCTTATCCTCGTCTTTCTTGTCTTTGTCCTCGGAACCAGGGATGATAAAATACTTGCTAAAGAACTCCTTGTAGTCCTTCCAGGTGCGCACCTTGTCATTGGGCACATTGTGGAACACCTTGCTGAATACCTCAGTGTTCTCTCGAGCCGTGTTGCGCCACAGACGGTCGAAGTTGTCTGCCAGGGGGTCACGCACTAACGAGTCGGCAGGCGAGCCCCAATCGTACTCATTCGGATCCTGAGTGACAGGTGTCCAGTTACGGTCGGGACGGTCCCAACGCTGATCCGGTAGCAAGCCAAGATGCTTGCGGAACAGCTGTCGGCGCAGTGAGGCGGCGAATCGTGATGCCGTGTAGGGCTGTCCATTCATGCGTGACTCTACTGGTGTTGGGTCCTCGATGACCACGGCGATTTCTGAGTCGTGCGTGCCAAGTTGAGAGCGGTCGTTCAGGTTGGCTGAGCCGCAGATCACAAGCCGGTCATCAGCAATGAGGACCTTGCTATGGATGTACAGCTCCTCAGATACAAAAGCGTCGATTTCAGACTCAGGGCTTCCTTGCCATGAGACAGATTCCAGCGACGGACCACTATCCATGTAGCATGAGCTGATTGTGTCCCAGGTCTGGTCGTCTGCATGGCTGGCTGCCTCCTGATAACGACGATACTGATCTCCTAGGCGACCGGAGGTCTCTTCTCGAGAATAGCCATCATAACCTGACTCTACTGCATCGTCATGCTCGCGGCGAGCAGCCTCATACGAGACACCGCTCTCCTGCTGAGCCTGGGCCATAGTAGCCGAAGTGTTGATGCGATCGAAGTTGCGGAGGTTATAGAAGGCAATATACTTCCCCGGATCAGGAACTCCGGCCTTGGAAAGAGCCTGAATGATGCTGTGGCCTCCACGGTTGATACTGTTGTACTGAAACTCCATAATCGCTCGGGTGCCAAGCGCACCGTCAGACTCCAAATCTCCTGCGAAGGCGGGAACGGCGGGCATGAGCACGATAATGCGGAAGTCTTCACCTTCTTCATAGGCCCGAAGGATTCGCGAGACCATTGCAGCACCAATCTTGTTCCCTACAGGGTGCTGCTTGTCATCGGTAGCGGTGATGAAGAACTGTCGTCATTAGTAGACCGTAAACTAGAACACGAGGATAAATACTCATACCTGATTCTCGATGTAGACGAAGTGCCGCGCGTTCTGGATTGCCTCCATATAGGCGTTTGCAATAGAGTGCTCGGTAGGGTGTCCTGCAGACCAGCCAGTGCAACTGTGCTAAATCAGCTTTCCGAAGACTGTGTTAGAGCCCAGTTACCACAAACCTCCTTGTCAATTGAATATGCAGGCTAGGATTCTGGCCATGTCGCATATCGCGCTCCTCATCATCGCCGCCGCCCATCCATCGACTGACATGTCGGCCGAAATGCTCATGTAGACCGCCGAAGAATCGGTCTCCACCACCCATCCCGAACATACCTTCGGGAGCTACTGCATGAGAGGGCGGAGGCTGGATCATTTGGTATTTCTCGCCATCTTTAGCATGATACTTCTGGCTGAAGATGTAGTTCCTTGTATATTGTCAGCCGGTCAGATTTCATATCGTACATCGGGGTACACACCATCTATCGGTGAAATGTATGTTCAAGCTGTTTACGATGGGACCAGACAAGCTGATGCTGATGTCCGACCAGCCCATTCTTGAGCTCTGAGTTCTATCCACTGCTGCTTGTCAGCGTTCAAAGTCTCCCATGTTCAAGAATACTTGTCTCACGCTTGTTGTTCTCCCACTTGTCCACGTCCTCAAAGTCATACACACGAGCATTGTTGTAGTCCTGGCCCGGGAAGACGATATTGTCCAGGTTACTAGGATGTGCGTCCGCAATTGGGTGACCTAACCATTAGGACTTCAATTCACTTGGACTGTCTCTTTGGAGGACTTACTGTTTGTATCCCATCTTCCAAAACCTATCACGAAGTATTAGTCTTGGCGTGCCGCTCAGCTAGTAATTTGACCCCTGACTTACACATATCCAGACCACCCATGAAAGCGATCGTATCGTCGATCAGACACAGCTTCTCATGGTGAGCCCAGAAAAGAACAACATCATCACTTGTACCATAGAGAGACTTTAGAGCATCTCCGGACACCTTGGAAAGGTTGAAGCTTCCCAGGCTGAGGTTTTGAAACCCGCTCTCAATATCGGCCTGAATGTCGTGCCCGCTAGGTACATGATCTGGGTGTCTGAACACCCTGATATTTGGATGCAAATCTTCAAGGTGGTGCTTCGTGTGCTAGTTTAGGCTGCTATTAGTGATACTCAAGCATGATTACGAAACCACTCCTTCCTTACCGCCGAATTCACTAACGAGGCATGTTAACAACATTCTGGGCAGGAATTGGCAATTAACTCACAAGTCAAGGCTTGAGGCACCTCTTTGTAAACAATGATATTGACCTTGACACCTCTCTCGGCCGCAGCCTTGAGCATGGTGTCGAGTCGGTATTGCTCATTTCGAGATGGCGGTCGTCGGAGATAGAGCTCGGGGCTCAACCACCAATCAAGGATGTAAATGCTCTGCCGAGCCTCTGAATTGTCATTAACACACTGTCATGATATCCGAAAAAATAATAATAATGGGCAATACATACGCTCAATAGCAATCGATACGGCCCAGAAATAGGAGCATCCGTCGACATACCACTTGGCATGGCCAGAAGACTGCGGGGCGAAGGACTGGTAGCGATTCTCACGGTGAAGGTGAGGATGAACATCGTGACAAGCCTCGCCTATGTGAGTATGAGAATGCTTCTCGCCTCCGAACACAGCTTCAATGCCCCCGGCAACCTTTCGAAAGATGTCTTCCATTTGATGACGTCGCCTGTCCGGCCTGAGACTGAGACGTGTGATAAGATAAGGACACGGCGGGGTTGTGGTGTTGCGGGCGTCCGACCCTCAGTCAAGATCGCGAAATGTCTCTGAAGGCGTTGATGGTAAACGCTAGACAGGAAGCCAAGAAAGAAAGAAGCTTGTCACTTATACGCGCTGCATGCAAGAAAGAGGAGGCGAAACCAGGAAGCAGCGAAAGGCAGGATATTCTTGATTGCGCGCTGACGGATTCCAAGTTCGGGAGCTCGGGGCTTCGCAAACTGTCAGAGCTGAAGATGAAACAAGGATTGCTGGCACATGCAAAGGCTTGGCGTACATAATGCGCAGAGAGCAAGCAGGGAGGGCATCAAGTTACCTTACCCTATAGAAGCAAGACGATACCACAATGGGCACCCTTCCTACGCGTCAAACCAAATGAGCTCAGCGCAGTGAATCAACAGCGTGCCCACTTAATCGCTTCTGTCTGCAGACGCAGATGTCGGATGCTGGCCATTCACAATGTGACTCGAGACCGTTATTGGGTGCTGCTGCGCCATTTAGTCCACCCCCAGCTCCCCATGTTCATCTAACACCAACCAATGGCCAACAGTCGTGTGCTCTGTTACTAAAACGGTAGATTCATGTGTTTTCCTTCCTCAGGCACGGCTTGGGTCTCAGAAGACCCTCTTTGCTCAAAGGTTGCATTTCAAGATACGATGAGGAGGTTGTTTGTATCTGACGCTTGAGCGTCGGTGAGGATGACAACTCGCTCACATAGTCAGGGGTCTACCGCGGAGGTGTCTATCGCTCATCAGCGAATTAGCCGCTACTTAGATTAGGTCCGAGTACCCCTATTTCCAGTAAGAACGCCACGGGCCGGTCTCCAAGTTGAAGACTGCAAGACTCGCATCTTATTTAATCATCAAATCCGGCATGGAAAAGGGAATGCGTAGTTCAATGTGAGATGGCTGTAAAAGAATGATTTTTTGAAAAAAAAAAAAAAAGAGGTAGGTAAAATCTATAGAGGATGAAAAGCTTAGGACACCAACGATCTCGCCAGTCTGTGCTTTCCATAATGAGAGCATCCTAAAAAAGGGGCTAAACTGTGCCAAGTAAGATCTGCTCGCCGCCTCCCCAAATTCAAGTCAGAATTGAATACATGAAGAGACTTTGATAGCTGTGGTGAGTCAACGAACAACTACACGAATGTTAGGCAACTGCGCGAAACAAGTTACTCCATCTCCACGTGACTCATACACACTGATACCTCGAAGTCAGATGGATGAGATCGTCGAACGGCCGATTTCGCTACATACTCCAAGTCAAATCAACAAGACGCATCTCCAACGGGGGTAAGACCACAGATCAAGAGCCATTCGAGATTCTCGGCTTATTCACTTCGTCAAGAAGTGGTTCATTCGATCAGGAAAGAAAGAATTGCCGCGCGGCAACTCTGCATCAACTCGATTCTGACAGCATAGGATAGCGTTGATATCATTAAGACCGATATGGCTTCGCCACCGTCTTGCACTATTCTCTCCTGTCCTGAAGACATTCTGAATATGGTGTTCGAACTTCTATCGTCAACAGACTTATATAGAGCCTGTTTTGTTTGCACATACTTCCACAGTCTTGCCATGCCCTTTTTATATTCGAATATCTGTTGGACCTGGCGTGGGCGGTATACTATCTTGGATCGTGAACTGGAATGGCGTTGGCTGAATATACCGTCAATCATCCCATTTTTACGAAGTGTCCTGCGTCGGCCACAGTTGGCAAGCCACATCCGGACTATTGCCTTGGATAGTTCAAGTCTCGCTATTCATCATATTCCTGGAGCAGAGTATGCGCTTCCTATCACCTTAGCAGGCCTGAAGAGGCCGATTGAGTTGGTCAGGGAATTCTCAAATAGCATCAGCTTTGCTGATCTCTGGGAGCAAGAACTACGCTCTGGGACCCTGGACGCTTTCGTCGCGGTGTTACTGACACAGACTCACAACTTGACGAGTCTGCGACTCGATTACGACTTTCCTAAAAACACCAGAATAACCGGCATGCTCCTGAGATCATCTCTATGCGATCCAAAATCTTCGAAAGGCATACTTCCTTCCTTTCACCGACTGTCACATGTCTCGATCAGTGTCGAGAAGATCTGGGCATACTCCACGGAGCATAAGAACGGGCTGGATATCGCGGCGCTGTTTTATCTGCCAGCAGTGCAGAAGATATCAGCTGTGGTTGACTGGCCGGGACACGTAGAGCCTTACCCCATATTTGCATGGCCGACAGAGAAGGCACCTAATACATCTAGTCTCGAGTCTCTCGATCTCGCATGTGTTCTAGAAGGCTGTCTTGGACCAATACTGTCTGCCACAACCAAGCTGGAAAAACTCTCTTGGGATTGGGTCTATCAAGACAATTACGTAGACGACGACGGGGTTACTGTTATGGATCTCGGCCTGATGGTGGAGGCACTGTCATGTGTTAAACAGACGCTCACGGACCTGACTATTCTCGCGGCGCCTGATCTGGTATCATCCAGGCCTGGAGAGGAGGATGTCACATTTAAAGGATCATTGAAGGGATTACATAACCTTGAGATGTTAAAGACGTTCAAAGTCCCTCTTCCATTCGTCGTGGGCTACACGGGAAACCCAATGCATTCCTTGCAGGAAATGATGCCGAAGAACGTCGAGTTTCTGACCTTGACGGATGACCTTTGCATGCGAGACGATGACGAATTCGAAGACTGCATTCATTTTCACGCATTAAAACAACTTCTGATGGATCCACTTCCATCTCACATTCGAAACATCCATTTGTTATTGAAGACTACGGGTATTGAGAGATCTTGGACGGCTACCACGCAGCACGAAATCATGCAGTTATGTGACAATGCTGGAGTGCACTTTGAGGTCACGCTACTCCATAAGAGAATTCATTATTATGACATATAGGAACCCAAATTGATAGCATTCAACCCATTGGAGGGAATGTAAATAGCCCTTGTTTTGTGTGATGGCGTGCAACTGAGGCAAGTTTGGGGCAACATCAGTTTGTCAATCCAAAATGATGATTCCCACAGGCGGAGCACTGCATATAGCCTTGTCTTTATCGTCATAATTGCGTTAGGATTCTAACGATATCGCGCAAAGTTTACAGTCTGATCTTTAGGATCGTTATAGAATAAGCTTACACTAAAACCTTGCCATCATCCCAAGTGCCGAATCAGTGAACTATCAGAAAACTTATTACGGGCCTTCGATCTTCATGGGAATGTACATCTTGCAGCTCGGGAGCGGAAGCTGTAGAGATTGAACCAGGCTTGCATGTTTGCTAAAAACCCGTGCTGGACCAAACCTCGTATACTTGAATTATATCCAGGTTAATATCCATTACATTCATACCCCATGACAAACTTCTGGTCTGAGTACATCATTCCGGCATTCCGAATATTATATATCATATGGCACAACAGCTGTAGGAAGCCTCATATTGACAGTCCTCGATGATTGATTATCTATCTAAACAAGGTAATGTGGTTCTACCACACCGCTTCTAGCCATACGGTGTTGACTCTTAGCTCATTGACGTTGCTGACCTCTACCATAGTAGAAATCAGCCAGATTTACAAACTTGTGTGATGCGGCGCAATTTAGCATCACTTTAAGGAGAACAATAAACTCTTATCAGCAAAATAGTGTCAAGAAGGCCTCTCGGCATTGAACAGACTACTCTTCCATAGCTGATGTAACTATCAATCTAGGTAAAAGATAACAATGCTTGGAAAGATTCTAGCATAGAGCTAATACCTAGATCCGTAGTAGATAGTCACGTCATGACGAGTAGATGGGATATGTCGCAGTTTTCTCAATCAATGCTGCTGGATTCCGCTAGGGTGGTCAAACATGAGAATCTCAACTCCATCTGCAGTGCGCCTTACTCAGAACTATACGGCCGTTGCGAGAACTCGCAGCATATGTACGATCGATGCTCTGATCATACTAGCAAACTCAGGCAATAAGCAATCAAAGGCAGTGTCCTGGCTGGCTGATGCTGTTAGGGAAGACGCATGCCTGTCGAGATGTCAGGTTGTACCAGACAAGGATATCCAGATAGGCAGAGGCTGGTGGAGGCATCCTGCGCGATCTTGGGCACAGATGCGAGTGGCTACCCAGATTTGTCGTAGCACCGCATATCAAGTTGCACGAGACCGATCCAGTGTGTGACAAAGAAGGAGAGCCTCCAAAAAGGGGGTGCCACTGAGCTGAATCGAGTCCGAGGTAGGTGATACAGGCAGTCGATGAGCCCCTTGCCCGTGGATTGCAAACATTCCAGAAGCCCGGTTGAAGCTCCAGGTGCGTCGTGGCGCTCTGGTGTGCGGGAGTTGTGAGCCTTTCGTCGTTATGTGACGGACGGCGAGTGCCGAAGCCGCTAAGTTACCTACCGGGAGGTACCTCTCACGGGCCAAAGGCACCGAGGGCACCAACCAGAGCTCCCCCCCGCGCCGCAGTGCATTCAGCCTTAAAAAGCAGCTAAAGGTCCCGCCCCTGGCGTGCCTGGTGCGCTGCGTTGCTAAGGGTTTCTCCAATGGAATGGGAAGGTCCCACTCACTATCCCTGAAGCTCCCGTGCCTAGTCCACTATCGCAAGCCGCCGCCGCGAAGCGCAAAATATCTCTCGACAGGATACCCCGTCACACTCTCTAGTTTCCTGCTCAATTCACGCATCCGCCTCCCAAACCACCTTGTCCACGAGCATTACACCTTCTGTGGACAGTTTCAGGGTCAATTGGCTAGCACAAGGTATGTGATGACCGTTTCGGGCGCCCTGGCCATATCTGCGCAAGTTGGCGCATTGCGTTGAGCTGTTGGGAGCAGCTCCTTATCGTCATATCCTCGTCACATGTTCCGTTTGGCGGCCAGGTTGCGATCACGTCAACCCTTATCATTGTTGATATAATGAGGAATCCAGTGCTGGATAACAATGCTAATTTGATACCCCAGAGAATAGCAACTAAAGGCTCGCTTTTCCCGATATCCCTCCATCCTCGACACTTCTACGAGCTGGGTGCCACCTCCATCTGCTTGCCTTACCGATCATCCCAAATTAGACAACTCATAGTTGACCTGCCTATTGTGCCAAGTCACATCGTCTGAATTTTTCCTCGCAATTGTCAAACCGCTAGCATGGCGGCATTGACGCCGTACCTGTTCACGCCAGAGGCGCATTCGCACCTGGTGCCCTACCTTGCCGCACTGCAGGGCTCGTGTATCACTCACGACCGCACCATCAGCAACTTCCTGCCTCCCTTGAACCACGAGAAACTTCTGAGCTACTGGAAGGAGAAGATTGCCGAAGTCGGGGCTGGCACAAGAGTTATTCTGATACTCCTGGAGGAGTCAGTCCCAGGTTCGAAAGCAAAGGGAACGGAGCTCAAAGGCGTGGTCATGCTCAGCATCCCCGCGACGGAAACCGGTCCATTCAGAGGAAATGTTGAGTCTCTGCTCATAAGTCCCAAGCTCAGGCAGCAGGGTGCTGCGAGATTGTTGATTGAAACACTGCACATACATGCTGTGCAGAGAGGCAAAACTCTGATGGTAAGTGTTATAAGAGGTAAATCCTGATTTTCATGGAATCCAAGAAAGCTAATAATCACCAGATGGCAGACACAGAGAGCGGCAGTGCCTCTGAAGAGGTTTTCAAGAAGTTCGGATATACGGAGGTAGGCAGAATTCCTAGGTATAGTCTGAGCCCGTCAGGCGAGCTGAAGGATGCTACATTCTTCTATAAGGATCTGTCATTAGCCTAGAAGGCGAATGGCTGGAATGTTTGACAGGCGTTTTGGTTTCTTGAGGACTGGGTTCAAAAGTTTTGGCTTTAGTCAAACTTGCGATAGAGAGCTTTGGCTTGCTGCCACCTCTTTTCTTTTGCTCTTATGCGATCGGGTTTGTCCGTCATGACTAGCTTCACAGATCAACGGGCATGGACTCACACGACAGGCCCTATGGCTGGAAGGAATTTTGGAATGCCTTGATGATATAAGCTCATGAGGCTCGTGAGTTGAAGGGTTTGGAGCACAGAGGGATCATACACATCTTCGTGGCGCCAGCTACCTTCTTTTACTGTACAAATCTTTGACACCTCTATTTGAAGCGAATCACTTCATTGCTGTCGGGGATGCTTGGCGTGATCTGGAAGCGCATTCTCACAATTGCCTATTACGTCTTCTATTCGACACGTGCTTCAATCTAAAGGTCTACAGCGAGACCGTATAGTCCAAGTGGGCTGGAGGCTGACGGGTTGCTTGCAAGATGGCCATTTCCGATCTTAGTCTTCGACGTGGTTCGCTCGTATGCACAATGCTTTTACTAGCCAGGCAGGGCACCCACGGCCAGCCCCGAAGCTCCAATATCGGGAGCTCTCCGCGATTGACCTCTCAGGATCGAGAGATCGATCAGGTGGGGGGTTTAGGTGACAGGGATCAGCCGAACCACAGCGGCACATCGGTGATCTACGTCCTGCTCTCCAGTGCTTCCATGCCGTCAGCTTCCTTTTCCAGACCCAGTGCTCCGGAGCGATAATCGACCTGCAGCTTGCTTTGCGTCCTGCTTTTCTTGGGCCCGCGCAGGACCGGCGGACCAAGATGTGACGCAGCTACTATAAAACAGAGCTCTATTGCTCTTTGCTCACTTTCCTCGGCTCTGGTAGCTTGTGCTCGGTCTTTTCTGTTCGATCATTTCCTCTACGTTGGAAGTCGCTCAGATAAGTGGTTGTTAACAATGATGCGCTTCGCTGCGTATACTGCCGCGCTCTGTGGCTTGCTACAGCCTGCGCTGGCGGGACTCTACCCAGATCTCAGCACAAGTAATCATACGTGCGCATTGGGTATTTTTATTGCTTCACATGTTTAATTCCAATCGTAGTTAACAGCTTGAAACGTAGTACCGCCTCTATTGTCTTGTTCGGACGGTGCCTCGCCCGATTTAGTCGACGCCTGCTGCGTTGAGACCTACGGCGGCCTTCTCGTATGTGCTACTAATTCCTACAAAACCCGAATATGTTGTTCACAGGATCTGATCTCTTTGCTAGCTATCAACTCAGTTCTGGGACACGTATACTGGACTTGAATCGGAAGGACAGCTTCTGCCCAAATTCACCTGGACGCTTCATGGACTCTGGCCAGGCAAGTCAACCATTTGTTGCGGTATCATTCATATTCATCACTAACAACACTCCTAGACTTTTGCAATGGTAATTATTTACCTGTTCCACCAATATTTCGAGCGATTCTAATCAGTGTCAGGTTCATACACACAGTATTGCGACCTGAAGTAAGTCCACCTCAAGACCCTATGTCTATGCCGACTTGACTAACACATGCAGCCGACAATATGACCCCCTACCATCCCCCAACACCACCACCGGCAAGCCGGATGGCACACCGGTCCCGGCGTACGAGGGCCCCGGCATCGGTACCTTCCTCGAGCCCTTCGGCAAGTATGACCTGCTCGCCTACATGAACAAGTATTGGATAGCCCAAGCCCAGCCGAACAGCGACTTCTGGGGCCACGAGTTCAGCAAGCACGCAACGTGTTACAGCACCTTTGATGTCGAGTGCTACGGCCCGCAGTACCGCGAGCACGAAGAGGTGGTCGACTTCTTCGAGACGGCCGTTGCGTACTACCAGAACCTGCCCACCTGGGGCTGGCTGTCGGCCGCGGACATCCGGCCGAGCAACGTCTCGTCCTACAGCTTCGCCGACATCCAGGCGGCCCTGACCACCGGCTTCGGCGCCGTGCCGTATATTGGCTGCTCCGGTCCGCGGTTCAACACTACCGAGGCGGGAGCGGGCAGCTCTGACAATGGCTATACGCGATTGACAGAGGTCTGGTATTGTAAGTCACCGCAAGGGAGAAGTGTAGAAGATTGTACTGACAAAGTTTAGACTACCATGTCTACGGCCGACCTCAGAGGGGCCAAGGCCTGCCCGTCGATGCCAGTATCAACGGTGGCAGCGTGTCGAATTGCGCCAAAACCCCTGGCGCTATTCACTACTATGAGCGTACAGCCAGCTCCGAGGCCTGAAAGTAGCAGCGATTTGGAGTCATGGAGACAAGGCATGATGACCTCTGAATACGATATGATAACAAGACACCCACGATAGGAGTAATACATAAAATCTAGTTTGTAGAAACAAGTTGCTTGGTCTCGATGATACCGTTCAATTTTTGATATAGTACACTTTTCTTTAGCGGGAGGAACCATGCCGGCTACCGCTGCCTCAACGCCGATTTGCATAAAATGCCCCAATGCCAAGAATCTACTCATCGTCTGCCAGCTCCTCGACTCGCGGAGCTACGTAAGATCTCTGCGAGGGCGCTGTAGCTACTTGGGTGCTTGTCGCAGTCGTGGTGGCCGTCGCTGGTGCGGGTTGACCAGTCGATGCAGAGAATGTTGCCTGTGCGCCGCCTGTGCCTGTTGACTTGGACTTCTTCTTCTTCTTTGCAGTCTGCAATGGATTAGCTATACTCGAGCATCTGTCTCAGAATGGAGCCGCGAATTACCTCATGCCACGCCCACACGGGTTTGAATGAATCGACAAAAGACACATCCTCCCATAGATTCGGGAAGAGCCAAAGTCCAGGGGGAGTGACGAAGTAAGTGATGCAGAAGAGAATGACACGGAAGATGGCCATGAGGAAGAACAGTCCAAGAAGTATCAGGAAGCCCCAGCTGAGGTAGTAGACGCCCTGCCGCATCTTCAGGGGCCAGAGCGGGTATAGGACAATGGCGAAGATAACTACAAGAGCCAGGGCAGCGTAAACCTTGCGCATGACCTGGCTACCCTCCCAGAGCCACACGTAATACATGTCATCCTGGGCATCCTGTTGCGGTTCGATTCGAACGGTCCACTGGCCCTTCACACGCTTCCCCTTCTTGGGAGGAGCGTGGTCATGGCCCTCGTGGGGATCGACCTTCTTCACCCGTAGGGCAAGCATGGAAAGGGGGAGGAGCTTGAATGTGTTTTCGAGAGACGCCCGGTCGGTGATTTCTGGTAGGGCAGGGTTCTTCTTGCGGGCTTTTGCGTAATCGGGTGACTCGAGTGCTCGTAGCGCACGTTTCACTGGTGAGAGTCAGCAGCTGAAACAAGTGACAACTGGACTGGCGCCAACTCACCTCTGAACATGTCTTTGCGCTCTCCATTGAGAATGACAGTGCGTGGCTTGAGATTCTGACCTCGCAAGAACTGCGCGACTGCCAACGCAACGGGATTAGGAGGACCAGGCTGGATAGGTTGTGGTTGTCCCTGCTGGGGCTGGCCAGGCGGGCCCCCAGGACGTCCCTGTTGCGCCGCCTGTTGTTGTTGCATCTGCTGCATGCGCATCTGTTGCTGCTCCATGGCTTGCTTCTTCAAGTGCTCGATGAACTGGGGAACGCTCATGCCGGCCTTCTGGGCATCGATGGCAAGTTGCCGTTGCATGGCAGCGATCTGCTCGGGTGAGGGCATCTGCCCTGGCTGCGGAGGAGCCTGCATCGTGGGCGTCTTCTTATCGTATCAGACAAGGAAATGTACAATTGCCAGTCTATCCGAGTCCTCAATACTCCCAACAGATCTAGCAAGCCTCTGAAGAAGTAACTCCGCTATGTGTTGTTGAGATGTGGTTGCTGGAGGGGCTCACTCCATTTTATCGAGAAGGGATAGATGGGCCACTGACATCTGTCGATGTCCAAGAGCAAGCTGTTCTCTTCTACGGTACATCCGCTTGCGGGTTCCTCGAAAAAATTATGGGTCCGCGGCACAGGCACGCTTACCTAACGTAAGTCAAACGGCTTCGGTGGCTTGCCTTGAGGCTTCCTCGTGATCATCCACGTGCTAGCCGCTCGTAAGCTGAGCCACAGGGGGCAAGCCTCATGAAAAGGGGCTGGAAGATTTGGGCAGAGCTCCAAAACTCGCCCTCTCTTCTTTGATGCAGGTGCATCATGTCGGCTGAAGGCAGGCCAGTCGCTCATCCTCCTCCAGCGCCTGTGTCCCTCACACCAGCGCTAACATAGGTGTATCCATCCATCTCCGACCGGACGTGGAGCTGGACCTGAAGGTGACGACAAGCCCGCCACTCCTTTCAGCAGGTGACGGTCTTGGTCGTGCAATTGTTTGCAAACAGTGATCGCAAACTTTGTTTGCCTCTTGTTATGGGCTAAATATGTCACAGCAGCAGTGGGGATAGAGGGGCTTGTACAGTCAGAGGCAAAGTCAGGATACCCTCCTAATGACGATTCTTCAGCAAATCAATACGCACCATCAAGCTCTCGTAATGGCTGCCATACCCGCTGTGCCACGGTTCCTTGCAGCAACTCTACATATTCCCCGTGCCGGCTGTTGCATCAAACAATGTCATCCCGTTCGCACGCGACGCCATCAGGCAGACGGATGTACCATGCGGTCGGGCTGGCCTGGCTGGGCTACTCAACAGGGGACCAGTCCTCTTCAGATCTGTCACGGTACACGAGGCTCCAATAACATTGCCCGCGACAAAATGCTGGCCGTCGCGCTGGCCGTCCGTTGTTATGGCGTGTTGTGTCAGAGTGCTTCGGTTTCAGGAACCATCTATCGAAAGGCTTCTCACAAGCTTCCACGCTATCGAACCCCTCCTGTTTATTTTCCTCCCCTCCCCCTTCTGGGCGCCGGTCCCAATATTAGGGATCCAGCTATCCAGTGGTCGCGGCCAATCTACGGAGCCCACGAGACAATCCCCTCAGGATTTCGTGGCGAGGTGGTCGTGACTATGGGTGTTGGTGGGTTACTTGACCAAGGCATTCTAAGACATTGACTCGCTGTACGGCACCGTTCATCTTACACGACTGGTGGGTCCTGCAATCTGGTGTGTAGCGCCAGCCATCCGGAGCATCACTACCCCCCGGTTTTGTAAGCGCCGACTGGTCCTCGGCCACCCCTCGGCGGCCTATCAGAGCTGCGCGTTGCAGACCTCACCGTCAACTTATTCGCATTTGCTTGTCAGCGCTGCTCAGCCAGGCCAAGCTATGGGTGTGAATCGGAGAACCCAAGGCAATAAGGTAATGAACCTCTCAAAAGGTAGGTAGGTACGCTCCCTTTTATCTCTGACTCTGCCCGATATGAGTGAGTCCCTTTTCTATTGTTCCGCTACAACTCAGATCGCTGGCCGTCACCCTTTCCTGCTCTTCCTCCTCCTCTTACCAGTAGTCCGGTATGAGGCCGCTTTCAACAAACAAGCATGAAGGGATTTAGCGGCATGCTCTCTCAGGCGTACGCTTCATGGCTGAATTCTGTTGCTTCATGCTGCCCGCAACTGGCCGACTGTCTCGACGATGAACGGCCGCTCCGAAGTGAGTGCTATCTTGCGCGATATCACAGCTCAACAGCTTGTGATGCTCATGGTGAGGACGGAATACTAAGATATACAGGTCCTGAAAAGCGTATGCTTGTTCTTTATGATCAGCCCGGGCTTGTTCCGCCGCCTTCCGCCGAAGCGCTTAGACCAGGGTCGAAGTCGGGAAGGGAGAAGTCGTTCAGGAAAGGTCTGGGATCTTTGAATAAGGGAAGCTTCTCCGTGAGAAGACGATTTGGATCCAATGCATCTTCATCGCGCCGGCCGCAGATATCCGCTCCTTCGAATTTTCGTCACATCTACTCAGAGTCTTTTCAATTTCCGCAACAACTACAACAGCCTCGCCAAAGACCGAGGTCTTTCCGACCCCTGCAACTCAGCATTTACCAACCTGATAACTCTTTGTCACCGTTATTACCGCATTTTGAGTATGTTCATCCTGATGTGACGCCTCCTCCACCGGCGTACACCAATAATAGCTTCGATGATGATAGTGCTACCTTGACGCACAATCGAAGCTATTCGTCCATGTCTTTTCATATCCCAAGGCGGCCCCTAAATGAAGCATCATCATTTGTCAGTAATGTGGAGGACAGCCCTCCGAGGATACCGCCTCGCGCTAGGACACGCGCCTACACGTCTCCAAGCGTGGAAGCAATCGTCGAGCGGATCGCAAGCGCTATGATTGAAAGAGATCGACTGCAGGAGGAAATAGAATCCGTTATCGAGCGGCAGAGCATCTATGTGAGCAGCCGACCATCGACAGCTTATGGAATGCCCGAGTCGGAGCCGATGCCATCGATCCCCGCACTTCCACCGTCCGCACCTTCGTTTGCAGAGCGTTTAAGCACGGAGCGACCACATACTGCTCCATCTAGGTCTATGGTCAACATCCCGCATAGGGCAAAGAGTTTCGAGGAAGCAGCTGCCGTGTTCACCACGCCCTTAAGACATGTTACCCCCATCGATGATCGGTCACTTGATCGGCCTCTTGCACCACCGCTACCCCTTGTTTTGCGACCACCTTTGAGAAAGAAGAAGTCATTCTCCCGAGTCTCTAACTGGCTGTTCCCAACCACAGAGCACCAGCGGGACATCAGCCTCGACTCCATCACCAACATACCGCAGCCTGTCACCAGCGGCGGTGGATTCTACCAAGTCATGTCCGAGGGCAGGACAAGCGTCGACACCCTGACGACGGTCTCAACCTGGGAGACCGAAGAAGATCGGACCATGCCTACTACCTGGTCACCGGGTAGCAGCCCCGTGACGAAGCTGGAGACGCCAAGCAGCTTGGCTAGAACAGCTACTTTTGGAGCAGGTGGTAATGGACCGCGGCCCACGAGCGTGGGCGTTGCATTCTAAAGCTTGTGATAAATAAGCATTGTTGCATTGTTTTATTATTATTATTATTATGTGATACCATAGGTTTACTAAAAGACCTTCAGCATGAGGGCATGCTGCGGATTTGGTCTAGATCTAGGGGCATTGGTTGGGAGGCTTTACTTCTGGACAGGCAAATATGCTTCTAGATCGAAGCTCTTGGTTCGCTGGGCGGAGCTCCTTTGGAGCACTGGTTTTAATCGAGTAGAGATAGCATGTAGTACTTAGTGGTAGAAGATATCAATGTGATGATCTCTGGTGGAGACACTTGGTTCTACGAAATCATTCCACAAGGCTGAGACAGCATGGCTAAGACATCAATCACCCTTGGCGCTTAACGAAAAAGAGTCCCCACTGTGTTTGCTTCTTTGAGACAACAACCACATGATGAAGGCTCACAAAACCGAATGCTGTAGGGCGATGGTCGATCCTCAAATCCCTCGTGAGTCTTGTCCTTGGAGATGGACGAAGATGGCGCGTAGCCATTCTTTAGCCATTCGGCCGAATAGGTAAGTTCAGACCTAGCCTTTTAGTAGCTGCTCAAGGTGAATATTTCAGGTTTATTTACAACCTTCAGGACTGTAATACGATGTACTCCGAGTAGTTATTGCACAAACACCTTGAGATTGGTTGAACATGGAAGACACTGTCGGGTTCTGAGGCCAAGTCGGTAGTTACCGTTAGAATGGCTGCGTTAGTGTCTTGCATGGTGGATTCTAAGTCTTCAGCCAATCTCCACGCCGCTACGGCAAGCTCAGTCTTGTCATTCGCAATTGGGTTGCATCGACCACGTGGAAGAATTCCTCAATGAGACTTGACAACGATCGCTGGGTCATGCCGGCGAAAAAAACTCTAGAGAATACCCCTTTCCTCCTTCAATCACCGAGAATGCGACACTAGCTTCTGTAACTCTACCATCCCCGCTCGGGCATTTTGGCTCTGTTTGTCCACCTTCCTCGGCCGGCATTGACTGTCGCATTCGAGAATTGTACCCTGGCATCCATGAAGACGAGGGGGCCTGGGATATCCCCAGCTGCCTGCGGGTCGCGATGGCGCTCGATTTTATGGACACGATCAGAGCTGTGATGAGGGGAGGCAGATTTAAGTACAGCCCATTGCCCCCGAGGAACCCTGTGAGGGAAGTCCAAGCAAGCACTGGCATCTGGTCCGACCGTCACAAGTCGGCTCTCAAGTTCACCATGGCTGCCATGTTTCTCCTTGTCGTGGGCTATATGGTCATCGCATTCATGTAAGTCCTTTGGCTGACTCCTGGTCTATTACTTCCACACTAAACATCGACTCAGGCGTGTCGTTGAATGTGCGCCAACCTGTGCGATTAAGTGCGACACTCCACAAAAGGGGTTTCAATGCTCACCAGAGATTTCGCACTTCTGGGGCCAGTACTCGCCATTCTTCTCTGTGCCGTCAGAATTGAGTCCTTCCGTACCAGCTGGCTGTGAGATCACATTCGCTCAGATCCTTTCTCGCCATGGTGCTCGAGACCCAACAGCTAGCAAAACCAAGCTGTATCAGAGCACCATAAATCGCATCCACAGCTCGGCAACAAGCTATGGCAAAGGATATGAGTTCATCAAGGACTATGAGTATACCCTTGGTGCCGACCAGCTGACGACATTCGGTCAGCAGGAGCTGATCAACTCCGGCATCAAGTTCTATGCGCGTTATAAGGATCTTGCAAGCATCTCTCCATTTGTACGGTCATCCGGCCAAGACCGTGTTGTCGAATCAGCTATGAACTGGACACAGGGCTTTCACCAGGCGCGACTCGCTGACAAGCAGTCGACCAGCCCGGATAGCTATCCCTATGACATTGTCACCATATCAGAGGACGCAGGTATGAACAATAGTCTGAGCCATAGCATATGCACTGCGTTTGAGGATGGCCCTGTATCTGAAATTGGAGACGACGCTCAGAGTGCCTGGTTGGACGTCTTCGTCAGAAGCATCACGAACAAGCTGAATGCGAACCTCCCTGGGGCTAATATATCTGCTATCGAGACTATCTACTTGATGGATCTGTGCCCATTCAATACCGTTGCCAGCACCGATGGTTCTCTCTCGCCGTTTTGTGGTCTATTCAGTAAAGACGAATGGGAAGACTACGACTACTTGCAAAGTTTGAACAAGTGGTATGGATATGGCAACGGCAATCCTCTGGGGCCTACTCAAGGTGTTGCCTTCACAAATGAGCTGATTGCCCGATTGACCGATCAGCCAGTCGTCGATCACACTGCGACGAATACCACTATGGATAGCGATCCAGCAGACTTCCCGCTTGGCAAAACACTGTACGCGGACTTCAGCCACGACAACGACATGACTGCCATCTTCGCGGCGCTGGGCCTGTACAACGCTACGGCTCAGCTATCTAATACTACAAGAGAGTCGACTGCCGAGACGAAGGGCTACTCGGCTAGTTGGACTGTCCCTTTCGCTGCGAGGATGTATGTTGAGAAAATGACTTGCAGCGGGAGCACCGACGAGTTGGTCAGGATCCTCGTCAACGACCGAGTGATTCCTCTAGGGAGCTGCGGCGCAGATGCTCTTGGCAGATGCACTTTGGATAACTTTGTGTCCAGCCTTAGCTTCGCGCGCAGCGGAGGACATTGGGATCAGTGCTTTGTATAATATTACTTCATAAAAGTGCAAATATGCAACCATAGAAACAATGCCTCCATTGCGAATCGACGAGAGTTCGATGAAATACCCCTGGAAGCATGTTTCAGGCTTTACGAATCACAAGCCTATCCATAGAGTGATCGAAATCAGCAAGGGGTTGGGTAGTGATCTATCCTAGGGCTGAGAAGGACCGTTGTAAAAATAGCAAATGTTCTAACGGCCAGTCTGAGACATACATCGCGAGGTGAGGCTTAGAGGGGCTTATGAGGTGTCCTATCGGAGTTCTTGGCCAGCAGACCTGCACCATTTGAAGGGGCTGAGGAGAGACAGATGTCGGTCTGCTAGCAATTCAGGACAGCTGCTGGCTATTTGCCTGACTCTTTTGAGTAAAACATTCAATCGAGGTTTCATCACCATTTTGACCAGATCAACGTCTCAGAAACAAAAGATTGTGGGAGGGAGCCGTGGCGTTCGGAGACCTAGCTGATCGCCAGGGCTGATGCATCTTTAGTTATCTTCAATGCGCCATTGGTGCTGCTGTGGGGTTGGCTGGGAGGCGTCGCTTGGCGATTGGAGTGCGCCCGCCGCTAAATGAGGTTGCCAGCACCTGGGAACCTCTAGCTTGGTTAGGTACTGTACCTACCATTTCCGGGCGGTCGCAAGGTAAGAAGACTATCAATCACATCACGCCTGTACGCTACGCTAAGCGGGCGGCTTGCTTGCTTGCTCGCACCCGAGACTGCCAACGTCAGCAACCTCAATCCTCCTCATCACCACCAAACCAAGCGGTCGGCCGGTTGTACATCCCGTACCACAGATGTCAGCATATCTCATCCGACTGACCCAATCCACTTGTCCTTGACGTGAGCGACCCCCATCGTCACCATCATCCTCGTCCAAGACGCAACCAGCCGCATCCAAAGATGGTCTCCACAGCCGGGACGATTATCATCGTCATCCTGGTCCTGGCCGTAGCTGCTGCTGTGGGCTGGGTTCTGTACGCTCGATGGCGCGCTCAGAGATTAGGCGTAAGTCTTCCACTCCTCCTATACTCCATCGGGACTCATCGCAATTGATCCTCTATTTCGCTTCTGGTGCTTGACGGTTATGCTGACCGATCCTCACAGCTCCCACCTCCCTCGTGGTCATCCTTCATACCCTTCCGAAAAACTGAACAGCCCTACGGCGTCCAGCCCGCACCCGGCGGCGTCGTCGGCTGGTTCAATGACCAGATCCGCAAGTTCAGGAATCGCAACAACCGCACCGCCGCCGGTGCCTACGAGGGTGCTCCGCTCGGCGGCGCCGCGCGACCCGGACGTCGCGGCTTCGGCCCCCTCGACCCCGACGAGGCATGGGACACACGCGTCGGCACAGAGGCGGATGCATACGGCCCGGGTGGCTACTACGAGGAGCAGGAGCTTGGGCTTGCGCCACGACACGGCGCGGAGGACACGGCGTATGGGGGCGGGAGCAGCTATCCTATGAATCTGGCTGCAACGCCGAGCGCAGCGCCTGCGGGCTTTGGCGAGGAGGAGGGTAGGGGCAGGACGCTTAGCAGGAGTCCCGGCCCCGGCGGACAGGGCCTGGGTGTGCCAGGCAAGTCTGGCGCCAATCCGTTCGACGACGATGCCGAGCCGAGCAATATGAGCTTGAGAGGAGTCAGTCCACGGCCGATTGACACGGAGCGAGCCGCATCGAGTCACGGCAAGGACCCTGGATCAGGAGAGTCCCCGACTGAGAGGAGATCGGTTTTCAGGGAGAACGTGTAGTATGGCTTTGCGGGGGTATTGCGATGGTAGGATTGTTGGTTACAGCTCGGCGTTCTCGAAAAGCCTTCCTCTGACTTCATATTGACTGTTGTCCGGAGTACTTTCACTTTTGACTCTACCTATCTTATACGGCTGAAGACGTCTTTTGAGGGTGTGCTAGGCTCTGTAACCATACACATGTTGCAAGGAGGAAAGGATGGTCCAGGCAAATGATTTACGTATGCACTTATGATAAGCACTTGGGCAACTCTTGGCCCTAATGAATTGAGGCATATCTGCAGCTGTATCTTGGGGGTTATCGGGAAAATGTCTGCTAACGAAGTAATGACGCGGTTCTTCTCCAAGTTCGTTCTACATTTGCGTCGAAGCGCCTTCAAGTTTGGGCGGCTAGCTATAAAGAGTTATGTATTCTCGAGAAACCGCATAATTTGAGCCTATACTGATGGGTAAAGTACTTATGCAGCCAGCTGATACTGAATCAGTCGGCACTCGCAGAGCAAGCGTTCACTTATGCTGCTTTTGACTTCTTTAAACTTTCGTCCTTCGGAAGCGAATGCATGCAATTATTCCAGGTTTGCTTCCTCCCTCCCTCAGGGCGAAACATTCGACAACATGCCTGCTGGTGCCTCTCTAATTGGGCTACTGAACCTAGAAATTCAACACCGTAGTGGGGCTAACGACGACAGCATGAACTTGGAGGGGTAAAGCTGATGTCCCAAACACTGACACTCGGCTTTTCGAAGTTAATAAACATCCATTTCAACGGCACTCACGCTTTTAAGAAGCAGAAAGATTATCGTATCAGTGTGAACCAAACCTGTCAAGAAGATGGCTGAGGTCAACCTTCAAGAAATCCACGACACTCTGCTCTCCATTGCCTTCGAGGCGGGGCGGATGATCATGGCAGCCAACCCTGACGACATCTCAACCGGCACGAAACTGAACTGTGTGTCTCCTTATTCCTGAATAATGTCCTCTTCAGAAGGCCCCTACAGGTGTCTCCTCCTCATGAATGTCGAGGATTTCTTCATTAGCTAACCAATTGCTCATTTCTTAGCTGTCGACATTGTCACCGAGACCGATCAAGCTGTCGAGAAGATGGTTAGCACTCGGCTACAAAACAAATACCCAACCTTTTCCTTCGTCGGTGAGGAGACCTACGTCGCCGGCGAGACCAAAGTTACGGATGCCCCAACATTCATCGTCGACCCCATCGACGGCACGACCAACTTCGTCCACGGCTTCCCGAACGCATGCATCTCGCTCGGCTTCGCAGTCAACCGCATCCCCGCCGTCGGCGTCGTCTACAACCCCTTCCAGGACCTGCTATTCACTGGCATCCAGGGCCACGGCTCGTTCGTGCAGCGCAACGCCAGCCTGCCCGCGCCGGGCGAGAAGAGGCGGCTCGGCCCCAAGACGCCGCTGGGCGACCTGAGCACGGCGCTCGTCGCGGTCGAGTGGGGCAGCGAGCGGGACGGGCCCAACTTCGACATCCGGGCGGACGTGTTCCGCAAGTTGACGGCGAGCAAGAAGACGGGCGGCAGCATGGTGCACAGCCTGCGGTCGCTGGGCAGCGCGGCGCTGAACCTGTGCGCCGTGGCCGCCGGCCAGTGCGACATGTACTGGGAGGGCGGCTGCTACGCGTGGGACGTGTGCGCGGGCTGGGCCATCCTCAGGGAGGCCGGCGGCATCATGGCCAGCGGCAACCCGGGCGACTGGGACCCCGCGATCGACTCGCGCGTGTACCTGGCGGTCAGGGGGGCGCCGAGCGGGCAGAAGGAGCTGGTGGAGGAGCTGTGGGCGGTCATTGGCGACAGCAAGATGTCCTACAAGCACTAGATGATGGTGTGCCCCGAGCAGGTAGATAAAATATATTGCAGAGCACTGCCGGCATATGCGAGCATGGGAAGCGAACACTTAGATGGGAGGATGGCATGCATTGTCGGATACCATAGATGGCTACGGCGACATGGGGTAGCAAAACAGCTCCTCTCTTTATCAAAAGAGTTGGCGTAGACTAGGAAGCAATAGATTACACAGTATGTGACTGCAAAATTGCCTAGGCAACATGAGGCAGACTCGTGTGTTTTCCTGCATTTGGAAAGAACAGTCTTTGCCAAGTTCCATGTCAAAGTTCAATGAACAGTGCACGAGATCAACACAGAACGAATAGAGAGAAGCTCAGCCATGGGTTGGGCTGCCAGCATACAAACATAACGCACTTAAATACTTGCGTTTGAAAGGTGGCATTTTATTATCAATAAGAACGAGCTATGTAAAGCGTGGCGTCTCGTCCTCACGGCCGCTGAAGAACCAGGAAAGTGAAGTGTTTTAGGAAAGGCCTGTAACTGCATGAGATGAACATCCAACGAAAACCCCACGACGGTCAGACATGTTTTATGCGGCTTCAAACCGCAAAATTCACTAGATGGCACTTTTGAAGGCACGTCCTAATTATAAATTAGTCTTTCGAGCGCCTTGCGCAAGACTTGACGTCGATGTCGACACTACCCCCACGCCAACCCACGCTCACCCCATACCAAAGACACGGGTACTACTGCAAGGGTCTTAGCTGCCGCGATCTGTCTTAGGATCTGGGGTTTTGCTTCTTAAATTAGTCTAGGAGAACTCCATGTCGTCATACAAGAGACGAACAAGAGAGTGGGTGAAGCTGAGGAGAACACAGAATGTCGCTGAACGTCGTTATCTCTGGAGTTGTAGGCAGGATCACAAAGGCCATATCTGAGAGTGGTATAACCTTGGCAACGTAGCTGTTTCGCAGACGGGACAATTCTTCCGTACCTCGAGCTAGCGTCTTGCTCGACACAGAGAGCTCCCGCTAGCGTAGCGCACACTCGGCGCTACAAGATAGCTCTGGAGCTCTGAAGATCTTGATGGAGGGTGGGTTGTCGGGCCGGCCGTTGTTGCAGGGTAAATGGAGGCCGGCCGAAAAGGTAGCTTGAACAGCTGCCGACATCAATTTGCGGTCTAGGGTGAGTGCCGTGCATTGCATTTTCTGCACGCTTGAAACCTGAACAAAGGACCGTTACGTGAAGGAGGGACGGGGAAGAGCACGGAATCGCAGAGCTAAGGCGAGTTGATAAGGCAGGCGAGTTCAGTGTGCCCTCAAGGATCCAATGAGTGCCAGCCACCGAATCGCCCAACAGTCTTGATGCTTGTTATCTTGCATCATGAGTGAGAGCAGCCCACATGCAGAGATTTTCGTACGACTGCCTCTCGAGCAATACAGGACCCTGCTGGGCAATCGTTACTTTGCTTTTCTCGGCGGCTGGCGGTACATTGGGAGGCAAAATGATGCTTTGCAACAGCACTCTACATCTGGTAACACAACAATACCAAGGGATCGTAACTTTGGCAGCATGTGAAACGATCCACAACAGGCTTATGATAAGCCAACAAGGAAAGACTTGGAGAGCCGCCGCGAGAACCGCTTTGGCCTGACTCTGTTGATCTATCCGATCCTACCGGTCTCGGCGAGTCGTGTTATTGTTGCTGTTGCACTGTATAAATTGCTTCTCGAGAAATATGGCAAGGTTGAGTACTTAGGCGGTGGACCCAAGCTAGGTCTTGCATATACCCGTCATTCCACTTAGGCAAGCGGCTCACCGATGCAAAGCTTTGACTGTGGAGGGAGTGCTCGAGCCATATGAGAGCGTCAGCGGCTCCCGAAAAGGTCAATGAGCGGTGATTTGCATCTCCCATCGAGGTTCACGAGGTGAGTCAATGTGAGCGCATCACGAGAGCCCGAAACGAATCTGTCTTACCCAGCCCTGGGCTCTACTCTTGCTCGCCACCACAGGCCGTTGCGATGGTGGATGGAAGCACAGAAGAATTTGGTGTGCTGGAGCGTGCTAGAATCCTGGGTCAAGATCATTTGGGCCACGTTGGTCGGGAATTTATGTAAGAAAATCGGATAGTTTGATAGCTCAAAGTGCCGTAAAAAGAGCCAAGCACTGTCTGGCCAGACCGCTGCTTCATTGGCTAGCTTCGACTATCGACAAGCGTACCACGCTTTCTGACGCAGCTTTTGAGTCCTATACAGCGGAAGATATGAGGATGGATGCTGCGCTAAACATCCCGCCTGAGACAGAGGGCAGAGGCGAGGCGAGGCGAGAAGTAGGTAGACCTGCGCCGTCTCCGAACCGCACGACTCAGTGCACTCGACACATCGACGATGGCGGATGCACATCCACGGTTACACGACGTCCACTGTAGCTGGTCCCCTACTTATGACTGCGTAGTACGTACTGTACCAAACCGTGCGTGCAAGTGTTGCTCCTACTGGCCGGTCGCTTTGGACTGTTCCAGAAGGCCGGAATATGGCCATCCTTTGGGGCGTGGCACGATGCTCTGGGCGTCGATCAACATCAAGGACTCTAGGTATTGTATAGTTGTTACGAGCCGACGTAGGCGACGCAAAGAAGACAGTGGATACAGACGGAGACGTTCGAGCATGAATATCTCGGCTTGTTTTCCGTGACACCGCTTCTTGTTCAAGCAAAGCGGCGATCCAGGAAAATGAACCAGTCATCGACATCTGGTGGGCATTGGGAGCGGGAATGGTCATCAGTCGAACGTCCAGGTTGATGCTCCATGGTGTTTGCCCCTGCTCAGAAGAACAAGACTACTGCGTAGTAACAGATTGTTTCCTTGTTCTTTGCGAGCCTTCCCGTTCCTTGCCGTCCAAAGTGGATGCTCTGAATTGTTGTTTCTTGCGTTGATTCATTCATTCCATTCAATCATGGATGCCTTTGCACCTCCAGGGCTGCTCACGGATCCACTCAGTAGGAATTGCGGTAATGCGCCGTTAGCATCAAGGGAAGAAGCGCCGCTCCTCGTCCCAAATTTCCCCGATCTGGCCCCCAGCTACTGAGCTACGAGGCTACCTAGTAACTGCAGCTGTCCCTGCAACCTGCAACATGCACACTGGCAGAGTAAGTCACTTGCCTAGCGCGTTGCACTTACATAGCGTATACAGTATACACCGTGTTGATTCTTAGCCTCTCACCTTATCATCCAAGCAAGCCAAACCCGAGCCGTTTCTGCGTCGATGGACAAGTCCAAGGTACGACGCATCACCACCACCATGTAAGGCAAGATAAGGTACCGTATGTAGGGAGGTGAACATTTATCTCCCTTGTCTCTTTTTCCTCGGTCCAAGGTGTTGCCCACCCCCTACCTCTCTCTCTCTGTCTCTACCTCTATCTGTCTCTGCCTCTGCCTCTGCCTCTGTTTCTGTACCGTCCTCAGCAGCTGCATCTGCCCATCATCGTTCCTATCTCGGCTTGCGACCCTGCCTGCAGCTGCTTCTCAACATAATAAATAATTGTCACCCTCCAACTCCTCCTGCTGCTCACTGACGTACACGACCACCCCAATTTAATTTCCCTACGGTCCTCATAGTTTCGATTGGGACCAGGAGGAATAGAAGCCCAAGTGGCGAGCGAGACACAGCAATTTAAACACTTGTACCTTCGTTGAGTGGTCGAGTGTGCTTGTGTCTTTAGTCGTAAGGCGTTGACCATATCGAGAAACAATGGCCCTAACAAAGCAGAGAAGCCCTCGCGATCCTGACGATTTCCCTACGGTCCAGCTTTTCCTACTTGGTAAGCCTCCCTGCTCTCTTCATCGCCTGTATGTCATGGTGCAATGTCACTCATCATTTTCGCATAGCTATCGTTCGCCTCGCAGAGCCTATTGCCCTCACTTCCATCTTTCCCTATGCGTGGGCTCTTGTCAAGCGGTTTCAGATCGGCGATGAGCAGAATGCATCATTCTATGCAGGGCTGCTCATCTCTTCCTTCGCTCTGGCGGAGGCCATGATGGGCATGTATTGGGGTGGCCTCTCTGACAGGATCGGCCGAAAACCCGTCCTTCTCGTGGGATGTCTGGGAACCATGTTCAGCATGATTTTGGTGGGATTTGCCTCTAATATCTGGATTGCCCTACTGGGAAGAGCCATTGGCGGCTTTCTCAACGGCAATATTGGCGTGATCCAGACCATGGTAGGAGAGCTGGTAACAAAGCCAGAGCACGAGCGTAAGTACAAACTTCGCTCATTTTTATCATTCGGTTGAGAAACATCAAGGCTAATTGTGCAGCTCGCGCATACTCCATCATGCCTTTCGTTTGGAGTGTTGGCACTATCATTGGCCCATGCATTGGAGGCACATTCGCCGACCCCCATGAGTCCTTCCCCGACAAGTTTCCAATCGGAAGTCTTTTTGAGAGGTTCCCATACCTCCTACCCAACCTCGTCTGCGCGGCTCTCCTTCTAATCAGCATTATCCTCGGCTATTTCCTCCTGGACGAAACTCACCCGGACATGCAACCGCGTGTGTTGCTTCCGAATGATACCTACGTATCCGAAGAGACACCCCTCATTGAGACTTCCGATGCCATCAAGAGACCCGCAGTAGACCTGCGTGCCGAGACTTATGGCACCATGCGAAGTAGAAATGGTCCGGTGGAGCGCAAGTGGGAGGAACTTGAGAAGCAACCGCCTTGCAACATCTTCTGCAAGCGCATCATGGCCGTTGTGCTCTCGCTATCTATATTTACTTATCACAGTATGACCTTTGATCACCTCCTTCCGATATTCTTCGAAGATGCGAGAGAGATCACGGGCCCCTTGCTCTCGAGTTCAGTGTCTCTCTTCAACCCCTTCTATTCGCCAGGAGGTCTAGGCCTTTCTCTCCGATCCGTCGGAATGATCATGGCCGTCAATGGCCTCATTGCACTATTTATCCAGGCCGTTGTGTTCCCAATCGCTGCCGAGAGAATCGGCGTCTACCGACTATTCATCATTGTCACCGTGCTGCACCCAATAGCCTACATCGTCATGCCCACCTTGCTCTGGGTGCCGGAATCTCTGCTCTTCCCCGCTATCTACGCTTGTCTGACGCTCCGGAACCTGTTCTCGATCCTCGTCTACCCTCTGCTTCTCATCCTGATCAAGGAGGCGACGCCAAGCTCGTCCGTGCTGGGCAAGGTCAATGGGATGGCGGCGAGCGCTGGAGCCGCTTGCCGCATGGTCGCCCCGCCGGTGGCTGGATATCTTTACAGTGTGGGGAGCAAGATGGACTGCACAGCGTTGGCGTGGTACGGCAGTGTCTTCGTCGCAGTGCTCGGAGCCATTCAGTGCTTCCAGGTCAAGCGTGAGAAGGTCGATGATGACTTCAGCGGAGAAACAGTCGGCCAAACCCCGAGAAAACAGCAGAGCACAGTCGCGGTTACAGCTATAACCGAGAACGAGGAATAATTGGGGAAGAGATAGTAGTCGTTGCCTCCAGGGCGCTTGTAATTAGAAAGATTTGACAATGCATCGAGAGGTATAGATACGGGGAAACGCTCAGCTATCACGACGGCAATGTTCATGAAAACGAGCGAGGCGTTTAGAGGATTCGGTTTATCTGGACCTTGGAGCATGGTTATGGTCTGACTAAAGAGTGATCGATTTATGATCAACTTGGGCTGAATTCAGCATAGATCTCACGAAATAGAGCTGATTCAGCTCAGATGTCAAAGTAAAGGCGAAATCACATCTGGTGCGTTGTTGTTGTTATCAATCAGGAATATCACCGAATATCCAAAGGCAACTAATACATTGGTACCTACAAATTACTATACCAGCACCTAGCTTATATTTTGTAGTATGATAGATAAAGTAATCTGAGCCAAATCTGATCAAATAAATATGTATTTGGGCATCCCTAGGTGCATTACACCACATCCACAGGAGTGACTCGTTCTTACCATCGGCTCCCAAACTTTGAATCTGTGACTCGAATCCCCCAAACGTTGTCGGGAGCTATCAGCTCAAAGACACTAACATTAACAGCTAAGCTGCTAAACTTGACAGCTGGGCCCCACTTGCTGCACACTATGTCGATGCACCCGTTACGCTAAAATGTCTAGGTAAGTAGTTACTACATACTCGGCGGCAAATCTCTTGAAAATATTTACTGATATTGAACCTACCCAGACAGGCTACGCGAAATCACATACAGCCTTCACAGTAGATTCATGTGTGGTCGTCGCCGAGAAGAAAAGTCTTGACAATTTCTCCGAGACTTCGAGCGCTACACTCGTGAAAATGCGCCTGCAGGAGATCGTTGATGGCACGGAGGGTCTCACTCTAAAGGCCGCAGAAGAAGGAGCAAAATCACAATCCAGCCAAGCGACAGCAGAGCCAGCACAAGATGCCAGGCCACAAGCGATGGCCCCGGAGCTGCCTCCGCAGCTTGCAATCAACAGCGGCAAGACGGCGGCGGAGATTATGGCCGATCTGAACAAGTCGCCCCTGTTCATGACGGAGCTGGAGGAGAACGACGACATCGCAGCGCTGCAGGCACTAGCGTACGAGGGAACGTCGCTGGAGAATGCCGTGAATTTCAAGGAGCAGGGTAACGAGTGCTTTCAAGTGAAGCAGTGGTCGGATGCCAAGGAATTTTACGGCAAGGGAGTCGCCATCGTAGTCACCGAGGAGAGGAGGCGGGCGAAAGGCGAGAAGCCCCGAGAAGGAGACCCGGATGGAGACGATTCCGAGGAGATCCGCAAACAGAAAGCCGTGCTTGAGGTTCTGTATGTCAACAGGGCGGCGTGCGAGCTCGAGCTCAAGAACTACCGGAGCGCCTGGCTCGACTGTGGGCGGGCGCTGCAGCTGAATCCGAAGAACCTGAAGGCATACTACAGGAGTGCGAAGGCGTTGCTAGCGGTGGGACGCATTGCGGATGCGGATGATGCGTGCGCGAGAGGCTTGGCGATAGACGCGAACAACTCGGCGCTGAAGACTGTGGCGACAGAGATCATTAAGAAGGCGGAGCAGATGGATGCCAAAGCAAAGATCGAGAATGCGAGGATAGCGAAGGAGAAGAGGCGCGAGATGCTCATGAAGGCTGCGCTCAAAGCAAGGAATATCAAGGTCAGGAGTACAAATCAACCACCAGAGATGGAGGACGCAAAGTTGCAACTCGTGCCAGACCCGGACGATCCGAGGAGTAGCCTGAGCTTTCCGACTGTTCTGCTGTATCCGGTGCATCTGGAGACGGACTTCATCAAGGCGTTCAACGAGACGGAGAGCCTAGAGCAGCACTTTGGCTATGTGTTTCCCCTACCTTGGGACACTCAAGGGGTGTATACGACAAATGGGGTGGAGTGCTACATGGAGACACTTGCTGGCGGTTTGATCAAGGTTGGCAAGAAAGTCCCCCTGCTTAAGGTGCTCGGAACTGGCAAGGTTGAGGTGGTAGATGAAGTTGTCAAAATCTTCGTGGTACCAAAAGCGAAGGCAGACGCCTGGGTCCAAGAGTTCAAGACGAAGAAGGCGGCGGAGCTGAAGGGCACGTCGTGAAAGCATCACTAAGGCATTGTGCTATTTTAGGTCGAGAAGTGCAAAGTCTGCGGAGGAAGATGCATCCCAGACTACAGTTGCTAGAGCCCTCGCTATCTGGGCAAGAAGACCATCAATTCGTCTTTGGGAGATTAGGTACACAAATGCCTTGTAACGTGGTAAAGAGAATAAAAATTCCTCTATTAGCGGCAGACCAAGGAAGATTCCTGGACCTTCCCAAAATCACCATGGCGTGGCGGCTTCCACAATGAGCAGGGCTATCGATTACTCTTTCATGAAGATCAGCACTATTGAAAAGCCTTCCGAGTTGTGATTATGCAATTTACGTTAATTCGATAGCATTAAGTACGGAAACCTATTCCCTTTCCTTGCGCTCCGTAATGCCCTCCAGGTTGAAAATGCGACAAGAAACAATCATTTTACTCATAGATTTCAAACGAACCAAACCGAAGGAAGACATGCAAACCCGTGAACTGTGCACCATTACACGCCTTCTCGACAAGGGAAGACCCTCCGCCAGGAGTTTATACTGCATCAACAAATCACATCGATGTTGCCCTACGCCGCTTGCTTCTGTGCTCGGCGTTAAGGGGCGGTGAACACTGCATAGGAGTCTCTTTCTTATCGACCTTTCCTTTCTGTCTGTCCCGGACACTGAGATGCATGAGTAGGTAGGCTGCATTCTTGTCGACACCACTATGCGTCGACTCCTCCTTGACATCACCTCGAGAGGTGCTTGTAGGACTGTTGCTTCCATTTTGGCTTTCGCCGGCATCGTAGTCGTGATCGGCCTCGGCCTCGGCTGGGCGCTTTGCGCTCCAATATGAAAGCTGGGTCGAAGGGGCTGGCAGAGCACGATGATGTATGCCACCGGTGCGAGGCACAACACTGAGCTCGGGATCGGCACCATAGTAGTTGGCCTCGCGATTGTGATGATAGCTTGTGTGATTCGCAGCCGTCCACCCAGAAGTGTTGCGGAGTGGTTGGATGTTAGAAACCATATACTTTCCATGCCTGTCATTGCTCCTGCCCATGCCTAGTTCGGGGCTTGAGTATGCGTCCCCGCTGTTGTCGGGACTATCCATTTCACGAACCCGCTTCGAACGAGGATGGGATTGACCATAGTCAAAGGGCGGCAAGCGAGCCATATGTTGCGGGCTTCTTGGACTAGGAAGGCTCGTGGGACTGGGAAGTGCCTGATATGGCTGTTGAACGGCCGCGTACATTCTTCGGAAAGCTTCTGCTTCACGTGTCGAATCTAATATGATAACCGGGTCGATTGTCATGCGACCATGCTCTGGAGCATCCACGGGGACGCATTGGGAAGGGAAATCGGGTCCGAAGATTGGTATCAGAGCCCCTGCAATGGGTTGGCAGAAGGTTGCACAGATGGCCTTTGCACAGGCATATGGCATCCAATATCCTGGTAGTTGGAGCTTGTTAGCCTGATAAGTTTGGGGTGTTGCTAACCAGGTTGTGCTTACCCTGGGCCATGATTGAGCCTCCAGTGATGCTATGAGTGATGTCTCGGAGACCCTGGTTCATGTTAAGCATCTTCGCTGGCATTGTCTGTCTCGAAGTCAGCAATGGTAGGAGGTGTTGAAGGACTGCGACAACACACCTTCGAGTATTTGCAGCATTTGAAGAAAGGAGTCATTCGAACGAGGCCAACATTGTAGTCCCACATTACAGTATATTCGGCGTCATCTTCAGGAACCTTGAAGACGTATTGGAACACTACACAAACAAGTCAGATATGGCCAGAGGATGCAAATAGAAAGACAAGGGAATCTCGACCTTCGAAGCTCTCGCGACCAGTCTTCTCATAGAAGTCCTTCTTGCCGCTGTTGTATGGAATATGACGGCAGAAGTCCTGGATCTTGCCGAACGGGTAGACTTGGAACTTCCTCACTTCTCGGAGGAAGATCTCGTCGAGGTCTTCGAATGGTCGGAAGTTCACAGAACCCTTGGCCTTGGATTTGGTGAAGACTTCAGAGTCCTTGCCTGCCATGCTCTGTTTGGCTAAGAGGTGTCGTTCCATGATCCTGGAGTAGTCGTCTGCGTAAGGAGAAACTGGGGATGGTGAGGCTGGACTTGAACGGAACCGAGAGATCGGTGGCCCAGGAGGGGCTGGGTTAAGAAGCGATGCCAGCGATAACATGGCGGTGTAGTCGAGTGGAGATGTCTCGAAGATAGTATTACGACTGCGGAACGAGAAGATCGGTATCGATGGAGGGCCGAGATGGATGGACGGGGACCGGTGGTAATAACTCAGACAGTGCTTGCAGCAAGTTGAAGGGAAACAAATAGCACGTCAAGGCAAGCCAAACCCTTTTCAATCGGCAAACAGCAAAGCAAATGCAATATTCCTCGCTGTCGGCAAGACTGGTGGTGGCCTGGACAAGGAACCGAGAAGGCCTCTTTTACTTTCTTGAGCCTAACCATGCAGCTGTCTGCAATCCAGGTGTCGGGCTCCGTGTCAACACTATCGGTAATGTTCTCGGTGCAGTGTCTTTGTTCGCGGTGTCTTGGAATCGACCTCTGAGCGTAGAGATGGTCGTTTGGTAGGCCCACCGCTCTTTTCGGGGGTCGAGTGGTAAGCCACAAACTGATTACTGACCGGAGAGAGCGAGGCAGGGACGAGGCCAGCTGATCCAAATCGCTACGATGCCGGCGGATGATCTTGAGCTAATGTGAGAAAGAGGTGGTGGCCAGTGTTCCCTCCCTGGAGGCATTGCTTCAGCATCAGGAGGCCGAATTGTCAAACAACTCCGTGGCAGGGGCTTCTTTTCCTGAATTTCTCACTGATCTGTTGCCTCACAGCACATCGACACTGAACCCGAACTTGAAGCCCGTAAACAGTACGCTTGTGGGGATGATTCCCAAGGCTGAGGTGTGGTAAGTTTCAGTAGATTTCACCAAGATTGGCTGTTGGCCCAAAAGGGGTGAGCACAGGCGACTGCATGACGCAGCGGATGTGTGTGGGCGTAGAAACCACGGATGAGTTTGACACTACAGATTGGTACCCATGGAGAGCCAAACAGTGTCATTGGCTTGTTTGAAGAATGCACAGAGGAGCTTTGACAGAAAGCAGGCTGGCGGCAGCCTGCATGAGGTGCCGTCTAGTTACCATGCTAGACGGCTTTCTGAGAAGGAGTACGACAAAGAAAAGGTATGTCATGCCCTGGATATCCTAGGTATGAAGGCTTGCTTGACTCGACACACGTGGTCACTTTGCCCACACCTATGCATAGTTGAGATGAAGGGAAACACACCATCCTGGCAGAAGAAGAGCATGACTCCTTGTTCTCCACAAGCTTCGGTACAGAAGATGAAGGACCACCTGCAGGTTTTCTGTCGTTCGGCCTGACCGCTCAAAAGGCGAATGTTCTCATCTGCTTTTCTCTTCGGAAAGCTCCTGCGCATAACCGACTTGATCCATAAGAAAGTGGCCCTCGTCAAGAAAGTTCTGAACGTGTTCCAGAAGCTAGCCCGGGATTGTCCATTGACGCTGGGTACATCCTTCTTTGGAAGCTGCAGCTGTCAGAGCACCAAAGCATGTTTCCCCACGAGCTTTGGCGTGTACAAGCAGAAAATGTCCGAAATGCTACACAGAGCTTGTGCTCAACTCAAGCGGCCGACCACTTGGTCATCCTTGAAGGCCTGTCTTCTTTCCTGTAGCAATGGAAACCAAGGTAGGTATCCCGGCGGTCTGTCACAACGATTGCCAAAGGATAACAACATAAGAAAGGAGAGCTTCGCTGGGCTGGCAACAGTACGGCTACCCCTTAAACGTCGGTGGCGTTGTTAGATGAATAAATTAATGAAGATGCACTCTCGGAAGATCGGTAGATCCTCCGGTAATGGATGGTATCAGCATACTAACTATCCTGGCTGGGGTGGGAAGGACGGCAGGGTAGATCGATGAGACTCAACATTAGAGCATTCTGGCCTCGAGTCAACTGTGCCCCTGGTACAATCCATGGCGTGTGATCCCGCCGCGATGAGTTCTGCAGCCATCCGCATTTCAAGGGGCCACGGCGCCGCTACCTTGCCTGGAGGCAGGACATGGTATGGCCAATGCAGAGCCACAAACGGACGCCGTGACAGGAGAGGCTACCAAATTGGCAGTAATAAAGTACATACTAGACTTAAAATGTGCCTTGAACGGAGGGAGATGGCCGTGCTCCTAGCCCAATGCGGTGTAATGAGGTCTGTCGAAGCCATCAACGGCGTAGAAAGGTCCCCATGGACAACAGTCAGATCTCATGATTTCGCTCGTTCTTCATGCTTCTACTCTCATAAGGGTCTCATTGTGGAAGAGCTTCGGGACCTATCGAATCTGTTTGGATCCTGCTCTGTCTCGATGCGATGGCTCTTCGACAACGCACCATCAGACGGAAGTGTGCGAATGGTGATGTACCGAGAACTCGAATGACACCCTATTGAGACCTTTCCAGAACGTCTGTGGGCTGCATATGGCGGTGGCCCCCACGATTGACACGCCTGGCCGGTCGTCACCAGAGAGTTTCTGGGGTTCCGGACAAGGTTTCAGATGATTGTACAGTTGTTTTTGTCACACAGCATGAGGTTGACAGGCAAGTGAAATATTGGCAGCATCTGGACGCTGCGCCGTGTTACCAGTGGGAGTAGCCACGGCTGTACGCATCGACTTCGGGAAATTTCCTCCCTCTCACTTTCGGGAGGAGGAAACGGCAATCGTACCGCATGGATGTTATGCAGAAGATGCCCGCCGCGTGCACCAGTGGAACCACTGAAGCTCGGGGTGGTCGCCCAAGGGAAGATGTGTGATGGCGGGAACGGGGAAGGCCAGATGGCTCAGCATGGGTGTAGACGGTGCTACATGCCTCCAAGTGAGGCACAGAAACTGCAGATCGGCCAAAGAGACGCATCTCAAAACGCTTTGCGAGCAGCAGAATAAATCTCACGCCCATATCTGATAAGATGATGTCTTCAAACATCGGCTTACCTGAGAACAAAAGCTCATCACGAAACAACTCTAAGGCATTGGCACTACATCAGTTTGTACACGACACGCAACAACCAATTGAGAATCATCATCTGAATCCAGCCTGACTGTCTAACCCTCCTTGAGGCAACAGTGAGGGGAGATGGACGGGTATCACGCTGGTTGTTGATCTTGTGCGATTGTCCGCAAAGAGAGGGGGAAGCAACGGCACCTATTAGCATTTGGTCAAACAACCTGGAAGCACAGAAGCCACCGAAGAATGCTGGAAGTCCAGCAAGAGCAATACGGGAGGCACACCAGTACACACTAGAAAAGGGGTGATTACCTCACCACAAGGTCAGAGTGATAACGGGTCATTCTGTGCTGCTGATCTAGAGTTGGAGGGTTGTTTACTGGCTCCCTTAGCTTTGTGTTGTGGTCTCGGCAGGGGGTGTCAAGCCACATAAGCCACAATAACAGAGCTAGCAGGTGGCAGCCGCGGGAAGGCATAGGCCGACGACTATGGGGCGGTAGGGGCACGTGACTCAAGTAAGCATCGACGCGTACCTGATCTTCTAAGGGCCCGCGGTCAGCCCTTTCCTAATTCGCTCTAGTTCCAGACTACCAAGGCAGGGAACCTTTGAAGGACGGAATTTTGAGACGCGTCGAGGGTAGCCGCCACTGTCTGTCAGTGCCGGAGAGAGTGACACGCATTGTTGACATCCCCTCCCTGCTCTTCCCCCGCGCCCATTCTCCAGACTAGACCAAAACAAACATCTTTTCGTCAATCTCGCGACAACCTGCACATCAAGTTGGCAACCTTTCGAGCAAAACTCTATCGAGCCCGCTCGCTCGAGCTGTGCCGAACAAGATGGCGCCAACAACGACGCTCAAGACGAAGCCGGCGGTGAAGAAGAGACCTAAGCCAGAGAGCGATGATGACGACGACGACATGTTTAGGGATGGAGAGAGTGACCTGTCGCACACTCCTCCCAGCTCAAAGAAGCAGAAGAAGGCACCTGCTGCAAAGAAATCTAGCGGGAAGCCTCTGGCCGAGATTGAAAACGACAGTTTCATGCACGTCGATGGCCCTTCGGAGCCGAAGCAGAAGAAGTCGGCAACGGAGACCTACCAGAAGCTCACTCAACTTGAGCATATCCTCAAGCGTCCCGATACGTACATCGGCTCGGTTGAACGCATCGAGCAACAGATGTGGGTGTTCGACAAGGAGACAAACTTGATGGCCAACCGAAAGATCTCCTTCGTGCCCGGTCTGTACAAGATCTTCGACGAAATCTTGGTCAACGCGGCCGACAACAAGCAGCGTGACTCTACGATGAGCTACATCAAAGTCACCATCAATCGAGAGGCCGGAGAGATCACCGTCGAGAATGACGGAAAGGGCATTCCGGTGGAAATTCATCAGAAGGAGAAGATATATATCCCGGAGATGGTCTTCGGTCATCTCCTCACTGGCTCCAATTACGACGACAACGAAAAGAAGACTGTTGGTGGTCGTAACGGTTACGGTGCCAAGCTCTGTAACGTTTTCAGTACTGAGTTCAGCGTCGAGACCCAGGATTCCTCGAATGGAAAGCGTTATAAACAGGTTTGGACAGACAATATGAGCAAAGTCGGCAAACCTAAAATCACTTCAAACAAGTCTAAGGACTTTGTTAGGGTGTACTTCAAGGCCGACTTCAACAGATTTGGCATGCCAGATGGCATCGACGATGACCTCGAGTCACTCATCATCCGCAGAGTCTATGATCTGGCTGGCACAGTCACGGGCGTGAAGGTTCACCTCAACGGCGAACAATTGAAGACCAATAACTTCAAGAAATACTGTGAGATGTACGCCAAGGCGATTGCCAAGGAGCGTGGCGATCAAGGTGAGGGCGAACAGCCCCCTGTCGCGACGGTTCACTTTGAAGACACAAAGGCACACGAACGCTGGCAGATTGGTTTCACTGTGTCAGATGGGTCTTTCCAACAGGTATCATTCGTAAACTCAATCGCTACCACATCTGGCGGCACCCACGTCAACTATATCGCAGATCAGATCTGCGAGGCGCTGCTGAAGGATCTCGGGAAGAAGATGAAGGGTCACAACCTCAAGCTCAATCATATACGTAATCACATTTTCATCTTCGTCAACTGCTTGGTTGATAACCCAGCCTTCACGTCTCAGACCAAGGAGCAGTTGACAACCAAGAAGAGCGCATTTGGAAGCAAGTGCGAGCTGACGGATGCCTTCATCAAGAAGATCCGGTCGACTGATGCTATCGAAAACATCATTCATTTCGCCGAGAAGAAGGCAGACAAGATGATGGCAAAGAGTGATGGAAACAAGCGCTCTCGTATAAGCAACGACAAGCTTGTCGATGCCAACTTGGCAGGGACAAGATATGGTCATGAGTGTACCCTCATTCTCACTGAAGGTGACTCCGCCAGGGCTTTGGCTGTGGCGGGTCGTGCTGTCCTTGATCCTGATCGAATCGGTGTCTTCCCCCTTCGAGGAAAGATGTTGAATGTTCGTGATGCATCACTCGACCAGATTACCAAAAACAAGGAAATCCAGAACATCAAGCAGTTCCTGGGTCTGAAGCACAAGCAGGTGTACACCGACACCAAGGGCCTCAGATACGGTCATCTGATGATCATGGCTGATCAGGATCATGACGGTAGTCATATCAAGGGTCTTCTCATCAATTTCCTCCAAGTCCAATTTCCATCCCTTCTTCAGATCCCAGATTTCTTCCGAGAATTCATCACTCCTGTTGTGAAGGTCTGGCAGGGCTCTAATCCGAAGAAGCCTCAGAAGCTGAAGTCATTTTTCACTCTACCTCAATACGAGGAGTGGAAGGAGGCACACAACAGTGAAATTAAGCGATGGCATTACAAGTACTTCAAGGGACTGGGAACTAGTTCCAACGAAGATGCCCAAGTCTACTTCACTAATCTCGATGAACACTTGAAGGAATTCGATGTCATGAGGCCCGACGAGGCAGACCTCTTCGATCTCGCCTTCTCCAAGAAGAAGGCTGATGCCAGAAAAGAGTGGCTAGGAAATTTCATCCCTGGAACCTTCCTTGATCATTCCACAAAACAAATCACATATACGGATTTCGTCAACAGGGAGCTCATCCTTTTCAGCATGGCTGACAACATGCGCTCAATTCCGTCAGTAATTGATGGTCTGAAGCCTGGTCAACGAAAAGTCATCTACGCGTGCTTCAAGCGCAACTTGGTAAAGGATCAAAAGGTTGTTGAGTTGGCTGGTTATGTTTCCGGAGAAACGTCCTACCACCACGGTGAAGCTTCTCTGCAACAAACCATCATTGGCCTGGCGCAAAACTTTGTTGGGTCTAACAACGTCACTTGCCTTGAACCTAGTGGTAACTTCGGTTCTCGTCTTCAAGGTGGTTCTGATGCCGCCAGTGCTCGATACATCTATACTCGCCTATCTCCTTTCGCGCGTCGCATCTTTTCATCCTTGGACGAGCCGAACTTGGAAGCTCAGTATGAAGATGGAAAGATGATCGAGCCAAAGATATACGTGCCTGTGATTCCAATGGTTCTTGTCAATGGAGCAGATGGTATTGGCACTGGCTGGAGCACATCTATCCCTAATTACCACCCCGAGGATATTGTGCGAAATCTGAAGAGACGCATGGGCAGACTCGTGGATGGCGATGATGAGGAGAAGCCCTTTGAGACTATGACGCCCTGGTGGCGAGGCTGGAAGGGTACAGCTGAGCCTGATGGGACGGGCAAGTTTAAGTTCAATGGTATTGCTTTCCAGGATGACAAAAACCCCAATGAAGTTATCATCACTGAGCTTCCCATCCGCATGTGGACTGATGACTTCAAATCGAGACTCGAGGAGATTATTCGCGCCGAAAAGTCGCCATCTTTCATCAAGGATTACAAGGAGTTCAACGACCATAAAAATGTCCATTTTGTCATCCAGATGGAAGAGAAGCACATGAAAGCTGCGCTTGACGAGGGATTGCTTGACCGCTTCAAGCTCAACAAGGCTATCAATACGACCAACCTTGTTGCGTTTGACACCAACGGTCAAATTCGGAAGTATGAGAAGGTGGAGGATATCCTCGAGGAATACTACGTATACCGTATGGATTACTATACTCAGCGAAAGGTAGACTTACTACTGACCTATTCGGATGCAATTTTGCTAATACTCGTGATAGGCCCACTGGCTTAAGGTATATCATGCTGATTATAGAAAATTGAAGAATCAAGCTCGCTTCATCGAGGAGATTATCGACAACAAGCTTATAGTCTCCAAGAAGAAGAAAGCTGTGTTGGTCCAAGAGCTTCGAGATAGGAAATACGAGGCGTTCCCCAAGGGCGAAGATGCCAAGAAAGCACGCTCAACGGACGAGGACCTCGATCAAGATGAAGCTGACGCCGAGGAAATCGAAAATGATGGTGGAACGCGAGACTACGATTATCTCCTCTCGGTAAGAACGATCTGTTATATGTTTCTCCTCGCATCGAGGCTAACTTTGATATTACAGATGCCGATTTGGGCGTTGACCATGGAGCGCCTGGAACGTCTGAAGAAGCAGATCGCAGCGAAGAAGGCCGAGCATGATGACCTCGAATGCCTTAGCGAGAAGGATCTTTGGTGCAACGATCTAGATGCCTTCCTTGCTGAATGGCACACCCAGGTTGCATTGGATGCCGAGATTCAGACCAGTATCCGCCGGATGGGACGTCGCGTCTCCAAGAAGATTGGTGCCGGCAAGGGACGTCGCGCCCGAGACGATGATGACTACAACCCTACCAAGCCCAAGGCCACTGCCAAAGCTGCCAAGGCTGTCGTCAAGGTCGAGCCAAAGGCTCATGAGCGCTTTGCCACCATATTTGGAGGCAAGCCCAAAGCTAAGCCCGCAACCAACACAGTTGGCCATGACGGCGCCTCCGACCCACCAGAGCCGGCATCAGACTTCTCTGACGATGACTACGCCGCTCTCAGCAAGAAGCCCGCTAAAAAGCCTTCTCCAGCAGAATCTGTCTCAGACGTACCTGCAGCGCCAGCAGCCGAAGATGCCGGCAACGGACGTACAAAGCGTGCTGCCGCATCGAAAGCGAAGACTTGGGTCATGGACGACGACGACTCTGAGAGTGATGATGACGACAAGATGCTTGGTGATGTCGGTGCTATGGTTCGAGGCATCGGAGAGCCAGCGACGAATACAGCCAACGGCAGACTTAGTTTGTTTGCCATGTCACGCCCCGAATCCAGTCATGGAAACGCGGCGGCCAATGGTTTGTCAAGGGGCCTAAAGCCTAAGCCTTCCCGGACATTTGACTTTGACAGCCATGACGATACAAACTACGAGATGCTTGCTCGTTCATCGCCGGCCAAGAGTCCAAAGAAGGACGACGTGGACAGCTTCCTGTCTGACGATGATCTTCCGGTAGTGACCAAGGTTACCAAGACTGCAAAGGCATCATCCTCCTCTGCCGCCATCTCAAAGGCACCGCTTAGCGTCGTCCCTGCTGCAAAGAAGGGACGTGGCCGACCTGCGGGTACGAAGAATAAGACTAAGACTGCAGAGCCAGTCAAGTCTAAGCCTGCGCACCTGTCTCCTGCCGCCAAGGCGTACGCGGCGAAGAAGGCCTCCAAGCCAAAGAAGACTTTCTTCAGCGATGACGAGGATGACGATGATGTTGCCATGGAAGAGCCGCCTTCACCTGTCGTGCCCAAGGCCAGGGGACGACCGGCTCGTGCTGCTACAGTGACCAAGGCTAAGCCAATCTACATTGACGACGATGAGGAAGACTCTTTGGTGATGGATGACAACGATGACGAAGAGAGTGATGTCTACGCCATGGATGACAGTGACTAGTCCAACGAGTCATGATGGCAGTCCATGGAATAGGATTTTTGCTTAATATGGGCATTTTGGACCTGGGAAACGGAAGCCCGGCCGGGCTACCCTACTCATGTACGATAGTTGAAGATTCCGAATCTGGTTACGGATGCGTTACGTTTGGGACACAGCCTTTTTTCTTTTTTTCGCGGCTTTGATGAGTTAGTCTACATGTAATAGTTGTCGAATACCATCAACATTTCTTAAAATACATGCTCGAAATGACCCTCCTAAGTGAAGAGTCAGCCCGGCTCAATGCATCTCTGATCATCATGAAAACCGCTTCTAGTGACAGCAGGAATGGTCTGCAATATCACGATAGCTGAAATCTTGCAACCTGATACGTTTATTCGTGGCGTTGAAATGACAACTCGGCATTGCGTCTTTGACTAGTATCAAACTTGAGCACTCAACAAGTATTCGGATCGCTTGATCCGACGAGGGAAGAAAGAGTACAGTATTCTAGTGCACTGGGCGGGCTCCGGTAGAAAGAGAAGTGACTATTAATATAGCATGCTCGAGAGATCACGGATTGTTATGGATGAGATGAACACTGAAGTTGATTGAAATAAACGCCTATGCGGGATCCCACGAAAGCTGTTCTCGTTGTTTCCTCTCAGTCGTTCGTTCATGCCTTGAAAGACCTCCCCCGTAGAGAAGCCTTTCCTTGTCCTCCAGAAACTCATAAAAACAGGTCCCCCTCCTCCGCTCTCCACCAACATCTTGTCCTGTCCCCTGAATGCAAAGCTCCTACAATCTAGTGAACTCACTCACTCACTCACTCACTTCACTTTACTCGTATCGTATCACATACATCCTCCAACCCTGAATAATGGGTGATTATCAGTCTCGGAAGAAAAAAGTAGAGAAATTCGATGTCCACACGCCGTTGTCCATTTACTACCAATTCGTTTGTGTCATTCAGCCTCGGCCTCCATCTAGAAGAAACGAAAAGCTCATATCGTAATCTATGCCATGAAAAGTCGTCAATCCAGGGGAATGGAGTGGCCAGCCGAAATGAAAAGGTGTGTTTGAGGCAAGTCTCGAGAAGGTGGTTGGTCGGCTCGAGGGCTCGCTTAGGTGGCGATCAGAGGCTCCTGCTCGCTCTTGACGGCAGGCTCCTCGTGAGCCTTGAACTCGTTGGTCGGAGCAGCGGGGAAGTCCGTGTCTCTAACAGCGGGCTTCGCGCTCACCTCGGGAGAGGCAGATCGGCCACGGAGCATAGACTGGGCCTTGGCGGTGTAGTCACCCATGTACTGCTTGGTCAGCTCAGTGGCATGGGCAGTGTGCTTGCCAGCGACCTCGCGGAGCTGGTGGGTCTGGGCATCAAAGATGTCGGACGCCTGCCTCAGTTGCTGGTCGATGAGCTCCTGGTTAGAGGTGTAGATCAGAGGCACAGTGAAGAGGGTGGTGGCAGCAATCAGAGCAAGACCCCAGTATGGGACGATCTTGACGAGCCAGTAGGCAAGGAAGGCGCTGACACAGACCTGAATGGATAATTAGAAACGGCCATGGAAAGTAGCAGTGGTAATTATGGGCTGATGGGGGTTTAAACGTACAGAGACGGAGGCCCAGATGTTCTCGGCGAACAGAATGCGCTGAGACTCGATGACCGCGAAGTTGATAAGCTCGTGGACATCGCCAATAGCGGCATCCAGAGTCTCACGCGGGATGGTGTAGTACTTGCGGGGGCGGAGCTGGCTCGCGATGCCGGTGTTCATGACGGTCTTACCGGCGAGCTCGGCGGCGATGGTGACGCCCAGAACCATCCAGGTGAGCTTGAAGCCCCATCGGAGAACGTCAAGATATCGAACTGCGAAGATGAAGCTGACAATGGCAGCATACGCGATGGCGGAGGCACCTGTCAATCTCTTATCAGCACGTTGTCTCTGAACGAGGACAGGCTTTGGAGATACGCACGAGGGTTGTTCCATGACAGCAGCTCCGAGAAGAAGGAGTGGTAATGGGTCAAGGGCTGGCCGGTGGCAGCAGGGTTGGCAGGAGTCTGACGGGCAGCAGCGAGGTTGGAGAACTCGTTGGCGGTCTTCTGGTGTTGGTCCTTGACGTTCTGGGCAACGGGGCCTGGGGGGAGCACATGATGTCAGTATTTCGGAAATGCGTGACGAGCGTCGAAAAGGCTACAGGAATGAAAGGGCACCACATACCGTTGGCAACCGTGTCAAAAGCAACCTGGGCATCTGCAGGATGGCAGTCAGCTATCGTGGATGGTCTCGGGTAAATCAAATCGGATCAAGAAGGTTGAAACACTGAAGGCCAGTTAGCTTGGACAGCTGTCAAGAGGTGCACGAGCACCGAATCACCAAGCAAGGAGATGCTAGCATGGGGGGAAAACGTACCTTACTGGTCTTGAGAGAGTCGACGCCAGAGCCGCCATTGACGGCGGGAGCAGTATCAGCGCTGTCGGCCATTGCGAATGTGGTGGGTGATGATGATGATGCTGTCACGGCAGTAATAGGAGACGGTGGTTGTGTGTGTGTGGGTTTTTTTGGGGGGGCCTGTCGCACGGGGCTACAATCTGGACGATTTCCTGATCAGAGGCAGAGGCGATCCAAAGCAGGAGGCAGAAGCAGAGCAGCTGATGAGTACAGACAAGATGACGATGATCTGGGTATGAAGCTTTTTGTGCTTTGTTGGAGAGAGAAAGAGCTCTGTGGCTTTTGTAGGACTGAGGCTGAAGGGTATGGGATGAGGTAGGTAAGTAGGGAGATGACGTTGTTGTCGGGGAGTGCAAAGGGGGCAAGCAAAGCCGGATCAGAGGGAAGAATAATTTATTACTGTAGGAGGTATGCGGGTGGGCAATAGGTAGCTAGGCACCGTAATGGACTGGATTGCACCACACACACACAGACACACAACGGGAACGGGCAAGGGCAGCGCGTGCTAGAATTTGTGTGTGCGTGCTGCTCTTGTGCTATGATACGGACAGACAGTAGTGTACCGGTAGGTACTTTCTAGACGTGATGCACCCCGTTTCGGACTGTTTGGACTAGGTAGCTACGGTACTGTATCTAGGTATGCCTAGCTCTCTGCACTAACCCAGGTGGAGCGTTGCCTCCTGAACGGAATGAGCTCCCAGCAACACAGAGGCAAGGCAAAGCAAAACCCGAGCAAAACATCCTTGGAAGATGTGGCTAGTGCATCATCCATCCTTGATATCGTCATAGGCCCAAATGTGGGACGCTGGCAAAACGGAGGAGCATTGCATCGCACGGATAGTCGTCACGCCACAGCAACGGGAACGGGCGCTCCTCCCATTGGCCTGCCCAAAGCACCAGCTCCACCACAGCTCCCCTAACGGTCCTATCATCGGCCACAATCGAAGCAGCCACATTTCCTCATCGCTCCTTCTCTGTGCATCACAGACCAGATTTCCAGTTTCTAACCACCCCACGATAAGTTGACTTTCTGGAGCTGATGTGTCCCTTCTCCTTCCTTGCATTGGACAATTCCGAATCCGAATCATCCTGGACAGGCAGCCACCCGTCGCTGTCGGTCTGGATATGTGTCCTCTTTTCCAAAGTGATCCTGTCTGTTGGGGTCATTGTGGCTAGAATCTTTAGAGCATAGAAAGCTACAATAGCTCTGTAGCTACTCATCGGCATCGACACCCACTGTCGTCATGGCGCCGTCAAATGCATGTGATTCTACGCTAATAAGCTCAGCACCATTTCTGACCAGTGCCCACGCCAAAAATGGCTCCAGATGGTCAAATCAGGAATCTGGGCACACGAGGTCACACCTCTGGCCTATTCTTGTAGAACAGAATAGAAGAGAACTATGTCAGGCCTCCTCGTTCTCAGCAAATCAGTAACCAGTGACACCGCAAGCTGCACTTCAAGAAACGCAAGGACTTTACGGTCCCGTCTAGTGAAAAGTTGAAAAGTTCCCCTCTGTGGAGAGGAAGACTTCTATTTTCCATTCTATCTGTTCTACAGAACACTCAATGCCCAACAAGAAAACAAAACACCACCAATAAATGTATATCTGTAATGGGTTGACCAACTCCGTCTTTTGTGCTTCTTGTGAAACGCTTTCTTTAAGAAGCAAAAAAGAGAATGCACTTTCATAACATGCCTCCCTGAGCAACATAACCCCCCATCGGGGGGGCGGCCTTTCAAACTCCTCTTCTTTGATGTCAGAAGAGGACGCCCTCCAATCACCCAAACAAAATAGTCTGCTTCTCCCCATGCTGATAGGTAAGAGCCCAAAAGTTGTGAGGTAAAGCGGTATAAATGTACAGGAGGTTCCAAAAATTTAAAGAGTCATCGGTCATGTGGCTGTTGGTATCATATGACTCTCTGTCTCCCGTCCTGTCGGTATACGAAATCCTGAAGTTGAAGTCGAGAAAAGCTCATCAATAATAAGACACGCCGCCTCTTCCAAGGGGGACGCGTAGCTCCAGGCAGCTATCATCCAAGCTACTGATTTAACCAGATATGAGGTGGTAGCCAAGTGACAGGTTGTCATCATCTCCTCCAGCCCCAGAAGCCTCCAGCAGCCGTCTGGCCTGTGGTGGCTGGAGCAGTCGGCGCAGATGGAGGCGCAGGCTTCGCTGCTGTCCCCTCCGCCGTCGATGCGGTGAAGCGACTAAACATGCCCATAGCAGCCGAGCCAACTGCGGAAGCCGTGGTGGCCGCGGCGGTACTGTTGTGTGTGGCAGGGGGCAGGTCACCAGGAGCCAGGCCAAATGCCTTTCTCAACATTTCGAGCTTCTGCTTTGCCTCTTCAGCTTCCTGGCGAGCGATAGCCTCGGCTGTCTTTGCCTGCACCAACTCGAGCAGCAAGGCATCATGCTCGCTGACAGGGGCAGTGAGCGGTGCTGCAGGGATGGAAACCTCTGGGTTACTGCGAGACGGTAGCAATGACGAGTTTCGCTTGTTGTATCCCGACACCTGAGATGGCGTGGACTTGCTACGTCCAAGCTTCAACTCTCGAAGGCCCCCGGGACCGGCGTTGCCGCCAGCCGCAGGAGTGCTGGTTCCTCTCGAGAACCAGCCGTCCGTAGGCTCTGGAGTTGGCGTGCTCTCTGCTGATGCGCGCACTCGCATTCCATGAATTTGCTTCTCGAGACGTTGCTTATCCTGATGCATATTCCGAACATGCGAATGACTCTCTCGCAACTGCTCCTTCACCATTGAGAGCTCTTGCTCAAGATCATATGCTCTGCGGCCAGCATCTTGAGATCTGGCTAGTTCAGCCGCTAATTGTTCTTTTGCCGTCGCCAGCTCGTCTCGTAGCTGCGACTTTGTCTGGGGAACAGACGACCTCCTGTTATCCGCATCTGCTCCAAATCGCCCTTCGACAGTGTCGAGGAGCTCTGACAAGCGTTCCGCAGTCGGTGCATCATTGCCAGTCACTCCAGTTGTGTCCGACTCTTGGTTCTTCTTCGAGCTGTCGACTAGCTTTATCGTCTCTTCGCTTCCCGTACTATGGGTAGTCGTGACGCTATCGGTGCTCGCTTTCTTTCTCAGCCCATCAAGCAGGGATCGCACGACTTTGCGGTCCTCGCCTCGATCTTCCCTCTCTCGTTGCAATTGATCCGCCAAGAGTGCATGCTGACGCTGCAATTCGCTGAGAGCGGTGAGGAGGTCTTCAATCTGGCTGTGTAGGTATTTATTGTCGGAATTGCCATTGTTTCCGGCGTGAATGGTCAGTTTGGAGCCGGCGCCCGCAAAGGCAGGCCCGGACTCGCGGATTGATGAAGAGTCGTCGGCGGCGGACGAATCTCGCGAAAGGGAGGTGGCGTCGGTAGATGCAGAGCTCAGAACACTGGCGGCAGAGGACGCGGAGGAGCTCGCCTCCATGGAATTGAGAGTCGAGGCCAGGCTTTGCTTGGAGGTACTCCTCCGCAGCATGCTCAGTGGACGCAGGGGCGCACTGAGACCGGGACTAAGGTTATTCGATGGATTTGTCGACGACGATTTCGAGGTGGAGATCGTTGAATTGGCCCAGAGTCGCCCCAGAAATCGGGATGCTGCTGTGGTGACCTCCGAGGCGCGGGCCACATTTGCGCCCGTGCTGCTGGTAGTGCTGCTGCCACTGCCGGTGGCCACCTGTGCTTCTCGATACCCCTGCTCGAGCGCCTGCAGCCGGCTTCTGGTGACAACGCTGGACAGGCTGACAAAATCTTGAACAAACTCATCGGCGTTGTAGTGATAGCAATCCCAGAGGCCGCGAGAAAGGAGAAGCTGCAAGACGTCTTCCATCTCGGTGCACGCTAGAATGCGTCCCTGGTTCTTGCGCATGAGCGACAGGGCTACCCGCATGATTGTCTCCGACGCGCCTTCGGCAAAGACCACATCATAGATGCGAAACAGCATGGGTAAGGGACATGTAACGGCGAAAAATGACAGGAACCACTGTGAAACGTAGGCCGGGTCAACCTGCAAATCATCCAAGTGGTTCGACAATATGGGCAGATTTTGTCGTAGAAGCTCTCGAAATTGATAAATTCGGACGTGCAGGCCTGGCAGGTCAGGCGTAAACGAGTTTCGCAGATCGTAGTTCTCCATCAGTCTGAAGTCGTGTTAGCTCGCGATCAGACGCAAATTACACTTCAGATCAGATGATTCACAGAGTACTTACTTGACAAGTACGCAGAAGGCTTGCTTGTCCGTCATGTGCATCAGTAGAGGACCGACGAGGAAAGCAAGCCCCTGACAATACCCAATTTTTTGGTCGTAGAGACTGTAGCACTTCAGGACTCGACCAAGCATACGCTGTCCATCTCCTTCTGGGTCACGGAACATGTCGACGCCTGGGAAGCTACGCCCAAGGTCCTTGCCGATGATGCCCTCGTACGGACTTGACTCGCCAGAAAATCGTTCGTACTGTTCCTCTAGAGATGAATCTCGAGATCCAGACATGCTCTGCCATACAACGCCTCTCAGAGGTGGGGGAACACCTTTCCGAATCTTGTTTGACAAGAGTGTAGGTAGTCTTGCCGCTGTCTGTTGGTAATCCTTCACCAATGCGGCGTAGAACTCGAGGTCGGTCATGGGAGGAGGCGGGAGCATAGAATATCGTAGAGCTGGCGGAGTCGGTCCGTGAACCATATCGCGTAGCTGTGCCATTGAGGGCGGGCGCGGTCTCCTAGACCCCGATTGTAGCTGTTGGACGACTTGGACTTTGACGCTCTTCGGATTCGTTGCGAGCTTATCGTTCTCCTGCTCCAATCTCGCAAGTAGCATGGCTGTAGACTGGATACCAATTTGTCAGGTCATTGTGAGATCAAGGTGAATCAGAAATACTTACAGTATCTGAGTCCTGGTCTTTCGACTCCTTCTCTTCTGTCTCTTGGAGTTGCTCCCAGTCTACCTCCTCTTCGTCGGAGCTCTGTGTATCCTGGTCTGCCGCCTCATTGCTGTTCTCCAGCTCGCTCTGCAAGTTCCGGCCGAATCCATCCGAGGCATCTGACGCCCTGGATTCCCTTTCCGACCGCATATCTTCTTCTTCTCGTAATGTTTCTGCCATGGCGTCTGTGGGCGTGTACTCGGGGCCGAACAAGCTCTTCCTGCTCGGCATAACGTTTGTGTTGACAAGTAGAGGCTGAGGGGGTTCCGACAGACGGACGGTAACAAGGGAGTCGTTCCTCTCGTGATCCACGGTCCGTTTCTCATCCTCTGCTTCGACCTTTATCTCGTCGGTCGTGGCTGGGTGCGGAGGAGGAAGAGGAGGCGACGACGTAATCGTGCTCGTCGGTTGTTGGTCTTCTTTGTACGTCACCGGAGACGTCGTTGAGCCATGTTGTTTGCTCTGGTCCTCCTGGTCGGGCTCCATTGGCACGAGAGGGGCCCGACCTCAGTCCTCGAGAGGCGGTGGGTTGACTGGAATGCTGTGGCTGACGGGACGATCCTAGGGGCTGGAGGTGACGAAAGCGGCCGAGTGAGCCCAGATGCAGCAGCGGGACAGTCCGCACAGGTCTTCCCTCAAGAAACCCCCAATATCCAAGCTCGAATGCGGACAGCTGTCGCAGTTGGTGATGGGAGGAGAGGAAAATCCGCATCTAGAGAAGACGCATGGGCTCTCTGTGGTTGTTGACACCCCGGAATAGCGGTAGTATAGCACGGGCAGGGGTTGTCCTGTCGTGTGTTTTCCCTTTGGTATGAGAGCCCCTCTAGCGCCGACAGCAACAGCAGGAGCAGCGACCTCTGACAAGGGGAGTGGAGGCCGAGGTAGGGGTAAGCAGGCAAATTGACAGAGAAGAATGCCAGAATAGGCTCTAGACCATGGGTAGTTCTCTCTCTGTTGTTTGTTTCAATGAAGGGGTCGAGGGGAAGTGAAACACCAAGCTCGAGGTAGCGACCCGCCCAGCTTGTCAGATGTTGAGGATGGATGTGGACAGTGGCAACGATCGCGATGTCTGGGAAAGGACGATGAGGAATATCTAGCTGGGAACACTTCTGGCGGATTAGAAAGCCGGCCGAGCATATACAAAGTCCATTGACTTGACCGCGAGAGGGAAATGAGTGCTATAGAGCAAGCTATAGAGCACACAGACTCGCACGCGATAGTAGGTAGCTTAATTAGACCAGGGGGAGGTTATTATTTGGTTAGCATTAGCATCACCAATTCCGGAATCGCCAGCTTTTGCTGCATTTGACACTTCATTTTATCACAGAGCAAGTCAGGCCTGCCAGTAATACTCCTCTGATATTGGCTCTATCCCCAATGGCATGGATGATTGGCTATATCAATCCTCGCTCCCTCATCACGACTTGCTACGTTGCCACACGATACTGTCCACCACCTATTAACGTTAGTCTACCTAGGTATGAATCTATGTAGGTAGGTAGGCAGGCACGCTTCTGGTTTCCTGCAGGTCCCAACTGGCTGCAGCTAAATTGCTCTGCACGCGTGCTGCAGGAGAAGGGCGAGAGGAGCGGCCGCTGATAGGTCGGAAATTGGACCTTTCCAATTTCTCCAACGGGACCCTGCAGCGCCAGAGACTTCCAAGGTTGCCCAACCCAGAGCAGCGCAGCGCAGCGCGACACAGACACGGACACGGACAGGGATGGGAGCTCTTGTTCTCCTGCTTCTGACAAAGAACGTCTCCTCCATCCGTTTGCGACACTACTGCATAGTATGCTGCTCGCTGCCCGCTGCCCGTCCCGTCCGCAAACCCCACAAGAACGGACGGGAAGATGCCCGTAACTCAAACGTCTCTAAACGCCTCTTCTCTTCATCTCGGGGGTCTACAGATTGAACTCTGTTCTCGAATCATCTCTTAGTCAAGGTCTTGAAGGCACCCCGGCATCCCAGAGTTCTTGAGACCAGTTCGTGCCGTGGCAACAGAGCAGAAACCCATGCCAAACTATCAACTTAACATGCCTTCCGCCGCCCTTCCCAAGTCCCTGACAGCATGCCATACCAACGCCGGCAAATTTCGCGCCGTGCCCCTGTCCTGGCGGCAAATCATCTCGTCTCGCCCCTCTATGGACAATGCCATCTCTCTCTCATGGCCGGCTCGCGAGCTCTATATTATGTTACAGTACAACCAAGTCATTTCTTGGCTGTTGAGCTTGATCACATTTAGACATTAGAGTAGATCCCAGCAGTGCCCGCTCCATACAAGCCTAACAGTGTAGCATGCGCCGATGTCGAATTGCTCCTCGTGCCTGGTAAAGAGTGATATGGTACCGGTACTCCGGCCTGCACCTGCAGCTGCATTGCACCCCCAGCAAGATGAGGTAAGGCGGGTGGTGGTTTGACGGTGTGATCGTCATCCGAACCATCCCAAGCAAGCTGCCAACTCAAGTCCGGAACAGCTGCCACACCCCTACCTCCCGCGGAGGCTGATTGATAGGTCTGACGACCCTCCAACCTTCGACGCCAAACTATGCGAACATCGCCCGATTAAGGAAGGCATGAGACAGCTTTTCGCCAACACGTTACATGACAATCACAGATGCAGACCCAAATGCATTCACCTCCCAATTTCAGACTTGCATTCAATTGACCATGGACTTGATCGATCCATCTTGCTCTCTCATATCTAGTATCTAACAAACAGAATATCCTATACAAAGCTTCCCGCCAATAATCATCATTTACGTCCCAAACTGGGAGACATTCAAGGTCATACTCGCCAAAATCCCACATAGGACTCCGATCGGCAACACTGAAAAGAAAAACGCCGAGGATGCAGTAGAGTGGTCGACTGCTCATGCTCCGCGGATCTGTATTTGCCCGCAGTTAAAGCCCACCTAACCCAAGTATGGTATATATATACTCCAGAACTATCACTCTTGTGCCGACCTTTTTCTTCCACAAGTAATACGTGCATAAGCGCAAGAGGCAAAATGCCAACCACCGAGTATCACTATTACCAAGAGAATCACGAAGATACCGTAGCTTGGGCAGGGGATGGAGCAGGTGCCGTCGTCATCTGTGGTGTTTTTTGAACTTGGGCGGGCGATCCCGAGTTCGGGGCTTGTCCCGAAGCCATACGCTGTTGTTGAGCATTTTGCATGGCCGCAGCTTGGGCCGCATTCGGTTTCTGTTGTGCCGGCGTAGGGTAAGGCGGCTCCTTCTTTGGGTCGAATCCCGGAAAGAGGCCTTGTAGCCTCTTGTACAGCTCTTTTATATACTTGTCCCTATCTTCTCGATCCCCTGAAGAATCAGATCTCTCCGTCGCGTCGGGCGTCACCGCCAGTGCCTTTAACTTAACCTTCATGTTTAGTGGAGGGGCGCTGAGGTAGCCGGGACATGGTGGTACTTGAGCCGAGGCTTTCCTATCAGCCAGCGAAGCCAAGTACGAGAGATTTGCTTGTAGTCTTCGAATGCACCTAGAGCCAGAGAGTCAGCATATGACACTCATGGAATTGTAATATGGGGCAGACTCACTGAACCCAGTCGGCATGAACAGCCTTCTCCTCATCGAGCGCTTCCTTTTGTTGTTCTGGCGTATTACTTGAGCTTGCCGCAGCATGCTCTTTCTTCAGCTCATCTTGGGTATTTTTCAATTGAATGAGCTCAAACAGAAGTTCCTGATTGATATCCAACAGCAAAGTGAATCTCTCCTTCTCTTTGGACTCCGTGCCCGGACTTAAAGGTGTAGAGGCAGACGCGCCGTTCACACCGGCTGCTTGTCCCGTCGATGGGAATGTTGGCGTCTGCGGTGTTGTTACATTGTTTGGCGGTTGCTGAGCTTGGGTGGGCGTTTGGCTCTGAGGGGTGCCTTGCTGGTTCTGCGGTGTTGGGAACTGGCTCTGTTGTTGGCTCATGGCAGAGTTCGGTGTGCCTTGAGGTCCGGAAAACTGTCGTTGCGGGGTGGATGCGCCCATGGCGGCAGGGTTCTGTTGTGACGGATGCATGTTCCTCATCATCATCTGCTGCTGCTGCTGTTGCTGCTGCTGCTGTGGATTCATTCCACCTGCGTTCATCGGGAAGCCGCCCATCTGGCCAGCGGCCATCATATAATTGGGAGGAAACTGGCCCTGAGGCGCGGTGGTCGGGACGCCAGCTCCATATGGACCGCTCGTGTAGGGTGTTTGATATGCCACTGTCAATCAAAACACGTCAGTGTTTTCCATTCTGTCCTTCCAAATTGTAGACCTTTGGTCAACGAGGGAATGTCGGTCACGAACTCGCAGGCCGTCCCCGCGCGGCTTCTTTGCCAAACATTTTCCCAGTCTGCGTAACAGACAGATGCGTGTAAAGAGCAACACTGAATCAGACCGTCCGGGATCGGGCAGCAGAAGCGTGGTAGATGGGGTAGGGCGCGTGTGACGTTGAGGGAAACAAGAGAACGGGGGCAAGACTAACTCTGACCATTTGGACCCATAGGCATGCCAGGATTCTGCATCATTCCTGCAGGGCCGGCACCTGGCATCATGGCACCTGGGTTCGGGCCACCTGGATAGGGTCCTTGGGCGCCCATAGGGAACTGCTGCTGGGGGTTGTACATCATCTGCTGAGGTTGGTTTGGGCCAGGACCGGGCTGCATGTGAGGAGACTGGCCGGGTGGGGCGCCGTTAAAGGTAGGTCCTGCAGCATTGGGATAACCATAAGGAGCCGAGTACATGGCTTAAGAGGAGGCGGGAGAGCCAAGGGAAGGGAAGGGCAGGGCAGGCGAGGTTGAGCGCCAGAGAGGAGAGGACCAGCTTTGGGAAGCGTGGTCGGTTCGGCCCAGGTACTGCGGCTGTCGATGTGGGGTACCTAGGGGTATGACCATCAATCTTGGTCAGGCAAGTGTGGTCCTGGTACGTGTGGGACGAATGATTGGAACGAGATAGGTCGATACCGGGGCGTGCCAACCTGGAAGGCAAGCAACAAGAGACTTTGGATCCAGCTAAAGCAAAGTAGCAACAATGTACCCAGAGTACAAGAGCAAGCCAGGAGTACCGAAAGCAGATCGTTTGGACTGGACAGGGCAGGGTACCGACAGCCCAAATGCCAATCAATCCGGCGTGGTCCGCAACGCTGGCGCCTTGGTGCCGGTGCTGTGTCTCGCGTCTGGTGAGCAAAGCGGCGGAGAATTGGAATAATGATGGACGGCAAGGCACGACAGTGACAGGGGAGTGCCAGGCTTGTGTGCCACGGTGCCTCGCGAGTGCACGGGGGTGTGGGATGGGATGGGATATCAAACAGGAGATAGCCTCCCTCCAGGGACCAGATTCAGATGGATGGATCCACGGATCAGCCCTGTTGCTCTGCACGGCTCGCCTGGCCTTGACCTGCGACAGAGGCACCTAGAGTCAGAGGCAGAGTCAAAGGCGGGACTGGACAGAGCTTGGCAAAGGCCCGGTTGGTGACACAGTGGTGCCGTCAGCAGCAGCAGCAGCAGCAGCAGCAATCAGGACAGGAGGAGACGAGACACGACGTGGGAGGAGGGCCCTGCCTGCCTGCCTGCCAGGCCACGAGGCGAGGCGAGGCGAGTCGAGTCAGAGTCAGATCCAGATCCAGATGCAGACAGCACTGGCGATCTAGCGAAACGCCAAAAACAGCCGAGCAGAACCGGTCCAAACAAGGGCAGGGGCTGCGAATGAATGATGGGGCTGCGGGATGCCACGAATGTACGTCGTTAAGGTTGTGCTGGACCGTCGGCAAGTGGCTAACGTGTTGCTCTGCCTTTGCCTTGCTGTGCTGGCCTCTTTGCTGGTGTGCGGAGGCAGAGAGGGTGGGAGCGGAGCGGAGCAGGGAATGCTAAGCTCGATCCAGATAAGGTGCAATACAGCAGGTATGTACCTAGGGATGGTAAGATAGGAGAGTATAGGTCAGGTAGTGTAAAACAAGGACCCGGATTGCCGTATAATTCGAGCGCGAGTGCTGCCACAAAAGCGAGTCCAGTGTGCAGGAAACCCGGCGAGCGAAAAATGAAAAATAAGATAGCGGATCAGAGTGGCTCGGAGTGGGTGGGTGCCTCCTTCCTCCTCCTCCACCCTCGTGTCAGGCTTGATGGAAGACTTGCATGGGCCTTGGGCTTGGGTTGATCAGAATCGCACCGGAGGCTAAACCAGCGTGGCTTGCGCCTTTCCTGTTTCGTCATACCCCTGTCCAGTGGGTCTGCCCGTCCCGCCCAGCGAGGAAGGGACGATCAAATCAACCCCGTCAACACCATTCGACTCATCGTCCACCTGCAAGCCACTCCCCGTTCGGTAGATCCCCATCTCCAAGGATCTGAGGTGTCACCGCGATTGCAGCATATCATCAGGCATGACCTGTCCTGACGTACCTTGCTCGAGTTGGCATCACGGAACCCAAGATCCAAGCAGCCATCCGTGCTCCGTCCAATGTGTATGATGCCTGTGAAGTCGGTGAGAACTTTGGAACGGCGCGGAAGTCAGTCATATGTGATATCTACCGTGTTGATTTGTTTCCTAAAAACGTTCCACAGAAGGCGGGCCAAGTCATGCACGTCTGGCACCTTCCCGCGCCATCCATTCGTCAATGGATGCCTGTGCTTGCCCAATACGGACCCATCCCATACTTCATGACCTACACCGTGCAGTAGCCATCTGACAAACCCTGCCTATACATCTACGCCGTGTCTGATAGCGTCATCAAGTCTCTACGCGGTCAAATACAAGGAAGATACCTCGTCTTGGTCCAGAGTGATTAGCACGAGACGCTAAACTGCTCTATTTAGTTGGCCATCGAAGTTGTTGTCTTAAACTCGCCTTATGAGGGTCGCATGTAGAATGAAGAATACAGCTCATGGTTGAGTTCACGTAGAAGTCGAGTCCCCAGTATCAGCTGATTAGTCGTCAAACAGGAGCTTCATGGAGGCCAGCTTCGCCACTGGGACAATGGGCATGAGTTACTCTTGATCCGCACCACAAAGTAACATCTGATTGTTCGAGGCCATATCACTGGTAACTATCCTTTTCGTTTGATAGCACTCCGTGTAGTGATCATAGACGCCACACCAATTGGCATCGATTATCCAAGCATTGCTTTTTAGCTGTCTTCGAATAGCTATATTACCTCCCCCATGAGGTCTCTTTTAATTTCTCTCATTACGCATCCTCATAAATGGCCATAGTATGTCCCATATGTCGAATTACCAGCGACCACATCAATGAAGTGCTTCGCAATGATACTGTCTAGATATTCACACCTGTCAGCCCAAAACCTCGAGCTGTACCGAGAAAGGGGCCACAGCAGAAAACACTCACCAGTCTTCTCCGACGGATGCAGCTCGTCATACCACAGAAAGCTCGACGCAGGCTCCCCAGCATTCGTGCAGTCCGAGTTATTCGTCGCCACGCAGTGGTGATAGAAGCCATGCGAGTTGGCCGGCGCGTCCAGGTACGCCGCCGGGTCATTGTAGATATCTGTTAGCAGATCGTGGACGTTGAAGATGCTGAACTGGGCACCGGGCCACCGTGCTTTGACGAGCAGGTGGAAGGGCACGCCGTAGTCGAACAGCGTGTTAACCGTTGTTGCATACTCCATCATCTTGTACTGGTACTCTGTCTGATTATACAGCGTCTTGTTCTGCCAGTACTGGTTGTTGCCGGCGCCGCCAGCACTCTCGGCCGCGTACATGGGCGCCACTTGCAGCGGCGCCTCGTTGAGGAGCACAAACCGCCGCCCACCCGTCTCGTAGATGTTGTCGAACACGGACCAGATGCAGTCGACAAACGTGGTTAGGTTCGTGCCCGGCGCCTGTGAGTCCGTCAGGAAAGCCCCGAACCCCAGATCGTTGGTCCCGATCCAAAGCGCATACACGGTGTTGTCGGAGGTCCGATCGGCGTACAGCGTCTTGTAACCCACGTCCGCCTTGAAAGACGGGATCTCATCGTCGATGACAGAAGGGAAGGGCTTGTTGATGGCTGAGAACAAGCGAGAAATAATCTCATTCGAACATGTCGCGCCGCTGATGGCGTAGTCGTAATACTTCGCCCCAGTGTATTGCTCAACGAATTGGCCCCATGCAAGTCCACCACTCGCCGTCACATTCGACACGGTCTGATACTCGCCTGGCGGTGGAGGGTTTCCGCCGTTGTTGATATAGTACCCAAGGCGACCATTGTCGGTATATGAGTCTCCGAACGTCACGAGGTTGTCGAAGAGCTTCTTGGGCTTACACGTAGCGGCAGCAGCAGTCAGAGCCGCGCCAGTAATCAAAAGACACGGCCTCATCTTTTCAAGGGGACTTGCGAGAGATATCAGAGAGGCACCTAAGACGGCGACTGCGCCAGCAACACGACCCGTAATTCAGGGATGATCAAGATAGCAGAGGTAGGAGAAAGCCCAGCAAGCCATGGGGACGATCTGGAGATCCGGGGACAAATTAATAAATAAACATAGATCAGGGAACTCCCCCTGCCTTGTAATTAGACCGATCACACCGTCCCATTCTCCCGGATAGAAGGGACGGGCGAAATCGAGCTAGGGTACGCCATCGGCCTCGCCTCTGTAGCCTATATCGAAGCGATCAAGCTTCTCACGGTTGCAGATGACGGGATGAACTGTGGAGAGCCTAGAGGCATTGACGAATAGACGCAACGCAGATGGAGGCATCACCAGACGGGGTGTGCGGAAGGACACCATCCTGAGGGGGCAAAGGTGCCATCAACACGGCCGGAGAGCAAGACGAGGTGAGGAGCCGTGAGGGGAAGTTGGGGAACAGACATAATGCAGCCGACGGCAACCCGGTTTTGCGGTCCTGTGGTGTACTCACCGCGTGCGTCTCCGGTAGCACCTCGATCGTGGTTGGAGGATTATGGCCTTGCCGTTGTTCCTCATCCATGTGCGGGGATCCTTAGGACTTCCCGGAGGTTGGGAAGACAACTTGATCATCCAAGCTAAAGAGCGAGACTTTTGTTAACTTAACATCACAGAGTGACATAGACATGGTTATTGTGGCCAATTATAGTTAGAGCTACCATATCAGCCTGAATTCCCGTCGCTCACCCGGGATGCGGGCTAACGGTAGCGGAAGGCTGCTGGGCATCACCGGTGAAGATTCTCCAGGACTGGAGATGTTGTAGTGTACTGGAAGAAGTTGACATGTTCATAACTCTCCTTCTCGTAGCCATTTGACACGGTAGGAATAGTAAGAGTCCATGGTTGATTCTGAATTCACTTCAAATTGCTCGAACCTGGTTATATATTTGAGCGTAAAAAACTCTTGATTGATCGGAAAGAAAGCAGCAATACTTCAAAGGTCCCGGAGAGCAGCACATGGTCATGGAAACCGGGCCCGGGCATGCTACAAACCAAAGATTGAAGACAACAACGGTTCCATGATGTCCGTTGGATGACGGCAGAAAACTAGCGGCCGTCCACTGCCGGGCCGGCAGGGTGCATTGTAGCTCCGGCGTCGGGGCTAGCCAAAGCGGCTCGGAAGTCAACTTTTTCCAGGGACTCTCACTGTATGACTCAGTTAGCGATGTGACTCTTTTTATAAGCGATATAAGAAAGGCAATACAGCAAACTTGTAGCATTGATCCCTGTGTCTGGTTATCTTAACCAAACGTGTTCGTAACCTTTGGGGACACTTCACAATGTCGCCCTTCAATCTGCAGACATGCGCCCGGCCGAACATCCTCGCCCTCGAGCCGTATCGCTGCGCGCGAGAGTGAGTCGAAGCACACCATGAGAGCAAGCCCCTGAAGTAAGCACCCAAAACTGACTCAATTGGCCAGTGACTACAAAGACGACGGCACAAACATCCTGCTGGACGCCAACGAGAACGCCTTCGGGCCGTCCATCTCGGCCGCCGGCGCCAGGCAGGTGCTCCAGTCACAGCAACAGGATGCCGGGGCGGCGGCGGCGCCGACGCTGGACCTGCTGGGCCTGCACCGGTACCCGGACCCTCACCAGCCGGCGCTGAAGCAGCTGCTGTGCGAGCTGCGCAACACGCACGCGCACACGGCCCGCGCGCTGGCGCCCGCGAACCTCTTCGTCGGCGTCGGCAGCGACGAGGCCATCGACGCCCTGCTGCGCTGCTTCTGCGTCCCCGGCCGCGACCGCATCCTCGTCTGCCCGCCCACCTACGGCATGTACTCGGTCTCGGCGCAGGTCAACGACGTCGGCCTCGTCAGGGTCCCGCTGCTGCCGGCGCCCGGCTTCGGCGTCGACACGGACGCCGTGCTGGCGGCGCTGAGCAGCGAGCAGAACGTCAAGATTGTGTATCTGTGCTCGCCGGGTAACCCCACCGGCTCGCTCATCGCGAAGGAGGATGTCCGGCGGGTGCTGGAGCATCCTACGTGGAACGGCGTCGTGGTGCTTGACGAGGCGTACATCGACTTTGCCCCGGAGGACTCGTCCCTGGCCGAGTGGGTGACTGAGTGGCCGAATCTAGTGGTGATGCAGACGCTGTCAAAGGCATTTGGCATGGCTGGCATCAGGTTAGGCGCTGCGTTCACCAGCGAGCCCATTGCCCGTCTTCTCAACAGCCTCAAGGCGCCGTACAACATCTCTAGCCCGACAAGCACCCTGGCGAGCTATGCGGTCGGTCCCGAAGGCTTGAAAGTCATGAGAGCAAACAGGGCGCGCATAGTCGAGCAGAGGGAGAGGCTGATAGCCGAGCTACCCAGGATTCCCGGAGTAGGGAGGCTAAGAGGAGGAGAGGCAAGCAACTTCCTACTGTTTGAGATGCTGAATACCAAGGGAGAGCCGGATAACACCACGGCGTTGGCGGTATATGAGCAATTGGCGGAGTCAAAAGGCGTTGTCGTTCGGTTTAGAGGAAAGGAGCACGGCTGTCTGGGTTGTCTTAGAATCACTGTCGGTACGGAGCAGGAGGTCACAAGATTTCTCGCTGCTCTACAGAAGACGCTGGCTGAAGTAAGAGGCACTTCAGCACCTCAAGATGAGGAAAAGCGCGAAAAGGAGGCAAACGCAGTAGTTGCTTAGACAGGGTTTGGGTTAGAAAAAAACACTTGGCCTTACTCAAAGCGTTGACATATTTGTATCATATTTGGTGACACGAGGATGGTAAACAATTAATTCCGAGGGTCATTCTCGCGGTCATAAATTTTGATTGTCATGTCTATCTTTTTAGAAACCACCATACGCCAAGCAAGGCTTCCGTGTTCTATTTGCCCCATGCAAACATATCTCTGTATGTGCAAGCCAATGCATCTATTCAGCGATGCGTCAAAGATCAAGGTATGCGAGCTCTCGGGGACTCCCATCCCAGAGGCGGAAGAAGCGAAAATGCCAAATATCATACACACATCGCCACACCAGTCAAGGCCTGGTCGCTCATATCAAGCCCCAGACGAACACCCCCGTGAGCAGGCTCAAGCCCACCCATGTGAGATCAACCCCGAGGACCCCCGCCTCGTTCGACCGCTTCGTAGGCGTCGGGGTGCTCGTCGGGAACGGGACGGGGCTGACCGAGGCCGTCGGCGGCGAAGAGCTCCGCACGTTCTTGATCTCGCCGGCCTTGAAGGGGGGCGTGGCGTACGGCACCAGAATGCCGTGGACCGTCTCGAGCGCGCTCATCTCCTGGCCCAGACCGGTGACGTTGTCGTAGCCGCCGACGTACCACTTCTGGCCGCAGGACGTGCCCTTGCTGCCGCCGGAGCAGGCGTCGGCGGCGGCCCTGGCCGAGGGGTTGAGCAGGGCCTGCACGGAGGGGACGATCTCGGGCACCATCTGGGTCGCGGCCCACATAAAGCGCGACAGGTAGCCCTTGAACGACTTCATGTCCGTGTTGCAGCTGTCGACCTGCTCGCAGGCGTGCTCGTACATGATGTTGGTGGCGTTGCTGAAGGGGCTGAAGAAGGACTTGGACGCGTCCAGCAGGCCCTTGGTGCGCTCGACCCAGTCCGCGGAGTCGGTACCATTCGTCACGTTGGCCATGATCGCCGCGCCGTAGAGGTAGATGCCTGCGCTGTACGAGAAGCTCACCGGGTTCGTCTCCTTGCAGTCGTCGCCCACCCCGGCCCCGTCGTACACGTTGTACCTGTCATCGATGAAATTAACCTCGCGGCTCCAGTCCCAGATCTTGTTGGCCCAGTCCAGATACGTCTGGTTGTTCGTGGCGCGGTACAAGCGGGCTGAAATCTGGAAGAAGCCGCCGTTGCTGACCGAGTTCTTGTATGTCAGACCGTTGGGGTTGCTCGCAAAGATCTGCCACAGCAGGCCGCCGCCGCAGTTCGTCGTGTTCCACCGGCTGGCGAGGCTGTTCCAGGCGTTCTCACCGATCTCCAACCACGAGGGGATCGCCGAGTCAGGTTGCGGCCAGTTGCGCTCCGCAGCTGACAGAATAGCAAAAGACCAGAAAGCCTGGTCATCGTTCCCCTCGTCTCCATAGTGCGCTGGCACCATCAAGTCAAAATCCGGTCCCGCCTGGGCAAGCAGGGCGGTGGTGATGATGCTATCATACGTAGTATCATTTGTGTAATGCGAATAGTCCAGCATGGCTCCCATGAGCGCACCGCACTCCCACCAGTAATACGGCGCCGGCAAGTCGGCGAATGCCTGCGAAAAGTTAGATGATCATGCGCAGATTTCGTGCTTCTTGCAATAAGACTCACAGCGGCAGTGCCAGGATAGTACGACATGGCACCAGCAGCAATGGTCTTAGCCACGCCTTGTACCGATGCTACAGCGTATTGTTAGCCAAATGCCCGCAAGATATTACATGGCGAGATTGACAGGACTTACTGGAGTCCTCGATCTTGAGGCTGCTAGGAGCCAGGGCAGCAACGGCCAAAGCTGCCGTGCCATGTACGGACTTGATGAAAGAGACCATGATGGGTTCCGAGTCGACGACGTAGAAGAAATCTCAAGTGTGTAAAGGTGTGAATGTCCCGATCCAGTTGTAGTCACCGTCGACCTGCGCGCGTATACAGATCTTCTCCCAGGAAGAACGAGGTTATATACAGATTGTTGGAGGTTGAAGGAGATAGAAAATGAAAGTGAAGACACCGGATCAGAGCGCCAGCTCAGAGAATGCGAGTGGTGTCTGGAAATGTGCAGGGAGGCAGGTAGGTGTATAGAATATTGTCCCTGAAAAGTAGTAGCACAATTGAACAATAGAAGCGAAAAGACCGAACAATAGGCGACCACCGTCAATCAATCAATAATGACGAGAGAAAAAGACAGAAATAACGGAAAAAGATTGAAATCAGCAGTTCAATACGAACTGGCAGCAATCGGGTAAACGAGAGAGTGAGCGCCACTCTTGAAAGAGCGAGCTTTGAAGGGGGGGTAGGAGGGTAGGAGGGAGGTCATCACCATTTATTTGAAGCCCTCTCTCTGTGTCTTTGTTTCTTCAACCCCGGGGATCAGCCCAGGGCCCCCCGCCTGCAAGACCTGCAGGACCTGCACGCTGACAAGAGGCACATGCTTGGGTACTGCGCAGTTGTAGGGGAACACGAGCGCCATGGCACACCACAACGGGAAGGGGAAGGTCGTCAATACGATAGGCGAAGAAGCACCGGGCAGTCGTCAAGACCCAATCGACGCTGGCCAGGTCCAGGTCTAAGCCGTTTAGCTTGTTTCGTTTCCCACCCTGCCTGAGCCTGCGAGCCTGGCGCCCCCGAATCTTGCAGCGCGCCGTTGCAGCGTGGTTTGTTCGCGCCCCAGCTGAGTGGTGGGTAGCTCTCAGGTCGGCGGTGCCATCGGCTGATCGACGGCGCTGGGCCACGGTGCATAGATTGTCTTGCCCAGCTTGCCCTCTCCAATTCCCCAGATCCACATGGGACGAAGGACTGCTAGAGTCTTTCTCTGCCGGGTCGGGGCTGGGTCTGGCCAGCCAGGAAGCCCTGAAAGGGGGCTGCAAGGGCCTGTGAGGATTGTGATTCGGCCGATTGGTCAAAGGGTGAAACCTGAAACATCAACCAAATTGTATGGACTGGCTACCAACGCCCTCTCCAGAGCCGCGCGACTGACCGAAATAACAGTTGCGGCAGGTCTGGTTTCTTTTTACGGATACAGACAAAGACAACAAGAAATGGAACATGGCCTTGACTCAGTCAGAAACGACAAGACCGAGCTGGCTTCAATTCTCGCTCTAGGACATCTAATACAGACGCAGTGAGACATGCATACGTGATTCAGGAACAAAACCAGATATGCCATTTCCTGCAGACTCCAGGCCTGGCTTCGCCACGTTGCATTCGAACACCTGGCACGTTGACAGTAGAGACATTATACACAGTATAGTACAGTACAGTACAGTAGCAGTGCATGTGAAGAAGGAGTCGAACAACGGTCTAGAGTGTCATATGCGTTTATTTTTGTCCGAAAGCCAGGGTATTTATTATTCAGGAGAGCAACCCAACCATTTGCACCACCAACCAAAGCCAGATAGATTGTTGGCCTGGTCCTTGTAGCCACCCCTCGCTTCTATCAGATGTTCAGGTACGGTAGTCAAGGTACCGCTTGAGGTCTCTATTTGACCAAGTGCTCTCCCACCGAGCTGTGACGTTACTTTCTTTTGATATATTGTCCCTAATCCTTTCATCATAGTAAAGTGTGCTGTCATGCTATAAGAAGTTGACAGCAAGTACCATGACTACGGCGTACATCGTCCTCCACATGCTCCCATCTAGCCTGGGAGCAGCCAATGCGCTTGGGACCGTCGAAGTCGGCGTGCTGCTACCACCGGTGGAGGTTGGGAAGAACCACTCCGTGTCAGTTGGGTTTGCCGTCTCCCCTGGGGACGTCTCCGTGGCGATGGGCGTCCCGTCAATGTCCACCGTGTCCGGAGGCGGCGCCGGAGACGACAGGGTCAAGATGCCCCAGTGGATGTCATCGCCGGACATGGTCCTTGTCCATGCCGTCTCGGTCGCGCCGGTGACGGCGTAGTAGTCCTCGCCAAAGGAGGAATATCCCCTGCATACAGCGGCGGTTGTGCCCTGCAGCTGGCAGTCTAACGCTGCCGTTCTGTATGGGCGAGTTAGTACCTGCATGTATGGACTCGTGAACATGAAATGAACGAGCGTACATTGTGCCGGGATCAGCCCCGGAGAAGTGCAGCGTTTTGGGGCCCTCTGCAAATGTGAAGGGCAGGTCGCCATCTATCTGGCAGTTGTTGGCCGTCTGGTCGGCACAGAAGATGGTGTATAACGTCTCGGAGTCATCCTGCAGCTCATGCATCAGTCAATCGACAGACCCAAGGTAAAGAGAGAACAAAAATAGTATAACACTCCTACACTTGTGATTACACTTCCACGTAGGCCCTCCCATGCAGATGCACGATAGCCCGGGACGAAGACGGAGACGGAGACGCTTTGCTGGGCGGCGGCCACTACGGCGATCGGCAGTAGGGACAGCGACAGCGACAGCGACAGCGCCGCCGCGGACGCAGCGCAAGGCCAGCGGTCCCTCCTCATTTGCTACCTACTGTGGCTAGCGGGGGAGGAGGAGAACAGCGCGGGCGCTGTGGTTACCGACGCATTTGGGCTGCTCAGGGTTGAGAAGCGCCGCAGCGGAAGAGAGAGAAGAGGCATTCGCACGACTTGCGGTCAGAACAGAGTTTTGCTCCCACCCGCCTGGCGACAACTATGTAGGTAGAAGCATTATAATGACTGAGTGAGTGGACTGGCGTGGGCTGGCCGAACGGTTTGCGTTTTCTTGGTGTTTCTTGGCTCGACCAAAAGGCTCGCTGCCAAGCCCGCGATTACCATGCTATTACGATGCCCAGCAAGGGACTTCGGCAAAGAAATGCCATTGACCTAGCATAAGGCCCCAACAAGGGCCCCTAACCATCTAACCATCTACCTACCTAGGCACCTTAGGTAACATATTGTCTGTGCAATGGCGGGAATAACGCCAAGAGGAGCCCGCTGTCAACTGACCCTGACTGGCATTCTGGAGACTGCCTAGGCACTCTGCCTAATACAGTAGCTGGGTAGTGCAGAGTACATGTAGGTAGGACTGTCACGGCTACGCGCGTCTTTTTGTCGCCAAGGCGCTTGTCTCTCCAGGGAGATACTGCATAGTAGGTCGTCCGTCGGATTCGCCCTGCTATTTATGTTTATCCATCTATTTGACGATGTATAACATACCTACCGGTAGTTTGTTGATATGTTGCTTGCTGTTGGCGGCTCTGCAGGCGCCTGAAGAGAAGCTAATTACCTAGTAGATCGCCGTTCACTAACGTTATACTCCATCCGTCCTCTGAGAACCTCTTCAAAGCCAACTTCGACATAATTACCCTGATATCTCGGCAACTTCGTTTGCTATCTTGTAGAGCCAATCAAAAATACATGGAATTCAGCCCACTAGAATACCCACTGGCCTGTAGATGTGTTCCTTGAGCCAGACGAAGTAGCACAGACTCAAAGACGAGCAGGAGGAGATTCAAGGCGGCCGCTACCTCATTCCAGGACGAATTTCGTGTAGAAGCTCCGAGTGACGCAGCTCGCCTAGTCTATCATTTTGACCTTGACACGAGACACATCTCGTGTTTGCTTATTCAGTCTCGCCGCCGCCGAACGGACGACCAGTCAAGGTGAGCTTCCATTACGAAACAATGGCCACTCTCATAGTTAGGCAATCCACCTGCCTAGTACTGGATGAACATCAGTAGCCATGGCATGGTTTCCTGCCCTGGCTCATTTCGGCATTTTCGTACAGTCATTAGCACCAGGCACGCCCACTAAAAGCGATCCTTCGCGGGCGGGTCTGCATGACGGGAACACTCCGTACTGGACTATCATAGCAAGGTAGACGGCAACTGCTGGAGATGCCGGGTTTCAACCCGTCGCAGAGAATCAGAGAGGCAACATTCTGGGCTTAGGGAACCTGGGTCAAGGTAGCTAAGGTAGCCCATGGGGTTTCTCCTACCCGAAGACCTGGTTCCCAGCAAAGCATGCTAAGCTTTCGGGTACGGCGTCCCTAGAGCCCCTAGACTCCCCTACCGGCGCGCGCCAGAACAGGGGTCTGCATCTCGAAACGTTAACCTTGATTGACAACTCTAATGACAACGGGGGGAAGCGGACCCAGGGGCAAAAAGGATCTGCGACAGATCTCGGGCTTAGGTTGTTTATATAGATCTCAAGTGAGCCACTGCGCCCGCCTCTCCGAGCTTTCTATTCCTCGTTCCCGGGTTTTGTGGCTCTTTCTCTCTCTAGCCTGTCTCTCTTTGAAACCTACAAAAAGAGTTCTCGAACTTCGGTCTCCAGCAGCCAGCCACTCGTTCAAGCCACCTCTAGATAGATATCTGATACTCGCTCATCAGGATGGCTCGTCAGCTCCTCCGCGGTCTCCCGCTTCTGTCAGCACTCGCTGCTCCCGCATTGGCCCAGTCCACCAGTGTCGTCGAGGTTCTTCTCCCCGGCTTCGACACCCAGACGGTCCTCGCCTCCGTCGTCGACGTCGACTCGCCGTCCAAGACCACCTACTTCCTGACGTGCCCCACCGATGAGGACGAGACAGAGTGCGGCCTCGGCTCCGGAATCACGGTGGTAGAAGGACCGTCGACGTTTGCGTACCACCAGACCGAGACTGGGGTCCTGTAAGCTCGCCTGTATCCCCCCATCTCGGGAGAGATGTACTGACGGTGTGTCCCGTAGAACTGCCGACGTCTCCTGCCAGATCGCCTCTAGCACAGCCGTCTGCACGTCAAGTCTGGACGAGTCTGGCTACGACGAGTCGGCCAGCTCCTCCTTCGCCGTCGCCACGGGGGGCGTGGCGACCATCACGGACCTGAGCACACTCACCGGCACCATCACCATCACCGCCGGCCTGGAGAAGCTCTCCGGGGCCACCGCCTCTCAGACGGCTGCGACCGGCCAGTCCACCTCCGCCTCCGGGTCATCCACCGGCTCTGCCGGCGCCACAGCGGCAGGATCCAGCTCCAGCACTGCTGGCATGCCCCAAATTACTGGCAATGCCGTCTTCGCTGGTGTTGCTGCCATTGTTGGTGGTGCCATGATGATATAGACTTGATTTAGATTAGATCAACATTCCTACAAAGATCTGTACTTAATTGGAGCATATAGAATAATAGCAATCCGGAAAGTTACACAAAGGTTGTGATAGACTCTTATTTTTGACGTGAAGTATGTGAGGGGTCTAAGAACTCAGGTTGGAATTATTCATTGACAGTTATCCTAACCCTTTCAACTGATATGCCAAGGCTGTGCCTGATGTACTTCAACCCTCTGGCATGAGCCGCAACACAACTACAAAGCTTCCCAATCGTGAAGGCCAGTGTATTATTCCCAATATTATGATGTCTGTTTCCCTCTTTTTCAACAGGAGAAGAGGTGATGCTCTACTCATTTTTTGTCGCCAGAGATGGCAGTGGAGCCGGTCAGGTTCAGCTCCTCAACACCTGTGGTTGAAACAAACAGAGATCAGGAGTAGCCTTTGTGATATTCATCATGTCAATTAGCTATCGAGTGTCCGGGAGGCTTTATCCATGATCTTTCTTCACCTTGTCTCCTGCTGCACCTGACAATACAACTACTCCCACAACATGCGGTCAACTATCCACCACCACCATTGAGATATCACCAGACAACACTTGACAACTAATCTCGGTCAATTGAGCAAGTGTTGGAGTGCATGGATCAGATAGGGATGCGTCGATGTCCTCGATGTCCTCGTCATTCCCTGCGATTACCTCAGAACACCGAAGGCAGCTCCTCGCCAGGTGTCTCCGCATCACGAGCAGTGATGGTTGACAAGCTGTTGTTTATCGCAATGACATCAAGCAGTCTCTCATAATTTGGAAGGGCCGGTGCAACCAGCGGAAGGCGATAGGATTGGACTGTGGCTGGAGGCTAGACTTCACCGTGGTCGTGGGCCACGGTTGACATGTCTAAGGCCTCCTCGCTCCAGTCAAGCATATCGCTTGCCGCTGATTGCTCCGGCCCTTCCCGACTACCAGAGACTACTTGATATTATAGTAACAAAAGGCCAGTAGCATGCCTACCCATCTGGTTTTGTCAATACCATCATCAAGACACCCCTCATCCAGATTAGAATGGCAGGGTCGTTATCCGCAAGGGTTATTCTGTCTGGAGTTATGAGCATTTGGACCAGGAGGAAGAGACGAAGTGTTGGGGGTTGGCATACTTGTTGGTGGCAGAATGCCACTTTTGGCTTGGTGACCAACTCCTCGAAACGAGGTTAAATATAGAGTTGTTGAATATATATAGAAACCCGGTACAGAGACCGGTTATCTTGATATTAGTCAAGTTACGTTTGTTCAGAAAGTTGAACAGCATGAGCCGTGCTCATGAAATAGTGCTTTGTCGGGTGTGCTCCCGTGGATAATACATCACGAACGAACATGATGCTTCAACAAGTTCAAGACTTAAGATGGTTTGTTTAACGGGACAGCGGCGGTACTTCGAAGAGCCTCCTTGGCCTTGCCCTCCTCAACCCAGCACTCGAAGAATAGTGGCCCGGCTTCTACTGATCGTACAGGAACAGTCTTTGCGCCGCCAAGATCCTTGCCTCTCTTCCTCTGGCGAACTGCAGCTTGCAGGCTGGGCTGTGACGGAATCCATGGCTGCGGGTGCTATTGAAACGTTAGTATTTATCACTTCATAGACAAGGATGCGGGAAAGAACAAGCATCAACTCACCCCTATCGGCGCCTGTGCCTGGTTCTTCAGCTCAACAGCAACAGTGAACGTGCATCCCTCCGGCAGGGCGTCCATCTTCTCTCCCGCGTAAGCCAGCCTTCTGAGAGCACCGCGCAACTGCTCGTCGACATCGGCCCAGTTGATGACATCCTCCTCGACGAGCTCGTTGTCCTCGTCCTCCTCCGCAGCGACCGCATCGTCGTCTTCCTCGACGTCCTCCTCGGCATCTTCCTCGGCGTCTTCCTCGGCGTCGTCCTCGCCCTCCTCATCGTGCTTCTTGCCGCTGCTTCCTCTGGGGTCGAAGTTGCGCATAGCTTCTGCGCCGCCGGGCCACGACGGAAAGCCACTGACGTCGAACATCCACCGTTCTAGGACGGCACCGGGCGACACCTTTGAAAGGGCTGCCTTGCTAGCTGGGGCAGCAGGAACGGCAGCTGGGGGCTTTGATGGGGTGGTGCCGGATGAGGTGAGCGGTGCGTGAATGACGACAGCAACCCGCGCAACACTGCCGGCGGCGATTTGGCCCGTCACTGCATCCACGGCATCAAGAACCCAGGAGCAGACCTTGGGGTGCCTTGACTGGTGGACAGGGATGTTGAAGGCTCTTGCAGAGAGGAATGTCCGACGTGGGTATATGCTACGGTAGTACAGGATCGTGTGTATGGAGATGGTGAGGAAAGATGAGAACGAGGTCAGGAGAGTGTGAGCTTGTATGATGGGCACTTCTGTTGACTCTGGGGCCTCAGGTAGAGGCGGCGGTGGCATCGACATGGCAATGCTCTGGTTAGGTGAAGATTGAGTGTCAGCCTTATGATAAAGAAGACAGTGTAAGGATCTGAAAGGTGATTTTGTGATATTGTGTATTGCCGGGTATAGCTTGCCCTTGTATTCACTGATGTTGAGGTTCCGGTGACGTGGTTTAGGTACCCCTCGCTAACACAGCATGGAGCTGGCTGGGTGCCTGCCTGGTGACGCGCCTAGTGAATTGATAAAACCACTGAGACCACTAGACAATCTGAACCTGAAGCAACCTCATAAACCAGGCACGCACCGGAATTCACAAAAACAATGTCAATCAAACAGATATGAGTAGAAAAACGTTTTCTTGTTATCGAGCCAGTGGGCCCACAGGTTTCTATCTAATTGCTTTTCCTCCTATGCCTTGCTGCCAATGTGCTGCCCATCTGGCATGTTACTATAAGACGCCAAGGGGCAAGTCCACCAATCTGGGCCATATCTAAACCGTCTTGTAGGAGAAGTGAAGAAGAGCCAAGTAGCTGGACATTGCTTCGAGGGAAACCTGTCTGCTCATCTCTGAGTTACCTCCACATGTGTCTATACTGTCATCACTCATCAGACATCAATTCACAATCACTTGTCTAGCTGTTTCCGCAAGCTGCGTATTCGAGCCGATGCTGCCATCACCACCAGCCCCGGTTGGGGTGGAGCTGGGCATATGGCCGGCATTTCGTTCTCATGTAGACCATCTCCAGCAGCGAGTAATTCCTGCTGTTGTTTCAAAGCTGCCTGGGCACGCTCCTACTGCGCCGCCAGCTCGTTGAGCTTGGTCTTCTCCTCGTCCGTGAGCATCTCGTACCAGTTCTTGAAGTCGGCAATGTTCTCGCGGGCTGCTCGGATGAAGAACTCTGTTAGATACTGCTGTGTCTCATCATCTCTCTGGCGGGATCCGGAGCCCTCAATCAGTGACATAAGTCCGGCCTTGGTGGAGCCAAGAGACAAGTCAAGCGTGTCAGGCTCATCTTCCCAACCCTCGTCTCCATCGTCCTCGTCGACATCTGCAAACTCGGCTGCTGCGGCAGCGGCAGCGTTAGCTGCACCCTGAATACCAGAAGCTGAGAGCAACTCCTCAATGAGAACTTTGAGAATCTTCAGGTTGGCTGGGATGATGGTAAACTGGTCAGGGTCTAGGTTCGTTCCTGTTAGCAATTTGCGCCTTGGTCGTTCAACATCAAATGACCTACTCTGCTTCGCCCGTGATCGAGTCATGATTCTATCACTGGTTGGTACAATCAAGTCTCCCTTCACCATGGTCTGAGAGAGACGCGCATCGTTTAGGGAGTAGAGTTTCGATAGTGCAATGACGCTGTGACAGGGTCAGTATCAACCAAATTAGACAAGACCTAAAGCAATGACTTGAACTTACTTCTGTCGAATCTCATCGTAACCTGCGAAGTTGATTGAGTTTTCCAGCCATTTGCTGAGAACGACTTGTAGGCCACTTTGACTATTGATCTCAATGCCACTAAGGAAGTGAACAACGTCCTGGGCACCAACAAGGGACAGCCGTGCAAAGACAAGGATCAGAGACTGGATGAAAGGAGCAGCTTGTGCAGACGCTAATCGAGTTGCTACAGCCTGCAGGAGCTTAAGCAGGTAAGGACCAAGGCGCTCTTGACCGGCTTTTTCGACAAGCTCAGCAGCAAGGCCACCAACCTCTGATGCCGCATTGTCTTCAATGGAAGGTCCAAGGAGGCGATCAATGATAATAAGACAGACCTCTAGACCAGATTGGCCGTTCTCGTCATGCCAGCCAAAGACCTGATGGTGGTCATGCATGAGCATGTACTTCAGGGCCTCAGCGCCAGGTCGTAGGACTTCGCCTTCAGGAGACTCCATCAAGAGTCTCTTCAGCTTCGGTAGAGTTGCTGCGACAAAGCCAGCGGGAAGCGGCTCTGAGCCGTGTTGCACTAGAGCTACTAGAAGCTCACTAGCCAGTGTAACAAGGGGGTCATCCTGCGTCATGTCCGCAACATTGAATGCACCTGTCAGTGTAGGGAGAACCTTCGCACAAAGTGCCGCATAAGATGCCGAATCTGAAAGTTTCGCGACCAGGTCCTCGAAAGCCTCGCAGACAAGCATCGTAACCTGGAAGTTCGAGGCACCATGCTTGGCGATGAGGAAAAGAGAGTCTACAGACTTGATATCCGACGCAATGGTAACACGTGGGTCAATGGTGATGGCGGCCCGTAAAGACTCGGCTAGGGTTACTAGGAGATCGTCGGCATCCTCAAGATCGGTTAGGTCCTTCGAGTCAAGGAAGCCATTGATTGATTGAATGATTGCCAGCTGGCGGTCTGCAGGCGCATTGCCCGACTTGACAAACCCTTCAACAGCCTTCACACAGGAGACCTGTACAAGTTCTTGGTCATCCCGAGTGATAGACTCGATAGTCCGGTCCAACAGAGCATTCGCCGGAGGGAAACCGTGTGATAAAATTCCAGCCACAAGGAAACCCCGTGCGCGCAGAAGGGTTTCGTCGGGCTTGTTCACTGCAAAATTGACAAGCTCCATGTACGCTTGGGCAATGACTTCAGGGACTGGCTTGTCCAAGTCCTGAAAGTCGCCAACCAACATGTTAAAAAGATATAGGGAAGCCTCCTGGCTTCTCCAGTCTGATCCATTACCGGGAAACAGGCCCTTCGTGTAAGCGAAGAGTCCTTCTAGAGCCCGCTGGTTGAGCCACTCCCCAAGCTTGATAAGGAGATCACCGCATGCAGTTCGAGCAGTGTAATTGGCAGTGACAGATGTCTCCTCTGCGAGGTAGAGCGACACATCGATTTCCCAGAGCTCCTCTTCCTCCTGCGTGATGCGGGAGTACGCAACAACAAGCTGCATCAGATCCACCATCCAGGGTGTCTCATGCGGCGCTTGGGCATTGATCTGGGCTTCCAGCTCCTTCTGAACAGGAGGAGCACGCAGGCATTGGTTCAGGAAGTCCAGCTCTTCTAGAACTAAGAAATCGAGCGTGTATGGCAGGCCGTCCGAATCCTCTAGCCTTCCTTGTGCCCCATTGTCAATGTACTGGGCTTGGTATGCGCCCTTTAGACTTGATAGCTCCTCCCAGGTAGCACTGAAGAAGGTCAAGCTCTGAGGCAGCAGAAGGGCGGGGAAAACACCCTTGATCTTGATCAGAGTCTTGACCACCTGGAGCTTGAGAGCAATAACGCCGTTCCAGACCTCCGGCTGTGACTCCGAACCGGCAGTGTTCTCAGGCAGCTGCACCTTCATAACCTGTTGAAAGAAGGGCAACCAGCCCTTCAGGGCCTCTTCTGCAAAACTCTTGACTTCTTGCGGGTGATCATCCTTGACAATATCCATTAGATCGAAGCAGCCTCGGAAGACTGAAACGGCCAAGGCACGGAGGGCGGGCTTTCGAGACTCGTTCATCGCTACATGGTAGACCACGTCGACAATGGAGCGTGCCATGGAGAAGAACTGGTCCTCACTCAGGCTCTCCTCCACGAGGTCTCCCAGCACCTTCAGGGCGCCATGCAACTGGGTGTCTGTGCCAGTGGGGATAACCTCGAGTAGGGTTGGTAGCAGGGTCGGCCATTGCTCCGGAAAGTCGACATTAGCGATCTTACCGACAACATAGCTATGATGGTCGAAGAGTTAGCACGTATATCCACCCCACGATTGTACAACGCTTGGAAGCTATGAATGTAGTGACAAGGGCACGTCCCCAATGGAGCAGTAACATACCTTACGGCAGCCTTGACCTTACGCTCATCCTCATTGCTCAAAGCCAGGTCCAGCAGCTTGGGTCGCAACTGATCCTTGGTGGAGTCGGGGATGGGGATGCGGGGGCCCTCGCCGTCGTCGCCCTCGGGGCTCCAATTGTGCTCGATGAAGTTGCGCAGGACGGACAGGGCGGACTGGCGGATGTCCGTCGAGATGGACGTGTGTGCGGCGATGTTGGCCAGCGACAGCGGGAAGATGGGGTTCGTCTGCGCGTGCTTGAGCTCGATCTCTGCCTGCTTCCGCGGCCCCTCGGCAGCCAGCTGGGTGTTTGCCAGCAGCTGCACCAGCTGATCCTCCATTGCGTGCGTGCGCGAGCCAGGAAGCTGTCTCTGGGTTCGTGCTTTGCCTGTCTTCGCTCGGGCTCGCTCAAGGCTGTGTTTATTTGCTTTTCGTCTATAACTCGTGCAAATCGGCGCGGGAAGGCTATCGGGTAGCGCCGTCTAGTTGAGTAGCCTACGACGTCTTTTTAGTTTGCTTTTTTGTGCTGGCAGCTCGCCGAAAGAGCGGTATGTGGGGTTATTAGGTAGAGTGGGTTTTGGGTGTGTGGTGTTGAAGATGCGGCACTACGCACGACGCGACCAGACCGTTTTACCGTGGGACGTGCGGGCGCGCGCCTCTCTACCCAAAGTACTCACAGAAGGCACCTGCAGGAGGTCTAGAACAGGCTACCAATAACATTCACTTACACCTCACCACCATAAACAAGTCAGGGGAAGGTATATAGAGGCGAGAGCTTCGTCACATGTAATTCACGAAATGGCAGAAGAAAGACGAGCGAGAAGATGATGTCGGGAAAACGTATCTCATTTTCGAATATCATAAAGTCATCCTTCGACTTGAGCATCGATCATAATACAATGCCACCACATAATCGTACAGTCCTCCACCTATCAGCCTTACCTTCCTATGAACGGTGTGTTCTCAGTGCCAGACTAGATAATTCCGCCGCCACCAAATGTGTCATTTCCTCCAAACGAGTTCCCTGGACGTCCGCCCCCGAATCGTGGCCCGCCGCCTCCTGGACCAAGGGGATCCCATCTCGCACCGGGAGGAGCCTGAGGATTGAAATCCTCATCTCCTTGTCCATGCGGACCGCGGAACAGGGGGTCATCGAAGGTAGGATGCATGCCACCCCCTCCAGGCCGTGGTAGTCCACCACCAGGGATGAAAGCACCACGGAGGGGATCATGCGGCCCCAGGCCCGGGGGATTGAGGTCACTGTCTCCGATATTGAATGGATGGCGACCCCCAAATCCACCAGGAGGAGCCAGGGGACCTCGCGGTGGTCGATTTATTTCATATTCATCCTCGAAGCCTGGTGGCGGGAAGTCGCCAGCCGGAATCGGTCTGCGCGGTGGCTCGGCAAGGGGGTCATTGAAGGGGTACGGATTCGGCCGCGCGGGATCAGGCAATCCTTCAGGGATCTCCGGGGGCCCCCGCCGTCCCCCTTGTCGGCCGACTCGGTCTGCATCTTCGCGGGCAGCACGGTCATCGGGGTTGTTCGATTCCTCATATCCCTCCTTCTGTAGACTGGGAAGCAGCTTCTGAATGATGTTGACCTTCAGCAGGCTGGCCAGGTCAGATATACGTTCTTCTGAGATGAAGACGCTCTTCAACTTCTGTGGCAAGTCGCTTCGGTCCTCGGTGCCGTCCTGGTTCGTACTTATACGTAGCGGCAGCGCAGATGACGAGACATAGTCTCTAGCTGTGATCTCGACCCGCGCGATCCTCTCATCCCCTACTCCCAGGCCTCGAATCTCTGCCTTGCCTCCTAAGCGATCGACCCGGATGACATATTGCATTGACGACTGTGTATGGGCGTATACGAAGGAGTGTGAGTTAAACGAGGCGTTCCATTTCGAAGGTAGCCGTGGCGCGAGCTGCTGGCATTCTGACTCTGATGAACCAAATCTCCTATTAGTACTGAACCTCCACTGCTGGGTTCTTCCAACAATGTACACAGCGGGGAGCTTACCGATCTTCTGATCCTCATGAAAACCAACTAATCTGAACCCCAGGGACGACATGCATGCGTGTGTGAATAGTGCAACAGCCTCATACGAGCTGCTCATGTCCGAGGTAGTGTCGCCCTTTTCGTGGGTAGGCAGAGCATCAGCCATCCCCTGGAGGATGACATGCGGGCTCAGCGGATTCGACGCCATCGTGTTGACAGTCCTTCCAATTGCTGCAAGATTGCTATGGGTCGTATGGTGCGTATATGGTTTGATGTTGCAAGAAGACAGTCGTGCCTGGTGTTCCGGAATGGAGGGGCAGCAATGACGTTCTATTTAATGGCAAGGAATGGAGGTGGCGTAACCTACAGCTGCCTGAAGCCGTAGGGCTGAGTCCAGTGATTCAGCACTGCGGGGTACCTCAAGCTCCTGACAGCTCGGTTTACAACCTCCATTGCGTTTAGGTTTAGGCATTGATTCCATCACCGCCTAAATCAGGCACAATACCAGGCAATCATGATTGACAGGGCGTTGTGATCTTTCGAATATGTGGTACCATATGCAGCATGAATGAAGATGCCATACGTTCAAAAAGATCTCCAGGAACAGACAATACTATTGTCTCAATTAGAATAGTCTAAGCATCTATCTGCCTCAAGCCGCCAATAAAATGCCCCTGAGCCTTGATGCCCATGTACTCCAACATATGACATATGCAATCAAATGATACAAACGCCTACATGCTAAATTCGCTGTCAAAATGAACCGAGTTATGCAAGTCAGAGTAATCACAGTCTCGAGTTATCACCAAGATAATGTACTTTCGCAACCAATGCATCCAGGCTAGCCACTAACGCAAGGGCGAGAAGCTTGAAGTCGAGCAACGTTTACCAACGACGGCTAGAGCAATTAATTAGTAAATGAGAGACGCAAGAGTGATAGCACAGATGACTAACCTGAAGGCGTCATTAACTTTAACCCGACGACGCTTGGGCGTTTGTTTCGATTCCTTCTTCTTTTCCTTTTTAGTTGGGCGGTCCAATCCCAGGAGCTCGTATTCGATATCCGACATTTGAGAACTATCGTCGCTGTCGCTCGCTTCATTGTCGTATGAGCGAGAATACGCCGGCATCTTCCGAGCGCCTGGACTGTGGTCTCGAGACCGGGGTCGTGAAGATGACCGTGACCGCCTGTAATCCGGCTGCGGAGGGGAGTTCTGGTTGCTCGATCTTTCTCGCCGAGGATCCTGACGCCTGTCACCAGACTGGGCACTTTGATATCCAGAGTCGTGCCGTAATGTGGATTCATGCGGGGCGTTTGACCTGTCATCTTTCTGACGAGGGTGGACGCGATCTACCTGGTCGTGCAGAGAGTGGAAAAGAGTGTCTGTGACATCCCGTTCAGCACTTCTAGAACCACCTTCGCTCTTTGATCGAGACATGTCACCTGCAGGTCCGGGTAGATACTTGTGGCGTTTGAGCTCCCTCTCTTGATCTTCGCGAGTTTCCTCAAATGTCCGCTTGGCACGACTTTGGCCTTCCTGGGAACTATGAGTTGGCTCATCGTCTGATGGGTCGGACTGAAGGTGAGCAAGGTCGTAGGTAGAATATTCGTGGGGGTAACCAGGAAAACGGATCTTGATCATGCCCCTGTAATGTTTGAATGCTGGATCATCTCGTACGCGCCCCCAGTACGTCGTATCCCGGATGGAAATGGAAAAGGATTTCAGGTCGGTCTCAGAGAAAAACTCCGACTTGATACACTTGGCATTAAAGGCAGGCGGGATTGTCGGGTCATCGTTATATTCTGGGGGCAGCGGTCTTCCAACAGGATCGGCATCTTTGGTGTTGACTTCGAGGAAAATCTTTTCGAGCTCCCATTCGAAATCATCGTCAATAGGGGTGGCGTGTTCATCTCGTTGGTCGCTCTTCGGCGTGCTGATCGAACGAATTGGAGAGTCCTTCGCAGCACTCGACGATCGCCGGTTAGAGTCCGACGATTGTTTCTGTTGCCCATGATGTCGTTGGCCTCTGCCTCGATGGTCTCTATTATGGCGAGAACCCCGATTGTGATGCTGGTTACGATTACCGCTGGCTTGATTCCAGTGCGCAGGGGGTGGCGGTGGCAAGGAAGGGGGATATTGAGGATCTGTGGTGTATGGGGGCCCATTCGGAGCATTGTAGGGTACTTGTTGGTAATTATTTGGAGGTGGTGGAGCGTACGAAGGGTATGCTGGAGGTGATGGCCCCGAGTAATATGGCTGAGGAGCAGGAGGGTAAGGGGAACTTGGCGGGGGAGCGTAAGGCTGACCATACACCGGCGGGCCATACGGATTTGACTGGCCGTAAGGAGGAGGAGTTGGCTGTGGAGGAGGGCCAGGAGGTCCAGGAGGGCCGTACTGGCTATAAACAGGAGGCGGCACTACCGGTGGATAGCTCTGACCGTAGGCACCCTGGGGAGCAGGAGTAGGAGGATACGGAGTGTATGGTGTAGGTGGGCCTGGAGGTAGAGGTGGATAGCCAGCTGGCTGTGAGGACAGACCGGGAGGTGCTGAATGTGAGTACGGCGCTGGACCTGGAGGTGGAGGAGGTCCATTCGCCCAGGGATTATAAGCAGGAGGTGACGCCGCTGTTCCCGGAGGAGGAGCGTATCGCGTGATGATGGGGCCTTTTGATCTATTTCCATGCGAAGAATTGGTGGCAGAAGACTTCATCTGATTCGCGGCTTGACGCTGGCGAAATGCCTCTAGGCCCCTGAATCATTCGTTAGTGACAAACTCGGCAGGTTGACAGCGGATCTCTGTCTTCGCAGAAGAGATCTCATCTCGAGGTCTTGTACGTACGCAGGCTGGCTTCTTGTGGGCTCAGGGCAAGCGAACACAAAATGGTCCTTGCTTCCGCAATTATAGCAACTTGCCTCATGCTTTGGCGCATCCTGGCCAGGAGCGCGGTCTGCCATCCCCTTTGATGCTTAAAACCGAGGGGCAAATCAGCCGTCGGCTGTGTAGATGTAATACGGAAACAAGGGATGCGGAGGACCGTTGATGAACCAAAGATGCTGGCCTTTACAACCGCAAAAGCCAGAAGTGCGACAGACCAGAGTCGGTGGTTTGACGGCGATAGAGAAGTAAGAGAACCCTCTTGTTCCTCGATGTCAGAGGATGCACGACTCGGCCCGGTTGAGAGACTAAAAGTCTGAGAATTGCTGGACGGGACTATGAGGCTGCAGGCCGAAGTCACACAGCACAATAGGAGTCATGCAATGTCTACACCTTTGCTTTGACTTCGAAGATGCCGGAAAGATTCAACAATGGCTTGTCGGAGCTTGAGTGTCTTTTAGGACTCATCGCTTGCCACAGCCACATCCGAGCTGAATCCGCGATCGGATTGTGAGATGTCCTCCGCCCTATACCGATAGTTGGAGTGTAAATCTAACAAGTTATATAGTGCATTCATAACCGATTACTTAGGAAAAGAAACATTTCATAAGACAGCAAGACATGCCAAAGGCGAGGCACCGGGCTCTATGCATCGAGTCGCGATGTGAACTTTTTTGAGGTCGAATCAGCAAGATGGCCCGAGCGGGCGTCGCTGCGACCCCCGCCCGAGTGCCTTCCAAAGCGCGGGACCGGAAGAACATGTTTCCGGTAGCAGCGATTCTACTGATGTCTGTCGTTTTGTCTTCTCAGACGAGTACAGTAGTTCAAATGGAAAGATATTGGAGGAAGTGGCTTCTCAGAATGGTGTTTGGACATATCAATGGTTTGGGCTTAGGGCGAATGTGACCAGAATCAACCAGTGCTGTCTAGTTGTGTTCTGATGGTCACATTGGATGCCGAGGAGAAAATGGGCAATATCGAGAATGAGTGGCTTTTATGCCAGGAATGATACGAGACGAAGAAAGTCTGTCGAGAGCATACGACAAATAGAGGCATGCGTGGTAGATAAGAATGTGGCATTTTCAATGACGATCCTTAGGATTTCTCATATGGAGAATCCTCAAGGCGAGGAGAAGAGAAAGTTTGTACGTTTTCAGTGAACCTGTGATATTGAATCGACTTCCACCAGAGCCGTATTAGACTCCTGCAAGGGGAAGAACGATACGGAAAATCTCGACAGAAAAGAAAGCAACGCAAGTGACCCGGCAGAATGGAATAGGGTGACGAAGCTAGCAGTAAACCACAGCCAGAATTGACGCTCCGCAGTAGAAACCCATGAAAGGAAAGCAAAAGAGTCCCATAACAATACTCGGCACTTCAAGAACGCCAAGGAGGTGCAGTTGTTCAATCAGAACGGCTCAATCTGATGGTTCTGGTCAGAAGAAGGCATCTGCGATGATGAATCCGTTGAGAATCGATGAAGGCGTGTCGCCACAGTACGCAAAGAGATAGTTGAAAGTGGGAGAAAATTGCTTTGAAAGGATGGAGACCGAAGAATGGGTGAAATGGGGATGATCTCAGTGCCTGAGGCATAGAATCCTAGGACTTTCCATATCGATAAGCAACCAACCAACGGCCACAATCCACACGCCACACACACCTGGCACACACCACACAACGCCTGCACCTCCACCTGCAAGTGCCCTCTAGGTGTGTGCCTGTGGCTTTTAGGTCGTGCCTTTGATTTGCCGACCTTAGTCCGACACGTTGATTACAGAAGCGCGGAGCAATCGCCCTCCAGCTCAGAAGGCGCGGTCTTGACAGGCCATTAATAGCCCTTGGACAAGCCTCCTGTGCCACGGAACATTCTTCAAATCGCTTCCCCTCCAGTCGGCATCAAGCTCCTCCTGGCATTCATGTGAACCGAAAGCAACACCATCGTCTCTTGAACATGTTGGTTCCTTCGCGAATCTTCTCCATCACGACATCCTCTGCCGGGAGAAGCACCAGCCCCAGCATACGACACTGTGCCCAGGGCTGAAACCCGCTGGGCCCTACCAGCTTACCGATCAAGATGCCCGGCCTACCAGCTTCCGTCGACCTCGACGAGTGCATATCACGACTCTACAAGAAAGAGCTGCTGGCCGAGTCCGTCATCGAGGCGATATGTGCCAAGACTAAGGAACTGCTGATGCGCGAGAGCAACGTCGTCCATGTCCGCGCGCCCGTCACCGTCGTCGGCGACATTCATGGGCAGTTCTTCGATCTGATCGAGATTTTCAAGATCGGCGGCTGGTGTCCCGATACAAACTACCTGTTCCTCGGCGACTACGTCGACCGTGGCATGTTCAGCGTCGAAACTATATCTCTCCTTGTCTGTTTGAAACTGAGATACCCAAATCGTGTGCATTTGATCCGCGGCAACCATGAGTCGCGCGGCGTCACCCAGTCCTATGGCTTCTATACCGAATGTTCGAGAAAGTACGGCAATGCCAATGTGTGGCATTATTTTACCGATATGTTTGATTATCTTACACTAAGTGTTGTGATCAATGATCAGATCTTCTGTGTGCATGGAGGTTAGTCTTTAATCATGTCTAGGAATACACCACGGCTAATGCTAACATGCTGGGAACAGGCTTGTCACCTTCCATCCATTCTATCGACCAGATCAAAATCATCGATCGGTTCCGCGAGATTCCCCACGAAGGTCCTATGGCAGATCTCGTCTGGTCAGATCCAGACCCTGAAAGAGACGAATTCTCCTTATCGCCGCGCGGGGCCGGATATACCTTCGGGGCCCAGGTGGTTAAGAAATTCCTGGCGGTCAATAACATGAACCACATTTTACGCGCTCACCAGCTCTGCCAAGAGGGCTTTCAAGTCTTGTACGACGACAGGCTGAGTACTGTTTGGAGCGCTCCCAACTACTGCTACCGGTGCGGCAACATGGCTAGTGTGCTCGAGGTGAGCGACACGGGCGAGCGCTTCTTTAACGTATTCGCTGCTGCCCCAGAAAACGACCAGCACAAGGACATGCAGCAGGGCACAGAGAAGGCTGCTGATGGCAACGCCTTGCCGGACTACTTCCTCTAAGATTGGGGAGAAGGTCTGCCAGCAAGTACGAAGATTATTTTTTGTGTATGTAATGTACGGTTAAGCACGCAAGCACGAGATTCACAAGATAGACAGACGACGGCGATCCATCATGATACCTGAAAGACTTTTTTATACCCCTATCTGTTCGGCAGTAGCTGCCTCAATGTGGTGACGTAGCAAAACGGTAATCGTTATGTGTAATGTCGAAGAAGTTTCCGTACCCTGAGTTCAGCATCTCAAAAACCCCTCCAAAATCATCATCCCTTTCCCCTTCCAAGTTTCGTATAGCCAGCGAGAAAAAAAAAAAATCTAAGCCACTCATCATGATATCATTTCCGTCGATTCCTCGTGATCGGGTGTAAAGCAAGCGAGAAGATGTGCGTGAACTGTGAACCATCATGCATATACCGTGAGGGCAGCCGTTTACCACTCCTTGCCGATGTCGAAGCTCCACTCGAAAGAGAGGTGAGACTTCTTGTCGTCATCGACGAAGCTGGAGACGGCGTTGTAGTGGCCGCGGGCGAGCATGCCGGAAGGAGCCTCCTCCTCCTGGACTGTTGGGAAGGAATTAATCAGTTTTGGTCGCTCCGAAATCTGTAACTTAGCTTGGAACTCACATTTCTTCGTGTAGAGAGGCTGCTTGTCGGTATTGGGAGCGTAACTGCCCTGCGAATGGGGTCAGATGGAAGTCCAGCGCAGCAAAGTTCTCAGATAGGGGCTAGACTCACAATCATCTCAGAATCCTTGCTGACGCGGATTCCCTTGCGCTTGACGATCTGGACGTAGTGAAGGCCGCTGAGGATCTCATGCTGGACCTTGAAAGTGGCCACCATGGTGAATTTGGCGCCCTCCTTGATCTTGAACGGCTTGTCCTTCAGCGTGTGCTCAGAACCAGGGGTGGAGAGATCGATTGTGACGGGATCGCGGCCGGGGGCCTCTAGAGTGAGAGACTTGATGATACAGACGCGGGGATCGCTCGAATCGGACAGGTCCTTGCCACCACCAAGTCCAAGGGACTCTTTGTAGCGCTGGAGAGACTCGTCGTTCGCATCTATAGGAAGAGCCGGTGAGTTAGGAGATACTGAAGATACGCCAGTAGCAGCAGAGGCATCAGAAGTATCAGGAGCAACGGGGCCCTCATCAACATGATCAGGAAGTCCACTGGACATTCTCAGAAGCCTGGTGGGAACTCTGATGCCCAGGAGGGTGAAACCGCAGACGGGCTCCTGAGAAGCTGGGCAAAGATGGTTTGAGGACATTGTGAGAGGGGTGAAGCAGTTAGGACAGAGTTCTCGGTGAGTAAGAAGAGATCCCTCAACAAGCAGATAAGGTGGAAGAGGTGAGAGATCTGGGGTAGGCGGAGGTGGTGGGGGAGGAAGCAATTCGCTGTTGGAGCGGCTGCGGAGATAGGGTCGGTCCAGGAGGGCGATTTGGTGGAAGGTCAAAACCATTTTGTCCGAGTACAGCAGTAGCTGCGGCTTGATCGCGGCTTGACATGCAGCTGAAAATACAGACAGTGAAGTCGTCACCGTAAGGTGGACGGGTGGTTATAGTGGTGGTGGTGGTGGTGACGACCGGGTGATGTTGGCGTCGTCGACGATGAAGGTGTCTAAGGGTGAGATGGGGAGGGGTGGTTTGTGAATGAGCAAAAGTCGTCGACGACGGCGCACTTGCTTTGAGGGCTCAAGGTGGTTGCATGTTTTGATGTCGCCGAGTGTTTATACATGGCTTTGTAGCTTGATGACTGGATGTTTCCACATACCCATCTGTTGATATTCAGCCAAGCTCTGCTTAGGCTGGGAGAGCTTATAGCCCTGGGTCTCCTCGGGCATCACATCGTCATCGTGATGAGTGGCCATCTTGGAGTGTTTCTATCGGGGGGATTTGGGCCGTCAATGGCAGCAAAACGACGATTGAAGCTGTTACTCTGGCAGCTATCAAGCTCTGGCATATGTAAATGATGCTATCTCCGACCGATGCATTTGGAGGGGCATGCTTATATTTATTTGAGCCTGATGAGGGGCAGTTCAATCCTGTCAGGGCCGGCCCCCCTTTCAGGTGCCACAGGTGGGGTTTACCCCTGTTTCCTTGCTTGTTCTGCATGACCATTGGGCCATTTCTGCAACAGAACAGCGACATCCAATGCCTGAAGCCGGCAGCAACCTTGAAAGAGGCCGCTCTGAGGCGGGTTCGTCTGATGGGACGGCATTTCTGGACAAAGACTGGAGCATGCGTGGCGTCTGTCGATCAAAAGACCCCGAGTCTAGTCTGGGTAGTACAGTGGTACAGTAGTACAGTAGTATGTTTCCCCCTCTTGTCTCTGACTGACAGACTCGGACTCTGACCGCCAAATCCAGACCAGACCTGGCTGGCATCTGGCAGAGCCTCCTTCCAAGTTGATCGCGTGGCCGAGGGGGACAGTGATAAGGCCGTTGCATTCTTTGCTTCCTTAATATGCCGAGGCATCAAGATTTGTGCATGCCGGCACAATAACACCGCAAAAGCACTCCTGGTATCTACTCCGGGAAACTCTTCGCCTCAAACAGTCACGCGGCATTCGAGACCTGACGCTATGGTTGGATGTCTCAACGCTGCAAAAGCTGCTCGATACAGTATGAATATTAGACGTTTGCATCTGTGTCGCTGGCTATCTAGGACTTACTCGTCCTACAAGCCCTAGACTATCTACCTAGATAGACAAATTGTCCCAAATCACACTCGAACAGCTCACCCCAATGAACTTAGCTACTTACGTCTGGGTAAGATGACCGTGTGGTTGCTTCAGCCCTGCGGTGGTAACATGGAAGGTTTTAAGCTATTGCTTTCGACGGGCTCTCCCGTGGCTTGACTAACAATGGAAGCCAGAAGACGCCAGCCAATTTGGAGGGCACAATCCTATTCCTGTTAGCAGAGCAAAGGCGCCAATAGCCCGGAATCAAAGGAGCTCCATTTTGTAGCTGTCAAGAGCATGATCGGCGTAGTCGACCTTTTGCTGTAAAGAAGAGTAGGGGGCGCTGAGAAGACGCAGATGACATGGACTTGTACGATTGGCCTATTTCTAGAGGTTCCTCAAGCCTCAACTCTCAAGTTCAGGGCGGACGGATAAGGAGAGAGGAGGGAGTGTAGGCAGGTAGGTGTATGTATGCCTGACAAGTTACAGAGTAGCCTCCGCTGCCGGCTGCACCTCTCTCTCTTCTCTTGGGAGCAATCTGAAAAGCACGCCTTCTCGGGCTGTTAGGGCAGCCTAGCACGGTTCGCCGAGCGACCGCATCGCCAATGCAAGTTGACCGCGTTCCTCAAGTCTTCCTAAGGTAGCCCCCCAATTCGCGCTAGCAGCTCTCCCAATTTCGCGCAGGGTCCTCTAACTGAAAAGGTACAGCATACTGTGGTAGCAGGGCGGCCTTACCATAGTGGGAATCTGAGAGAGACTTACTCGTACAAACTCAGCGAGGAACCCCAGCACACCCCCAGCTTCTGCCGCCCAGCCTCCCTCCCGTCCTGACACTTTTGGCTCCTCGACACGCCAGATTTGACCAGATCCTCGTCCGTCCTGCTTGTTCTTTTTGTCGTCCCTAGCCTTTTCGCGCGTCAGCCTGTCTGTCCGTTGTCGTGGAGCCGAGTATCTACAGCTTGACTGTAGTTCATAGTTGGCTCTTTATATTCTTCCCTTCAGTCTCTTTATCTAGACCCAGGCCTTCCTGTCGGGCCGCACGCGCGACAGTCGGAATCGGCGCCATCCCGAGCGCCTTTGGAAGAAGCCCCCAGCTTTCCATCCAACAAAGCAGACGCTCTTGTACCCCAATCGTGCTCAGGTAAATGGCAACCTCATTCTCATGCGCCCAAGCAAGTCATAAATGACATACTAATGTCGATTGCAGACGCGATAAGAGGCACAAAGGTCCGAATTGGTCAACCTAAGCGCGCATCGCGATCCGGTCACCTTTTCGCCCCGTGGTCGACTAGTCTAAATCACCAGGGTCGCCAGAGCACTCCAGCACGTGGTTATATTTCAAGACCCTATCTGTGCTCAAAAATTCAACGCAGACAGCAACACAATGTCTTCCACCAGGCACCTCCCCACGGAGCGCAACCCCTTGATGACCAAGGATGTCCCTCCCTGTACATCCATCCCCATCTATCGCTTGCTTGGATTTTGAGAGCTTACGATCTTGCTAGATACCGACTTAGTCAGTCGCCGGCGGTTGGGACAGACTCAGCTAACGGCGCGGATGGTCGCTGCTGCTCCTGGCAGCGAGGTCGATCCCGCTGCGCTCGGCGCCTTCGATTATGCCCACCTCCGAGCTCCTCTGCCCAAGGGCATCGTTTCGGGCATCTTCAAGTCGAGCCCGAACAGCTACTTCCTCATGCGCCGCAGCTACGACGGCTTCGTTTCCGCCACCGGCATGTTCAAGGCGACATTCCCGTATGCCGCCGCTGAGGAGGAAGAGGCTGAACGCCGCTACATCAAGTCTCTCCGCACTACTAGTCCGGAAGAGACGGCAGGCAACATCTGGATTCCCCCTGAGCAAGCTCTGGAGCTGGCGGAGGAATATCAAGTTACTCCGTGGATCCGCGCACTGCTAGATCCTGCCGAGATTCCCATCTCGACTGGGGGAAATGATAACAGCCCTCCGAAGCGCATTTCTGCGCCGCCCAAGTTTTCCGCCGGACATCCTGCGCTTGCGCCACCTACACCGACCTCGCTCCCTCGCAGCTCCCGTGCAAGACGCTCTGCTAGTCCCGCGAAGAGCAGCGCAAGCACGCGCAAGATTGCCAGCCCGAGGAAGCGGACAGCAAAGGTGACGGCTGCTCAGGCTCACGCAGCCGAGACAGCTGGCAGCAGCGCAAAGGAATCAGCGGCATCATCTGTCAACGGCGAGGTTGCCGGTGTCCCAACCCTCACCCCTGCCCCGTCTGAGTCTCTCAAGTCCGAGGACGTCACTGTGGAGGCTGTGGAGAAGGAGCCTGCTGTGGTTCTCGCGCCTGTTGAAGAGGAGCCCAAGGTCAAGATCCATGTGGATCAGGACGTCAAGGTCGAGGATGACGGCACCGAGGTTAAGCACACCAAGGTCGAGCTGGAGCTGCCTCTGACTGGCGACCTACCGAGCGCCGAGGACGCGGCACGCATGGTAGAAGAAGCAAAGGAGATGGTTCGTGCCGCTGCCGAAAGCGTGGCTGCTCAGTCCAGCGGGTCCGAGCCCACCAAGAAGGGCAAGAGAAAGGCCGACGAGATCGAGGCCGGTGACGAAAACAAGGAGAACGGCGAGACCGCAGTGACCGAGCAGCCGAAGTCCAAGAAGGTGAAGACAGAAGTTGACCTGCGAAAGGAGAAGGTCAAGAAGCGGGCCTTGATTGGTATTAGTGCTACCCTGGCTGTCGGGTAAGTCTCCTAGTGTTCCCGCATCATGCAGAGCAGTTAAGCTAACAGTCTACCCTAGTGCTCTGATTCCGTACGTTATGGGCGTCCTATAAGGGCCAGGCTGGAGGCAAAGTACAGCAGGTGCAGGGTGCCGAAGAGGAAGAGGCACCGATAGGTTTGGAGTTTTCGATTTGAAGAGTATTTTGTCCTACTCAGAATTTGTTTGCACATACCCCCGCGACTGTCATAGAAAGCCCGATGGGCTTGTCAGAACGCCTTACACTGTAACTGCAGTTGATTTTGCTTGGCTGGACTGGACTGGACTGGACTGGATGAGAGGACGACTTGGAAGTAGGTACACACAGCACAGCTTTCAGGTTCTGACTGTGGGAAAAGTCCAGCCCGGACATGCTATTCAGGGAAATGAAAAATAAAATATTGTAATGACATCTGCTCCCGATTCGTCTTACCATTGACCAGCTCACATTCCCCTGTATACCAAATACGCCATTCAATTGCGTAGGTGCTAGATTGAAAAACAAAGTATCCCGCTGATACTCTGAAGATACTCTGAAGCTGGCAAGCGAGCTTAGTGTTGTAGGCTTGCCTCAACTGCCCGCGTTTACCGCTTTCCCAAGCTTGCCAGCACCATTTCTCAAATTTCTTTCTCGCTTGCTCAATTGATAATTGCACCAATCCCCCCAACAAAAACTCATTCGAGCGGGAAGCCAGCCACTGTGGTAAGGCTGCAGCTTGTCGCGATATATAGAGCTCTCACTCCCGAGTTCAATGGATGATCAAGAGACGATGTCGTGAACTCCAGCCATTCCTGCCCCCATTGATGGGCGGCTCGAAGCTTTTTACGTACCTGTCTGTACCAGCAGTGTCCGCGTGATGGGTACGACCGGCAATGACCGGCATTCGGATAACAGTACCCCTCGCAATGGCACTCCGCGCTTTAAGCTGCTGCCAATTGCCCCGGGGCTCTCTCTACCACGAACACACCTATCATGGATAGAACAGGTAGCTCGTGAGCTCAGGACGCAAAAGCAGACTTATCCCTCCTCTCTGAAGCATTTTGGAGACGGTCAGCATGAGGGCAACAACACGGCTAGTCAGGCACCTGCGGGTAGAACGTAGAGCGTTCTCCTCAACAGCTCGCCGCCTGGACAATTATGGCTTCATCGGCCTGGGCCAGATGGTATGTACCTTGCTTCCTCCCTAATTGGAGCTCAAGCTCTATGCATGTTTTCTGGACGATGGGCTAATATCCGGACTTTAGGGCTACCAGATGGCCAGGAACCTCCAGGCAAAGCTGTCGCCAAAAGACAGCGTGCGGCTGTTCGATGTCAACAAGGGAGCTATGGAGAAGCTTGCGGCAGAGATGAATGCACAACAAGCCGGCGGCGCCACCGTCGAGCTGGCAGAGAGTGCTACGGATGCTTCAAAAGACGCGGTATGTGATGATGCTCCGCCAGTTGCGCCACCCCTTTGCATTTACCCTCCGTTTCTGTCCTTGCCGTATATGATGAGTAACCTTTGTTCTATCTATGATCTAAGTTGGGGTCAGCTTGCTGGCCTTCCTATGATTTTAAAACATTTATAAAGCCAATCCTCTGAAATCGGCAGCATGCCCATATGTTTATACATTTACAGCTCCTAGTTTTTCTAGTTGGCCTGAACCTAGACTGACAAGCATCTTCAAAGGACACTGTCATCACAGTCTTACCAGAGCCAACCCATGTCAAGTCTGTCTACGAGTCTATACTCAGTGCTGGACTTGGATCTCGGCAGAGCCCGCGCATATTCATCGATTGCTCAACCATTGACCCCTCGTCGTCGCGGGAAGTCGCCGCCTCCGTTGCAAAGGCGCTGCCGAACGGCTCCGGCCACTTCGTCGACGCGCCCATGTCAGGAGGCGTGGTGGGGGCCACCGCCGGCACGCTGACCTTCATGCTCGGCGCACCGGAGGAGCTCGTCCCGCGGATCGAGCCCACCCTGCTGCGGATGGGCAAGCGCGTGCTGCACTGCGGCGTGCAGGGCACGGGTCTCTCGGCCAAGCTGGCTAACAACTACCTGCTGGCCATCAACAACATCGCGACGGCCGAGGCGATGAACCTGGGCATCCGGTGGGGGCTGGACCCGAAGGTGCTGGCCAACATCATCAACGTCAGCACGGGCCGGTGCTGGCCGAGCGAGGTCAACAACCCCGTGGCGGGCGTCGTGGAGACGGCGCCGGCGAACAGGGACTACGCGGGCGGGTTCGGCATCGGCCTGATGCGCAAGGACCTAAAGCTTGCCATTGTCGCGGCGAACGAGGCCGGCGCGAGGCTGGAGCTGGCCGAGCCGGCACGCGAGCTCTACGAGACCGCGGAGAAGGACGAGGGTTGCAAGGGGCGGGACTTCAGCGTCGTATATAGATATCTAGGAGGCAAGGAGTGACGTCTGCCCACTTGGATGGTGTAATAGACAAAAGTTTGTTCCCTGCACGACTTTGAACAGTTTTGTGTGAGTTGCATCGATTGGCTGCTTCTCTTACCGTAGAGCTCATGCTCTCCTGTAACAAATCAACTGCTGTACGGTGTAAAGGAACAACGGACACTTCAAGGGCCAAGAGCTGCAAGATTAGAACACAGCCACACAGCCAAGCTGTAGAAGTTGAGGGGTGGACCGCCCGGTCACGGAGAGGATTTTAAGCTTATAGCCTTTTACGGTGGGCTGTATGCTGCACTGACAGGTTCGATAAGATAGATATTGCTACATGTAATGGCGGTGCCAAGCTGGTGGTGATGGATTGTGATAGTGGTGGGCGACTCGGGACGGTCAATCTGTCCGTGTCTGCATAACTCGGGTGGGCCAACCCCGTCGTGTAGAACGTTAGCGCCGCTGTGGGATCCCCGGATACAGGAGGCTCCGGGAATGAAAGGCCCCTCCTTTTTCTCTCTCCAGTTGCTTGTTGTTGTGATTGCCCCAATCGCCCATCCCATCCCATCGCAATGGTATCCCGCGTCGTTTACCCAGAGCTTCTTAGTGGACTTGTCGGTTTGGGTGGTCCTTGGCCCTGGCCGGTGTTCGATGGCTTCTGGATCAGTTCTTTGGGTTGTGGAGTGATAAGACATACAGGAGACCTCTCGCGGACTCCTGAACAGACTGAGAGTGGCATGGCGCATCCTGAAGGATGACACCGGCAATTACACCACGCTTGTTATGTCTAAGACCTGCCTGGAGAGGTGTCTGCTCAGGGCCCAATTCAGTTCAGTTATACGATAACGTTATAACTCATACCGCCGTGAGGTAACGTTGAGAGACCGTAGCGCCTTGTGTAGGGCATGTAAGCCGAGTGGTCGCTCGTATAGAATCCGAATTCCATGGCTCCATCCCTTCTTCCCTGGGTGCCCACCTACAGAGCTGGATATGGGGATGCCGCCTCCCGCTAGCGACCTGACGGGCCTGTTCGCTTCAGCGCTAGGGCGTGCGTTTGCTGCACGTTTCGTCTAGATCTTTAGTTTAGACTTTTGACATGTACTACGCAGAATTTCACGATTGGATTTCCCCTTTGAGAGAGGCGCCAAGGCCTGTTGCAGCACGCAGTAGGTAGCACACACACACCCATCCCCAAGGCTCTAGACTGGTAGGACTGGTAGGACTGGTAGATAATATTAATTCCTCAAGCCGCCGCCCGTAAGATGCCATGCGCCCTCGGCGCTCACACACTCTCCCTTTCTCTTATGTAGTTTGGAGGTTGCCAGATCTTCGAATTGTCATTCCCTTTCTACTATAATCCTTCTCTTCTCTTCAGGCTCGGTTCCGTAGCGCGACCGTTTGCTAGCTCCCCCAGCACATCATTACGTCTTCGATCGGTTGCTACACTACGCGACTCGAGCTGGTGGCGAGGAACAAAACTACTTTAATAAAGACCAAAGGCTTGAAAGACAGCTTGATTGCTTGTCGCAATAATAAGGAATACCGGAAAAGAGTGCGCGCAACTCGGATCACGATCACGATGGCGGACAACAGCACACATTACAAGCCGTACAAGTCGTGCAAGGAGGTCAGCGACCTCTGCCCCGTGGAGCTGACCACGCTGGGCTACTATCCGAATGTCGGAATCAACATCTTCTTCGCCATTGGCTTCGGTATTGCACTGATTGCTGTTCTCACTACGGGCATTTGGAAGAAGACATGGAGTTACATGGGATTCATCGCTGCCGGGTCTGTTCTGGAACTTGCCGGTAGGTGATTCAATGTGATCTGCGCAAGTCTGCGCACGAGGTGGCGCAACGATGGCAGAAGAAGAAATGGGGAAGCCCGCCCGTTTTGGTCTCACCTCAGCGCGAACGAACGCCATCCCGAAGCCTCGCGCGCGCCTGTATGACTTGCAGGAGGAGCAGACTAGCTAATATGGAGACCATCTAGGATACGTCGGGCGTGTTCTACTGCACGACAACCCGTGGAACAAGAATGCCTTCGAAACGCAGATTTGCGCCATCATCCTGGCCCCCACGCTCATCTGCATCTCCATCTACCTGACGCTCAAGCATGTAGCCATCTGTCTCAACCCTGCCATGTCTCGCATCCGGCCGAACCTGTACCCATTCATCTTCGTCCCCGCCGACGTGTCGTGTCTGCTCGTCCAGGCCATCGGCGGCGCACTTGCTGCCAGTGCCGGCGACACGAATCAGAAGCTTCTTGACGGCGGCAACAGGGCCATCATCGCGGGCATCTGTCTGCAAGTTGTGGTTCTGGCCGGCTTCGGCATCGCGAGCGTGGACTACTTCGTCAGGGTGAGGAAGTGGATTAACTCGGATGAGGTCACCCCTGAGGCCAAGGCACTGTGGTTCGACAAGAAGTTCAGGTGGTTCGCATACGCCGTCGCCGCTGCCTTTACATGTATCCTGATCCGATGCATCTACCGGTGAGTTTGCAACCCTGATAATGCGGGGTCTTTGGTACAGAATGCTAATTGTACCTACAGTATCGCCGAGATGGCTGGTGGCTGGGGAAGCACCATCATGCAGGACGAGCCGTCCTTCATCGTGCTCGACGGCTTCATGGTCCTCATCGCCGTCATTTTGCTCTCCTTCTTCGCCCCGGGATTCCTCTTCCCGCACATGGCCGAGCAGATGCGCGCCAAGAAGAAGAGCAAGAAGTCCAAGGGGGAGAAGAGCAGCAGCACCACCACCCCAGGGGATGAGAGCCAGGACATCGAGCAAGGCAATGCCACTGAGGCTGAGCGCGAGCTCAAGGCATAGAGAGAGCTTGGAGCTTTTCGGCGGGCTTTATACGATAAGGAGTTTGTAGATATGACACGCGACCGGGTACGGGATATCATAGACGCATAGCCTAGGGCATCTGAATGCTTTTTGAGCCTATTAGACATCAATCCATATGTTCGCTTTCCTCGCAAAATGAATCGGATTTTGAGAGACTAAAATTGCAGTGAAACCCGACACGGGATTCTTAATCGGGAATGGCAATTTCTTGCCTCGCAGTGAGGCTAAAATTGCAGTGTTGTCCCCCCTTCCCAATTGAGGTATTCCCAGAATCGACGGATGCAGCCAGGGCTTCTGAGTTTCACGGACCAACCGTACATGAACTGCAGTATTTTCTAAGGCATGAAGTCTAACGAAGTAGAACAATTTGTATAGAAGTGAAAAACTACACTATTAAGCCTCTTTCCAAGATCATGCCTACCCACCTGACTATTATTTGTGTCCATCATCGCCTCAATTGACTGCGTTCTCAAAGGATCAAGCCCATGTTGGATAGATTGCATTAGGCATCGTGCTCCTTGTGGTCGCCCAAAGCGACCTCCTTCTCGACCTGGTGGATGTTGATGTTCGCAACCGCATCCTTGCCGTCGAAGATCTTGGCAATCTCTTCCAAAGTCGGGCCCTTGGTCTCGACGTAGAAGAAGTACACGAAGATAAGCTCGATGAAGTCCCAGAGCTGGAGTAGAGCAGCAAATTAGTTCAACTGCCACCATCTTCTGGCATATTCAACTAGAGACTCACAGTGTAGAACAAGCACAAATTCCAATGAGCCGGGAGGTTCTCCCAAGCCAAGAGATTGGTCTGGCTATAAACAATATCAGTATCACTTCTATAGGGACGCGCAATGCTCGACTCACTTTCCGAGAGCCAGGATGGCTTGGACTGTCAGGTTCATGATTGTCATCCCCTTAGCACGGAGGTGATAGGGGAGAACCTCGAGCGTGTAGGCAATCAGCAGACCGGAGAAACCGATATCGTAGAAGATACCGAAGATCCAGACAAAGACGATCTGAGTGATGCCAAAAGCCATGGTTCCTTTTTGGTCATACATAGCAGCCATGACGGTCCACAGAGTGAAAGACAGAGTCATTCCTGCAACATTTGAGCTTGATGCCTTTGCATAATGACTTGGCAGAGCTTACCGGTGATGGCAACAAGGAAGAGGGGCCGACGACCAAACCTATCGATCGTGAACGCCGCAGCGACAGCGCAACTCAAATCGAGGACAGTCTTGCCCGAGGAAAGCTAAATAGGTGAAGAGTGCCGTTAGTTGTTATGATGTAACGCTATCAATGTTGACACAATCTTACTGCAAGCTTCTGGTTCTGGTCCGTGATACCAGCACCCTCATAGACGGCATTCATGTAGTTAGAGATGACAGCGTTGCCACTGTACTGCGAGATGACACCAATTGAGATGATAATTGCAAGTCGCCAGCGGTTGCCCTTAGTCTTAAAAAAGTCCAGGTAGCTGACGTTCCTTGTCTCAGCTTCCATCTTGAGAGTCTCTCGGATCTCACGGTATTCGAACTGGACAGTAACGTTCTCGCGATTGCCATTGCCGTGGTATTTGGCGAGGATGTTCAGGGCCTCATCATTGCGATCTTTTGCAATGAGCCATCTTGGAGACTCGGGAATCCCTTCACAACGTGTTAGTATGAAAGATTTTATGTCAATGGCACTTTGATCAATGCGCGGTCCTTTTTCAGGGGTCATGCGGAGTCTTAGTCTCTGGATGAATACTTACACCAGATGAAAGTGAGCTGGATAACAGATGGAACAATCTACCCGCATTGTGAGTTCTTGCTGATCGCTGCGAGAGTTCAGGGTTGACGCACCTGTATCAGAGTGATAGACCTCCAGGACCAATTGCCTGATTTGGTGAGCAAAAGGTATATTAAGCAACAAACCGTTCGCCTTACCTGCGACGTGGACAGTGCCCCAGCCGATGAACGTGCAGACTAAAAATGGTCAGCCCCCCCTTAAGAGTTTTGTCGAACAAAGGACTCACCGAGATTTCCTAAGTTCCACAAGCAGTTGTAGACAGCAGTGACAGGACCACGGTGTTGAGGATGGCAGATCTCGGTCAGCAGCATGGGTGATGCCATCTGCGCGAGACTGTTGCCGAAACCAAGGACAAAGCGACCACCGCAGTACACTATTGGACAAGACATTAGCTAAACACGTCTAACAAGCTTCCTAAAGCCTAGACTCACTTCCGTAGCTATTAGAGAATGCGGTCAAGAAGCCACCAACGACCATAATCAGACACCCAGAAAGAATTGAAGGCTTTCTACCGTACCAATCGCAGACATAGGGGCTACATGGTATCAGTATGCACGTGACAGAAGCCGCAAGTCTGTTTGGAGAGAACATACGTGATGAAGAAGCTGACAATACTTCCAATAGCGAACATGTTTGTCATCAAACCCAAGGAGTTGGGGTTGGGATGGTGGAAGAAGTCTTGCCATTGATCAAATTGCTGGGAGGTATTCAACAGTGATCTAGAGGTTGTGTCAGATCCACCCAGAATATTGATAGGAGTCTATAAGTAACTCACCCATCGTAACCTGTAGTAGCGGAAGCAATCATCAAAATTGCAGCATGGAAATATAGCTTGCGAAGGCCAGGCTCCTTAGTCCAGCGGACTCTTTCGAATTCCGGGGGATCCAACACGTCAAGATCAATCGGTTCTTCTTTCTTGGCCGCCATTTTTACACGTAGTTTGCTCTATGAACAGAGTGAAAAGAAAGGAGTTTAGCTCGCCGGTGGTGTTTCCTTGGAACACAGAGCAATGGGCCGAAGAAACAAGAGCGAGGCAACACAAAAGCATCAAGGGGTTCAATTTACTTAAATCTCAACTATCCTACCTACCTCTTACAAGAGACGGGAAATCGACCTCCCTTCCTGCCTGCCTGCCGACAGGACTGACGATGGCGGTTCTCTCGCAAGAGAAGCCGTTAATCCGACCAAGCAAGAGGATTGGCCAGTCCCAATTGTCCATGGTGACTATGTCCATGCACTCACCAGTGCCAACAGACTCAAGAGAGAATTGCCTGGGCAAGGTAGGTGTCCTCGGCCATTCTCCCGGAGCTAATACATCAGAGTAGACCTCCGGGGTGCAGCTGTCAGGGGCTGGGGCGATCCAGGAGACTGGGCAGGCGTTTCCAACAATGAAGCTAGATTGGACAGCACACGCAAGCGCGATATTGCAATATCGCTGTATAGACGAGGCTTGCTCTGTTTCGAGTGCGGGGTGTATCCTCATGCTACATGCGGTTGCGACCCGGATATTCTCGACGAGATGGTTTTATCAGACGAAGATGCTGCCAAGCCCCCGCCTAGGCACGCCGCATTGGTCGAGGCACCGCCTGTTCGTTCTCATTGAGCCGTTGGTGTGGTTCAAGTTGTCTATGCTGCAGGGCGAACCAACCTAAGATCTCCTCATGGAGTGATGGTGGGCTGCTGCTGTATGCAGTCAAGGCTGAATTTACAATATATACCTGCAGATAACAAAATGAATTGTCAGGCCGCGGCCGCCTCCTATCTACCCGATAGCAATGAAACATGAGCAGACAAATGAAGAAGTTTGTCATCGAGTCGATAAAAGTACCAAATCTCAGTTCACCGAGCGAATGTTTGAAAACTCTTGGTTGCTGACTGAGATACCATATCGAATAGTGAAGATTGAAAGGGTTGACTGGTAGGTCAGCGTAAGCCACTCTCTTCAGGTTTGCAACTGGCGGAAAAGAAAGACGGCGTCCCGTCCCGCGCCACGAGGTTGCACCTGCAGGATGATATTCCTAGAACATCGTGCGCGGTCCTTCTGTTAGCTGCGTGGACTATACCCAATCAAATCGGCGCCGTATCTGGAAGCAATGCGCGACCAGCTTCCATGGAGAAGGTTGACACAACCTCTAGAGATTAAGGTTGAATCGTCCCTCTCAAGACGGACATCTCGGCCAAAGGGAGCCCTGAAGGCTCGAAAACGCTATCCCTCTCTGAAACTCGTGCAGCGCAATACGCCCTTTGTTCTCTTCTTGTGGTCACCGTCTCGATGCCTGACGTTCCAGCTACACATTTAGAATCCTCCAAGTCGTGAGCCTTGACCGGAAAGTGAGCCGTACGTTTCACGGAGATGGTTGTTTCTCTTGCGATCTGTCGGCCGATACCTGCTCGGACTTGTCCAAGCCAAGCATTGCCAAGTTGCTGGATGGACCGCTACTCCTGGCCCGATATTTCGATTATACTCACCTCGCTTATCCTGCAAGTCAACGCCTATTCCTCATCTTCCGACCTACCAGGACTGCTGTCTTGTAGCTGTGTCTATCCGACGGAAAACTCAATTCAGGTAAGCATGACGGGGATGGCTGGAAGCCCATAGGCCTAGGTATACCCAATCCAATCCTTATCACTTATGACAGGAGCCATTGGTAGTACATCAACAGGAACAATAAGGTCTGTCGATTGATTGTTCGTGATTTTGAAGATCGATATGATATCATCTTTTTTATTATCTCACACGGGCCATAACTCGTTTCCAATGGCCTAGGACGGCTGAACAAGTCTGTCTTGTTCTCCCCCATCCTCGTCCTCCTCCTCATCTTCTTCCTCGTCGGTCTCTTCTTCGTCTGTTTCTTCCTCCTCCGATTCCTCACTCTCATCCTCCTCATCTCCATCGTCTCCCTCAGCTAGCCAGTCGTCCAGAGATTTTCCGCCAACGTTTTCTTCCAGTCCATTGGTTTTGCCAGGGTGCGCTTTTGCGAGGCTATCGAGGGTCTCGGCTGCCGGCACCGTCCGCTTCTCGCCATATGCTACACTCGAAGCATCTCCCTCTCTGAGATTTGGATCTGGCTCTCGGCCTTCTTCCACCCAATCGGGTAGTGGCTCATAGCCCCTGAGGCCATGCACACCACCACCTCCAGCCAGCACGAGTGCAGCTGAGCCAAGCGTATACCCTTTACGCGTTTCGGAGGGGCTTGGTGCATGGGGCACAGGCTTTGGGGCGAGAAGCATAAGCGTCGCCAATTGTGGTACCCCGAGGAGTGCCTTGTAGAGACGGGTGCGGTCCCGAAGATCATAGGAGGTGTCGTAGCGCACCAATAGTAGTACGTAGTTCCAAAGGCGGCCGATGGGATGGGCTTCCGCCTGATCCAGGGGCGGTTGTCCACCGTCGCCCTCCTCACCTTTTGTGTCCTCTGCTATTCTGTTTAGATGATGCAGGTATACCTTTGCCGCAAGGAGGACAATTTGTCTCTTTGCGATTTCAGACTCCTCCGCAAACTCCTTCAGCAATATCCTCAGAACATCAGCAGCGATGTTGTCCTCGCCATTCAGCCCCGAAAATTCGCCAACGAGCCAAATGATCGTTGCCCTTGCTTGAGGATCTGTTGCTGAATCCAGATTTTTGGCAAGTCGGACCACAGTAGCAGAGTGGGCAGTAGGATCCTGCTGAATCAAATGCCTGATGACAGTCAAGCTCTCCGCTGCCAACGTCCCGTCTAAGCTCGTAATTTGACCTAGTAACAGCCTGAGACAGCGAGGGCTCGTTGCTGGGTCGCTTTGTGCACACCTCCCAATAGCTCGCACGGCTTCACGAACGAGATTCTTATCTGAGCCGCGGGCGAAGTGCTCGAGTTCGTTGAGTATGAGAGACTTGACATGTTTAGGAGCATGAGGAAAGATGAGGGTCAGGACTTCAAGCTTTAACTCCCATACTGGCGCAGGGTCGGTTGCGCGAACAAGAAAGTGCGAAGAGTATTTGACGAAGTCTGAAGGATGGAGCAGGCAGATAGATACGATGTTATACAGCGCAACTTGTTGTATATCCGAAGGCCCGCGTAGAAGAGCAACCAATGGCCCGATTGCTGACTTCATGTACTCTGTATTGCCGATGGATGCATAACAGCGTGCAACCGCGGTCACCACGGCAGAGTTTCGACTTTGCAGTAGCGGCTTGATGCTGTTGAGGAAAAGCTCGAGGTCCGGATCTAGGACGGGAACTTTCTCTCCTCCAGCGCCTGTGTCTTCACCATCTCCGTAAAAGTCCTGTAAATTAACCGAGGTCTGTTTCTCGTGATCCTTGACCGTTCTTGTCCGACGAGGGAAGCACTGTCGGGCGTAAATGGTCATTAAGCGTAACGTTGAAAGCTGGCTCCATTCGTCCATGTCCACAATCTTCTTGACCAACGACCGGTAATGTTTGTGTATAAGATCTATACGCTCAGGACACACTTCCATGAACGAAGTGACTGCGGCGCCTGCCACGTAATACTGCTTATCTCCAAGCAGCGTGGTGAGGTAGTCGACAAGTTGTGGAAGCTGACTGGGATCCAAACGGTAGCACTTGGGGATAGCCAAAGCTGCCGCCCGACGAACATAGGGACTCATGTCCCCTGCCCCCTTCTTGATCGCCAGTGACACTATTTGGCTGATGACCGGTACCCGGATCCCAGACATGGTTTTCAGAGCGAGAGCCCTGACTTGTGGGTTGCTGTCGGATAGGGATTTTTGGATCGTGTTTATGGACAATAGCGCAAGATCTGGCTCTTGTTCCGCGTGATGGAGCAGATATATGTAGACAAGCTTCTTGATCTCGATATTCGGGGACGCGACGTTCTTGACGACTGAGGAGAAATATGGCAGTGTCTTCTGGGAGCGATACATCATCTATCGGACGTTGCAATTAGTACGGCGACACTTCAAAAAATAGGGATCTGCATACCGATATGACCCTCCGTAGTCCCTCGAGGACTTCCCGCTCATGGCGACTGTCGAGGAGCTTCCTCATCTGGTTTCTATCCAGAGGTCGGGCTGCGCTTCTCGACCCTCGGGCCGCCGATGCAGCATCAATGGTGAGCTCTTGAGCTACGACACACTATGTAAGTCTTGATTTGGACATGAACCTAGAGAAGTTTCTGCTTACCTCTCTCGAGCAGCGTCGATATTCGTGATATTGACTCCATGGCTAGAGTCTCGACGGTACCGACAGTCGTCGTAGACGACTCGCGAATGCTGGTGTCGAGGTCGGTGACGTGAGCAATTTTGGCGGGGCAGCTGGGAAGCTCAGGGCGGCGGGCCGCAGCTACCTACGTAGGGGGGTAGGTAGGGATGAAATGTGGATCTCCACGACCCAATCCCTGGAGCAAGGACCACAGGACAACATCATGAACACTAGAAGCAGAAATGTTTCTCTCATGTTTTTTGAGATATTTAACAGCAGAGCGACCATGACATACTCCTTAGAGATGCACACCTTTCCACCATGCAATCTCTTGGCAGAAAAAGAGGTATCTTGAATCCTCTTCACTTTACCAACTTGAGATAGCACAATACATCAGATGTCTGAGTGAAATTGCAATTTGTGATCGCGCAACGTCGTTAGTCAGGCGTTCAACATCGTGCTAGTCACCGAATATGTTTAGCTTGACTACATATCTAATGCAGACACCTAGTTTCGAGGCTACGAGGAACCTCTATCAATATGAAAGTTAACATGAGTTTTGGCGTAGCTCCATTCTCCTGCTATTGATTATTCTATGACCTTATTACCGAAACAATCTTGGTTAATCGCTGGCTCGTGCGGCTTATCAGACACTACAAGTAGTACCTTAGTGATCGCCACTGTGACATCCATCTATCACGGCTTCTAAGGACCAAAGATAAGCTAGTCCCGTAGCTCGCTGATGGCATGTGCATCGATTCAAGTCAAGATATGTAAGTATTAAATGGGCATTGTGGGGTGTATATCTCTGTAGACTCATATGCTAAAGAAGGATATAGGCGTGACCTATAGCTAAGATATTATAGAGGCAATGAACTACTTGAACTAGAAAGAACCGAAAACTGAGGCATGTTTGTATGACCTTCACAACTGACTGCTGACGATTTGATTTAATAAAGAGCATCTTGCTAAGCAGTGCTGAAATGTGTGATAAGATTTGATGGGGCGACGACTAAGGCTTTGATATTGTAAGCGATAACATCGCCTGAGGGCCTCACGGATGTTTCTACAGCTTGGCTGAGGTATTTATCGCCATGCTAGGGATCTGTTCACCACTAGTAGTCATCAATTTCAAAGAAGGGACAAACAGTCCAAACGCTATGGAGCGAGACATGATCTGGGAAAACATTAATCCTCTGGTACAGTAGAGTGGCTAGAAAATGTAAAAGCCTTAATCTGCTTCCGGCCGACTTTCGGCCGACAAACATGAGAGCGTTGTCATCGCCTTGTACACATGCGGTGGCACTCCAAAAATTAATACTCTGAGCTAAGAGGCCAAAGACGAATGATGCTCAATATACCGATAGCATGATTCGCTTTTGGCAATAAACCAATCGAACTTAGCGAATGTGGCTAATTTTAGTCCGCGACGATGGCTAGGGTTCACACTATGAATACCTTGCATCTCTACGGCACTAGACATGTAATGTCAGAATTAAGAACCCAAATGTTAGTTTAGTGGAGACAACACATTTTGCAGCAGCGTTATATATACTGTCCAGCATCGTGAATCAGTTGTGCTTGGCACTTGGCGAAGGGTTGGCAAAGGACTAATTCGTTGAAGAGATCACGATGCCTGAGAGAATTATTCAGCCTGACAAATGTCGTCAAAAGAAATGGACCTGAGTTTATGATGGAATTGGTAATTAGAGCCAGTGAAAAATAATTGCTCTATTTCAGCTGATACTTGAGAAGATGTGGGAAACTTTGCTATATAGAACTTCCAGTTACGCAGACCCTTCAAAGCCTAATTCTGATGAACATACCTAGCCTAGACACTCTATTCCACTATCCCGAAAATTTCAAGTTCTACATCTTTGAATCCTGAAATACTAGACCATGGCTACTCAACGTGTCTACCGCTTGCCTCAACGGAACTCCATTCAATGCCTCACTTTATTCGAAGAGCCAATTCCTGTTCCGAGACCACACGAAGCTCTCATTAAAGTTCGAAGCGTGTCATTGAATTATCGAGATGTGGCAATTTCCACAGGCACTTATCCATTTCCTGTCAAGGATAATGTCGTCCCGTGTTGTGATCTTGCTGGAGATGTCGTCGAAGTTGGAAACGCAGTTGAGGACATTCATGTCGGCGACAAAGTGGTTTCTCATTGGGATATGAAAACTCTGTACGGCCCGATGAAAGGTTGGCAGCACGGGCTTGGTGGTCCCATCGATGGAGCTTTGCGAGAATATATTGTGCTGCCAGCGGCTGTGCTGGTTCAGGTTCCAAAAGACTCCGAGCTGAGTTATTCGCAGTTAGCCTCAATTGTTGTCACTGGTACCACTGCTTGGAACTGTTTGTTTGGAAATGTTCCTCTGTCCCCTGGCCAGACTGTGCTGTTTCTCGGTATGCCATTCTGAGGCTGGATGACGAGATGTATGACTGATACCCGCGTAGGAACTGGTGGTGTTTCCATCACAGGCCTTATACTAGCGAAGGCTGCCGGCGCCACAACGATCGTGACTTCCTCATCCGATGAAAAACTACGAGTTGCTCGAGAGAAATACGGAGCTGACTTCACAATCAACTATAATAAAGAGAAGAATTGGGGCTCGAAAGTGTTGAATATTACCGGTGGCCAAGGCGCCGACTACGTTTTCGAGAATGGCGGTGCTGGCACAATCGAGCAAAGCTTCATCGCTGTGGCGTATGGCGGTAATATCTCTGTCATCGGCTTTCTAGCGAAAGTTGAAGGAAAGATGCCAGATATCGCAGCCCTTGCTTTGTCTAAGGGTGCCAACGTCCGTGGCATCATGGCAGGATCACGGGAGCAACTGCAGCAAGCCGTTCGCTTTATCACGACGAGAAAATTGCAAGTTCCGGTTGAGAGAGAATTTGGGTTTCATCGAGATGATGTTGTTGCAGCTTTTGAATATTTGCAGAGTGGTCAACATATCGGGAAGATTTGCATCAACGTAGCTTGAACGTACCACAGGCATGTTCGGTTTAGCATTCGATCAAACCGTTCTCTCTTGATAACAGTATCGACGGAAGGAATACAAAATGACAATAAACGCCTTGTGCATATTTAGGTCGCAAAACGCAGATACATATCAGATTAGAACATCGCGAGTGATAGTGAACATAGAGGCAAATGAAACCTGGATGCAGTTATAGAAGAGTAGCATTCTCCTGAATTCTGTTTTCCTCCTACTTGCCGAATATAGGAAGAAAAGCTGGGACGCGGTTGTTTCATTAGCCCTGACAACGCTAAAGCCTGCCCCATTGACTTCCAGAAGAAGTGCTGGATCACGTGTGAAGTACTGGGGAATCACTATTGCAGCGTTCCAACAACAACACATAGATCACAGATCTCTTTGAATAAAATGGCCATAATTCCATTGATCTTGTCGCCAGCTTTACCGCCGGAGCTTCTTTCGTATATTGTGACACAGCACTCTTACCCCACGACACTCTTGATATGCTGCTCTCGAGCAGATTTTGTCTCAGCGCTTGTCAACGATGTTCAAGAACAAGTCACTGCAGATGTCGAAGATGCCGCCAACGGGCAGCATTTTCCGAAGCCAGCTTTTGAGACGCTGAACTCATCCCAAACAGCAGCCGCGAGACTGCTCTCGGCGCCACTTTATCAGGTCGCTGTTGCAAGGCACATTCGCATGGTCTTCATTCCCACAGTATCGCACTTACGTGCCTTTCTCTCAATCTTCTCGATCGAGGATTCCAAAGTTGGTGCACCCCCTCCTCAAGCTTCAGGAAGGGCAGACTCGGGATCTTCGAGAAAGTCACCACCCTTGCTAGTGGCCTATGGTTTCCTAGGCCTGCACCGAGATACAAGTGAGTGGAGTGCGCAAGGCGTGAGCAATACGGCCGCCGGACTTGTAGAAACAGCCAAGAGATTGAGGTTCCAGCCGGTCATCGTTGAGCCGCGCTCTCAACAAGCCGACGTGGACTTTGAAGAGGAGCTTGATCAACTAGTTCCAGTCCTGAGTGGCAGTGCGAGGAAATTTGGCCCTGATATGGAAGACCTTGGTTGGACTGGTCGAACGGTGGACTTGCGAAGGGTTCTAGGAAGGTGGTTCCGCCTCGAGGATGGTGAATGGAAAGACACAAGGAAGCGCACTGAGTCACCACGACTGGACATTCAAGGAGATGCTGCTACAGGGTCTTTCATCGCACAATGATGGGAGATGATTAGCTGCCATTGAGCTTTTCACACATATGAAGATACGTAGAAGTCTATGATTCCAGACCGAATACAAACACCCAACCAAACGCCTAACATGGTATCTCATCCCCATCAAGAACAGTCATAACATGCGCAAAAGTACATCCTAAGGCAACAGAACATTTAGATGGCCTGTTCCATTTCTGTGATGTACAGTTTTATGTGCGCCTCCAACTTGAGGTACTCGTCATGCGCGTTGTGGACCTCGTTCTCGATGGCATCCTTTAAGTCTTGCATCTTTGAGAAGTTAGCAAAGGAGTCGGATATGAGGAGAGAAATAAGCACATACCTTCTTCTCGGTTTGTTCGATTCGTACTCGTCGCTTCTCGATGTCATTGCCCTTTTCCGTCCGCTCCGTCTTCAGCTTCTTGTGCACAATCTCAAGCTCCTCCATTTTCTTCTTGGCCTCTTGAGCCTTCTGAGCAGCCTGCTCTCGTAGCTTTTCTGTCCGCTCATTCCACTTGGAAAGTTGCCGCTGGAGAAGTGACTCGGCGCGTTCGACGTCTTGGACATCTGTCCGTCGCTCAAGCAGAGCGTCCTTTTGCTTCGTCTTCCGTGCATTCTCCTCTTCCTCCTTAGATAGCTCCGCAGATATCTCATCTAGTAGTTTTATGCATGAAGCGACATCGGTTGACACAACTGTGAACGAGTCTGCCGATGTTTGCAGAGCTCGTGCTCGTCGGTCGAGCGAGTCGATATGTGCCTTATCGTTGTTGAGGGCGTTTGAAAGCTCGCCCAGACTTGCCTGCAGTGACGATGGGCTCTGCAGCACATACGGGCGCAGTTTTGCGCTGTCTTGTTTCAGTGCGAGTTTTGCAGCCGTCTTCTCCTCCAGCTTTGTAGCAAGCTCGCTCTTCTTGTTCTTGGCTTCCTCCAGTCTCGCAGCAACCTTTTCTTGGTTCCTCCTGAGCTCAAGTAGTCGCTTCTTGAGATCCTCATTCCTTCTCGTCTTCTCTCCAACGAGGGTCTCCATCGCCTGTCGGTTGTGTCGCATATCCTCTAGCCGTGCCTCCATGTCCTGGTTCTCGCCGTAGAGATCCTCAATGCGAGTCTTCGTCTTCTCCGCCTTGTTGAAGTGCTCGTCGATTAGATTAGTCTGGCTCTCGCGGAATCGCACGAAGTTGATCAGGTAGCTGAAGATCTTTGCCAGGCGCTCGTAGGTGGGCTTGTACAGGTCCATGAAGCTGAAGTCTGTGATGCCGCACTCGAGAAGCAGCCGCCGCAGCGATACGTAGAAGCCCATGAGGTTGCGCGTATCGCTGGGCATAAGCACGTCGCCATACTCCCCGCACACGTCCTCGGCGGCGGCGCGCATCGCAGGGTCGACCGTTTCACGAGTCGCATTAAGCAATAGCTCGGCGAACCACTCGAACACCATCTGCACCTGCAGCGGATTGGGCTTCTGGAGATCCGCGACGGTGAAGGGTAGCCCGATCTCGCTGATGCACCCCGCGACCTCTTTGTCAGTCAGGCGCATCGGGTCCGCCTCCTCCTCTTTCTTGCGCATGCGCGACTGCTGTTGCGACGAGGGGACGATGCTCATTCTGGGATTATACGACATGTTGGGCAACTCGGGTCAATGACCTGGAAATCCGTGAAGGTTTGGCTGACTCTCGAGCAAGGTGTACTGTTCGTTGCGTGGATTTAGTGTTCTTGGAAATGTGTCGTTGGGCTAGAGTAATAGGTGCCGCCATGGTGGGTTGACACAACACGCGGCGCGACGTTGCCGGGGGAACAATCGATTCTGATTTGCCCTGCCCAGGTGCTCCTCACATGCCCACCAGCACCTCAACATCACTTCCGATTCGGACTACACTCATGTAAAGTTTTCATAGCATGTGCTCTTAGAATTGAGAAAAGAAAAATTAGTTGAATCGCATCAGACAATCTTTCTCATTTATTTTGTCTTCGCTGTGACTAACTATTTGAATCATGGCCATCTTATCCCAAGATGATTCTCTGTCGCCATATAGCAAGAAACTGATTTGTTTTGAGATTTTATAACAAGGCATTACCTGCAGTTTGTGCCGCGCATTTCAATCTACCAGGACTGTTTGGGTATCTACATATGCAAGCCCGTAGTATGAATGCCCAGGGGATAGTCTGAAGGATGGCTGGCAGAAAACCGGGAGTAACAGTGCTCAAACATCCTTTGGCACAACGCCGACAACGACTGCCGAAGCTAGATTTCAGGTCCTCAAGATCTGAAATCAGCCACAGATGGCAACTTCCGCACTTTGCTTCTCAGGGATCCTTGGATTGGCTAGTGGCGACTTCATCATGCTAGCAGAACAAGGAAAGGCGATCTGCCAATCCCGAGACGAAGCCAGAATTCGGGATATGCTTCTACTCAGCTTCGACAATTCATGCACTTGACCATCAGGCTAATTGCTTTCCCTCGCTCGACCACTCCCACGGTAGCTGGTGCGTTCTTAATTTAGCGGCTGCCGCGAGCCCACGCATTGAACGAGATGACGGCAGCACGACCGGGAAGCCGTTCAGCAAGTCGGAAAGGCTTGGGTAAGAAATCTAGGGTCTCAGGACTCTCGACCTTGTCCATATTACGTATGCTATGGGATAGCAGACGAAACACCAGAATTTGGACAGTCTGATTGGTTGCCGGACTTGAGATTGTGGATGTCAGTGAGGGTCGATCTTGAAACGCAATGGCACCCATTTGGAGGGCTTCTGCCATTGCTCGCGGTCGGCTCATCCGATGTCTAGAAGAGGCCACACGGGATGTGCGAGCAATGAGAGCTTCCTAAGTCAATGGGTGTAGGGGACGATTGGCTGAGGTCTTTGCACTGGAGGCATGGGCAAATCTCCGCTGGTGATCTCCGTTGGGCACGCGGTGCGCGCGGGGCAAATCCACGATGGAATGCCCTCACCCAACGTCGTGGCCTTGCTGACTGTCAACTCTAGACTCATCTAAGCTGTTTCACTTTATTAGCCTCTAGGAAATGGAGTTTACACATCACATGTTCAGACACGAATCATGTCAAGATAACCTGGAAGTGTGAGATGACGAATCTAATCAAAGAGCCTGCCCAATCCAGGCCAGATGCTCTTCGTCTGATTGTCAATTGAGGACGTTGTGGCTTGAACATGTTACCGTACTGTCAGGGGGCCGTGATCTCACGATTTGGCCGTGGCGACCTTGGCACTCTTGCGAACAGTACCAAAGGGGCTGAACTGTGGCTGCCAGTGGTTTGAGAATTGATTGGACATAGCATCAACACTGTTCTGTGATGGTCTGCTTTTCTTTTCCAAGCTCTCCAGCCGTTGAAGTCTATCTCGAATCTGATGCCGAGCACAGTTGGGGTCCTGTGATAGGTTGTGCTGCTGTATGGCCCCGAAATGATTCAAGCACAGCATTCCTCATTCCGCGACTGCTTCACTCACGGACCCAGGGATCATTCCTGTAACGCTAAAATTGTGGAAGGGTCAGTTCTGCACGCCAGTCATACGAACAGACAATCTACGTGTCAGCTGTGACAGGTACGAGATGCCGCTGCACAGTTTGCTGTTATCCGAGCTTGCAGGGTGCCAGACGCAGTAGCATCTGCAGGATCGTGCAAACGAGTGGATGGGAGCATTCCGGGCTCCCTTCTGTGTATCCGTTACGCTTTCCCTCGCAGCGCAGCACGTTTTCATGCGGCCCTTGAAGGAGGCTATTGAGAAGGGAGCAGGAGAGCGGGACTTTCCCGCAAGCCACAGCTCACAATGCATCGGCGACACTTGCTCAAACAAGACCAGGGAGCCTTTCAGCGACGGATTCATGAGGACGGGTCCTTATGACGATTCTGAGGGTACCCTTGCTACCTGTGCAGGAGATGCGACCCTAACCTCGTTCAAACCAGGGCTCTCTTTTCGAGAGAACAGCCACCCCGACGAGGATGACGCCGATGGTTAAAGATAGCCCCTGTCTGCACAGGCTCTTCGGTGCTGCACCAATCCCAGCCAACATAGCCTTATAGTGCCTAATCGGGTAGTATGACATAATTGGTTCCATTTGTCCAGGGTTCCGCACGCACTTCCAACTAAGATCCGTGGTAGCTGCTTCCCCTAAAGAGCACTACTTTTGTCGATCAGGTCAACTGTCGATAGTTCCTGTCATCAGGGCAGGCGTCGCGGTTGTGGACCATTTGCTCCGTGTTTGTGAATGAATGGTTGGTTCGTGATGGCATAGTAATGAGTGTCGATAATGTTAAGTCTGTCACTCTAGATGCTCATTCAAAAGCCGATGACAAGGTGTTCCAGGAGATGAGGAGTGCAAATCGCCTTGGTACAGCTAGGCGGTGATGTTTGTGATGCCAAGCTGTATACTCTGCCAGGGCAGCGGGCAGAGCTTCTCCACACCTTTAAAACCGATGGGGTTACTGGCGACCACCCAACGGTCGAGTAGGTCTGATAGCAGCGCCAGTGGTGGTAAACTTCCGGACAGTCCCGCGGGGCCAGAATAGCTTCTGGACTTCCCCTCGGGCTGCAAGAGGATCTACAACGGCTGGGAAATGAGAATATGTTCGAGTCCAGGACCAGAGAGACAACCTCGGAGTTTCGCCGTGAGTCAAGAAGACAAGCTTAATGCAATGCAGAGAGGCAATTGCACCCGTCAAGTACACAAGTGGGACGAGAGTTGCTGTCGTGGGCAAGGGATACATTTGATATGGGAAGACTTGGCAGTATGCTTCCCAAGATTAGGTAGGTCAGGCGAGACACCGTCGATAGCTTCCCTACTGCATACCTAAAAGTAGGAACGTGCTGCGTACAAGCAGTCGAGAAAAGGAATAAGTATTACGGCGCCACGTTATGCAAGACCGGCGACTGTCGGTCTAACTGAGCCTGCCTTATTATGCCTATGGAAGCTGGAAGGTACGTACGGGCGACATGCATGAGCCACTGATAAAGGCAAGGACGATCCTCAGCACCGACCACAGGAGTAACATGCCGACCATGCTTTCTCTGTCAGTGGCCTTGTAGATAGGGTTGTGTCTTCCTTGTCTGACCGACTGTGTTATACGCGAGTCGTGAGGGAAGAGGACTGCCAGAATAATGCGGCGCCGAGTCGGGAAAACACTTGCAGAACAGAAAACACGAGCTTCCCCTCGTACCTGCCGCCTTGGGTAGGCACAGTACCTGGCTTCTTCCCCTACTGTACCTGCGCTCCTGCGTACTTCGTAATAATGTCTGAAGTGCGCTTGCATGCTGCTCAGACTACAACCTCACTTTATCTCCCTTGGTATGCTTTCCATTTCACTCTCCTTCCTCTTGTCTCTCTAGCAAGCATATCAATTTGTTTCATATGATGTCGGGCCCCCATTGCTCAGCTCTCATGCTGCAGCACCATGTCAGGAACAAACACACACACGCACAGGTCGAAGATACACTCGATGCCCTTCGGGTCAGCATTAATGCATCGATCGCCTTGCATCGTTGCTGCCAAACGCTCTCTCGAGCCGCGACCGACCGCCCTACTGTGCAGAAACCCATAAATTCAAACCTCTAGGTACCTATCCTTGGACCAAGTGGCCAGGCCAGTGAAGAGACTAAACCACGCCACAAAACTTCGTACTGAGTCTCGAGTGAGTCTTGTCCCTCATGCTCTACGTCGTTAGCCGGGGTGAGTCCCGGTAAGAGGGAATAAAGCAGCTCTCAGTGACGGGGAGTGACTGAGCGAGCAGATCCACACCTCCTTTGGCAAGCTTGGATCTAACGACCCTCTCCATCTCATGGCAAGGCCGTCTCCATCTTCCACGCAAAACCTCGATCTACTACTACACAGTACGTAGAGATAGACCGGTCCAAGGCGGCCCCGTACCCAGCAGCATGTTCTGCTGGCGGGTACCTTACTGCTGCTGTCTTGTCTCGCTTTTGCCTTCGATCGACTCTGTCCTCGCCCTACCCTCTTCAGGCCAGCCAGCCGGCCGACCAACTCTACGCTAAGTACCCCAAGTGTGGCTTGGGTTGGAGGCGTTGACGTATGACCAGGCTCACGGGCGAGTCTGGTCCATTGGTGCCCTCACCCTCGACAGCTTCTCCCCTGCTGGTTGTCTGGAGTCATCTATCTATACGTACATACTTGGAATTACGTGCGGAGCTGCATTTGCATTGCTTTGGTTCAAGCCTCAGTGGCCCGATCAGTTCTCCAAATCAAATCAAATCAAATCAAATCAAATACGTAGCCCTTCACCTTCCCATAGACGTTGACTGAACCCAACCCAGCCAGCCCTTGGACTCCCAAGACCAAGACGATTGACTCGTCCGTCCCAGCCCTTTCCACACATCCCTCCCCCGCCTCTGCTGTGTCTGTCTGGGCGTTCTGTCTGTGTGTCTGTCTGTCTGTCGTCGGTCAAGGCCCGCCCTCAGTCGGGTCTGCCTGTCACCCAATCCGCCTGCCCTTGCTGACGCGCAGCGACCAAACTCCTCCTTGGGCGATCATTTAAACCCCAAAGCCCCCTGCACTCTGTCTCGCCACAGCACACCCCTCGCCAACCTGGCGACCTTGTGGCTACTCCAGCCGAAGAGTGCAGGCTGATTGACGTTGACGTTACCTTACGACAT